TTGCAAGTTCGAGTCTTGCGTCGCTCGCTTCATTTTTTGCCTTTCTTTTTTCAAACAATCCAGTTTGTCATCTTTTTTTATTTCTTCTTTTCTTTTTTCGCACCACTTCGTTTCCATGAGTTTATTTTCATTTTATTTAGCCTTATTATTATATTATTACCCGAATATTCTACTCGAAGTCGGTTTAAAAATGTAGTTACTGTCACGAACGCTGACGAGGACTGCACTTTAATTTTCATTGTCCGTCATCAGTGATCAGTGGTTAGGAAAGATACTGTCTTGGGGGCGATTGAAGCAAACATCTAGACCACACAGGGCCCAAGTACGAATCCGAGGAATTTTTGATGGTGCCACACGGGGCAGGCACAGTTACGCGACGCGGTCACCTTCGAGGTTTGTCTTGGGTCGGGTCAGCTTGCATCCCAACTTCCCGGCGCTCAGCATCGCACCTACGATTAGTGTGGAAGAGTAACAGTAATTCTGGACTTGAGTGAGGCAGATATGGGACCTCAAGTTGGGGGCGCAATCGGTCGATCAGTCAATCAATCGAGACAATGGAGGCAGAGCCATCGGGCCTGATGATAGGAGAGTAGACATAAGGGCAATCACTGCACGAGACGCGAGAAGTTTCTTTACTTGGAAGGGGGGGCTCAATTCGATGTTCAATTCATCCGGACCACTGAACGACTCCTTACTCTCTGTCGCCGATTAAACACCAGCCCTGCCTAATCGCGAAGAAATCAATGAAAAAAAAAAAAAAAAAACCCCAGCCCTGTCCGATTGAATAGGTATGCGTCAAGTCCTAGTGGCTGACGAAAAAAAAAATCAAAAATCGGTGTGCTCCTTCTCCAAATCAGATGTCCTGCTGGGCCGTCTCGCCATCAGCCTCATCCTCAGCGGGCTTCTCGTCACCCTCAGCGGACTTCTCATCATCCTGAACGGACTTGCCGTCATCCTTCGAGGCGTTCTCAATAGAATCCTCGGGCTTCTAGTCATCCCCCGAGGCCTTCTCAGCAGAAACCTCGGCCTTCTCATCGTCCTTGGCGTCCTTGAAGGCGCCTCCAGTCTCAGCCGTAGCCGTAACCTCGGCAGCCTGATTGGCCGCCTTCTTCGTAGCAGCGCTCTTGCGAGCAGAAGCGGCAGTCGATTTACCTTCAAGAGGAGAGGTCTTGCGCTTGCGGCCCCGGGGAGTAGCCTTCTTGGCGCTGCCAGTGGCGGCCTCGCCCTCGGCCTCGCCGGCGTTCTCCTCGGCGGTGTCAGCGGCGGCCTTGCGCTTACGGCCCTTGGTGGGCGTCTTCTTGACGGGAGTAGTGGTCTCGCTGGCGCCACCTTCGGCGTCCTTGAAGTACTTGCGCTTGATGGCGCACCACGAAGCGCGGCCGCTGGCGACGGTGGTGAAGCCGCCAAGCTCGGCGAACTTGGTGTAGTCAATCTACGTATTTGTGAGTCAGCATTGGGGTTGAGTCATCTTGAGATTGATTGTGATGGAGACGCGAAAGGTGAGGAGGCAGAGGCTTCGGACGGTTCTTTTTGGGGGAAGGAGAGCGTGTTTCGGGTAGAGATTTCTAGAGATACTCACGGAAGCGTCCTTGATCGACTGGAAAGCCAGGTAGATGAGCTCCAACTCCCTCTGGGTAGGAGTCGGGCCGGCAGCGGGCTTCACAGCCTGAGACGAGGCATTACCAGCGGGCTTTGCAGCCGGGGTCGAGGGGATGTCGGCAGGCTTTGCAGCCGAAGGCGAAGCGTTGTTGTCAGCCATTGCTGGATTGTTGCGATGTCGTTAAAATGTTTGGCAATGTTTGGGTCGAGTGAGCTGAGTGAAAACAGAGTCGAGGGGATGACAAGAAGAGTTGTTTGGGGTTTGGAGAGGTGTCAAGGGGAAAGATGTGAAGAGGGTTTTTGAACTGGGAGAAGAAACAGGCTGGGTTTTTGAAGGATAAGGCAAAGGTCAAGAGAGAAAGAGCACGCTGCATCTTTATTACACATGCTCTGATCTTTATTGAGAAGCATAAGGCGAGTGCAACAGGCTGCTGTTCATGGGAGGTGGTTTCCAGAATCATCTGGCCCGTTGCCTTTACATCGGAGGACGTGATGCCATTCACGAGGCAGGACATTTGGGAAATACGATGTGGTGGTGAACTGAACCAGGTAGGCTGCACTGCCCAAGAAAGTTCTACTTTGATTTCGAGGCGTATCCTGTGCCTTCCTCATGGTGAGAGTCCATTTGAAGTTACCCATTCAGACAGGCATGTGAGGAACTGACGGCGATGATAAGGGAGCTTGAAGAATCATGAGATTGCTGGATGAGGAGTTGAGGAGCAATCTCTAAGGTATGTCGAGTAAGACTGGAAGGTAGTAGGTTCCTGCTAGTAGGCTTCAACTGGATAAGCTTGATTTATGTTACTAACTTCTAATTTATCTAGATCTGTCTCCTCATTTCTCGATATGGAATTCACGATTGCTTTCTCAAGGTTTGTCTCTGTGATTGAGGGACATGTTCATGGGGGAGCTCAATGCTTTCAGACACATCCTTCAGTCACCTACTGCCTGCTAGGGTAGACAATGGAACAATCGACAAGAGGAACAAAAAGCAGGAAGCCACTCGAAGACTGATCTTGCCAAGACAGCTATTTTGAGGGTTTTGGCCAAAGAAGAGTGAAATCAGGCATGCACTCGACCGGGACTCGGGGGTAGGATATATTTGACAGGAACCAATTCGAACCGAGAAGGCGGGATGGAACCCCCATGAACAAAGGAGGCACTTCATCCAGATGGGAGTTCCCCTCTGCCGGCAGAAATTGATTGATCCTTCACCGTGGATATTAACCGCAATCTGGCATCCACCCTCTTCCGCATTGGTAGACCATGCCGACGAGCGAATTTACTCTAAAAATGTCCTAGAATATTCCCGATACGGTCTTTCGGTTGGCTGCCGGCGTCGAGCGCTTCGCATTTCTGGCGCTCTCTTCATCAGGCGCCAAGAAAGATCCCCATATGATGGCAATGTATAGAAAGGCTCCCCTGTCAGCATGAAGAACCCTTCCTTTTTCCTAATACGTTGAATTTATATCATTTGCAGAATCTAATGCCCGTTGTTATAACAGGTATGCGTATACGGGCTGTCGGTACCGGGTGATGAGCGGACCCACGAATGGAGCATATAAATAAGGGAAGTCCGCGTTCAGCCCAGGCTCCTCTTGGCGCATCTCGTCGGCGGCGGCGGCGACGGCAGTGAAAGAAGTTATATATTTATTTGACGTTTTCCCTATCCCAGGACTCGATTCGAGCTGGCTCGATGCTCATGTTGACCGCTTCTCCTGTGGCTACCAATTTCTTGCTACCTACCATCTTACGTTTGTCTACTAGAGCCTTCGGAGGTGGTCTTGTCTTCGGGGCATACGTCTCACGTCTTTCGATTTATGTATACTACGACGCAACCATGAGACCCTTCACGCTTCTTCTTGCGACGCTCCCGGTCGTCTTGGCGGGAGTTATCACCCCCACCATCATCGATCTCGGCAACGCCACATCAATCGGCATCACCGCCGACGGACCCGACGCCAATCTAATCCAGATCGTTTCCGTCACGACACAAGGCAGAGGCTGTCCCGCAGGCTCCGTCGCCAGCATCATCAGCCCCGACCGTACCGTCGTCACTCTCGGCTACGACTCATTCAGAGCTTACATTGGCCCGACACCACGAGGCCGTCGCCGGGGTCGGAACGGTCGAGCGACCCGAGAAGAAGAGAGCTCCAATTGCACCATCCGGCTAAAACTCAAGTATCCTGGCGGTCACACCGTTTCTGTCGTTCAGACTACCTTTCATGGATTCGCAGTGCTTGATCCTGGCGTCACCGGCATCTTCGAGTCTCGATACGGGTTTGGAAATGGGCCCCAGTCGGCGCTGGTGACCTCGAGCATCGAAGGAAATGAGGAGAGGTCGACGATCGGTGAGCAGTATACTGCCACTGGAAGTTTTCCTGACGACCGGCGTGTGTATGCTCCATGCGGGGAGGAGATTGATCTGGTGATACAAACGACTATCAACTTGAGGTCGAGGAACGAGACGGGCTCGGGATCGCTGAATGATGAGGATGCGACCATTGCTTTGACGCAACAGGTGAATCTGGCTTTCGAGCCATGCGTTGCGTGAGCTTATCTTCTTCCCAAACTACTCCAACCCAAGACTCATAAAAGACCACCCAGACCATGAGACGGAAGGCTGTGACGTGCCTCTATGATACGACTACTCTAATTGAGAGGCCAAAACACATATCGTCTTCCTCTCTCCACCATTATTGGCGCCGCCTTCTTTCATATTGAGCGAGAGGGCATTGCATTCCGGTTAGGTGTGGTTCAATTGTGATAAAGATGAGCATGTAAGCGTGGTATCTTGAATTAATCGGGAGATCGGGAATCTATTCTGTATATATAATATCATTACACATTCTACCTATCAACACATAGCGCATAAAGTTCATCCACAAACGTCACCAGCTCGTTAAACCTCTCCGCCTCGATATTCGACGACATCCCCTTTCCGCCATGAAGATTCGCCAACTCTATCGCGTCACCCACGCCGTGTCGCTGCCCCTCGTAAGACGACTGGCTGGCGCGGTCATTGTTCCCGTCCTCCGAGCCACTGCTGTTGCCTGCTGATGCGTTCTGCACGTTGACTGTTACTTCTTGGGATATCATGATTCCGCCAAGCATGGAGAGAGCCTGTGCGGGTGGCTTATCATAGGTTGGGTCCGACCCATGAGCTTGGTCCACGCTCCTCCTGCCCCAGAGCTTGAGCGTCGAGCTCGACTGGTTGGATACCGACGGGGCGGCCTTTTGCCCAAAGACAGTTGGGATAGGATTACCATCCCCGTCTACGCGATGTCCGTACGGGCTATTCCTGCCGAACCTCCTCAGCTTACCAGGCAAGCCCTTGCCAGAGAACATGGTGCTCTGGTGATGTTCCTGGTCTGGATTCCTCCGAGGCGCCGCGTTGATGATCGGACCGAGCTCTCGGTGCACCGCACGCGTAAAGGCGGAGTTGCTCGTGCTTCCGGGAGCCGTAAGCTGGCGTACCTTGAAGAAGCTGAGGGGCGTGAAGACGCAGTTGGCGCTGACGACCCTCGCCTCGGCGGGGATGACGGCGCGGAGGGCTATCATCACGCTGTAGTGCTCCTGTTGAGTTCCCCCCTCGTCGCGTTGGGTGAAGTTGGGGACGCGAAAAGTCTTAGCCGTGAGCCGGGCGTCATCGATACACTTGTCCCCAACCCAGGCGTACAGATCCTGAATGGCGCCGAGGAGATGGCGGGCGAAGGTGGCTTCGTTGGGTGCAAGGTCCTTCCACATGGGGAGTTTCCTTTCGATATCGGCGACCGTCATGCGGTCGAGGCGCTTGAGGAATTCGACATGCGAAGAGGACAGTTTGCCAACCGGCAGGGGCACGCTGGGGAGTAAGTTCTTGGCTTCCTTGCGGACGAGGACGTCGTAGCCGGGGCCGCTGTGGCGCGGTCGGATGCCGAAGAGGCCGACGTGGGGGCCGGGCTCGAGAGTGTTCCTGGAGTCGCTGTAGTTGGCAAGACGCTTCAGTTTGTGCTCGAAGTTGGGGTCTTTGATCTGCATGCTGGCGGAGATGTACGAAGCGACCTGGTTCACGTCGGCGAATCGGTATCCCGCGGCTCCGAGCTTTTCGATGGCGCGATCGCTCTCGACCTTCTTGACGAGAAGCATGAGCGAACCCGCAGCGCGACCCTGCTTCTTCCTCTCTGCCTCCTTCTCGATGTCCCTGACACGAACTTGGGCGGCGTCCTTGGGATCAATGGTGCTGTCGAGTGACTCGTTTAAGGAGCTGCTCTCATCCAAGGACAAGCGCCCAGAGCCAGTCGGCAGGATCTCCTCGTAGAGGATTCCGCCACTAGAGAAACTCTCCCTCAGACGAGACGAAAGGGAGGCGGCAGCAACACAAAAGAGCTCGCGGAAGATGACGTCGTACTTCTTGACGACTTCGCCGTGTTCGCTGACGAGGTTGATGTTTGTGCGGGCGTCGCGGTCGCGGCCTAGGCGGGGGAGTTGAGCGAGGTGGTTCATCATGCCGTCGAGGAGGGGTTGGATGCCGGACCAGTTGCGGGAGGCTTGGAACATCCATTGGAAGAGGGGGCTTCCGGTGTCGAACTTTTCTCGGGTGGACTAGACAGTGGGGATGATCTTAGTGAGTTATTGCTAGAGATGCATCTAGATGCTTAGGGAAGAGAGAGGCTTACCTTGTCGAGGAAAGTATCAGTAATCTTTTCGCTGGGTAAGAGACCGTTACGGTTGATGAGAATGCGTCCGTGCTGATCGAAGACGGCCGCAGCCAGGACGACCTGCTGGGCCTTGTTGGCGTATTGCCGACGGACCCGTGCGGTGTAGATGGCCGTGCCAGCCATGATAAGGCAGGTTCCCACAGACTAGCGCTACCATGTTAGTGTCTTGCTAGTTGAGAGAACAGACACAGGATGGCCGAGATAGAAACCAACGCACCAGGATAATAACGACAATGACCGTAACATTCCTCGACATGCTCTTCCCCCCAACAGAAATCTTCTTCAACCTATACGCCGTCCCCACAACAGCACACCAATGCATCCCCGAAACACCCCCGGCCAACAAAATCCCACACCCCAACGTCTTCCACCATGAGTTGGCCCAAGCAGCCCTATACACGAAGAACAAGAATAGGGCGATCGTGCTAGCGGCGACGGCGATTACCCCGGACCCGACGACGTAACCCGGCCTGTAGATGCAGGAGTAGTTGGCGATGGAGGCGTTGCCGAGGTAGTGCATTCCGCAGATGGCGCAGCCGGCGAGGATGCCAGAACCGATGACGCGGGGCCACGAGTGGCTCGAGTCGGCGCCGATGGCGACGAATGCGAGGATGAGGACGATGATGGGGACGAAGAAGGAGACAGCGGTTATGCCGGATGTGTAGGAGATTTGGAGTTCTTCTTGGCCGTCGGCGAGGACGATGGCGAGGGAACCGATGAAGTGCTGGAAGCGAGCCTGCGTGTTAGAAGTTCGAGGAGGACTGGGGGATGAGTTGTGATGGTTTTCGTTTCTCTTCTTTTTCGTCTTTTTCTACTTCGGGTTGGGTTGGATTCTGTTCTTCTTACCATGCACCAGATGGCGACACCACCCATTGCCACTGCTGAACCAACAAGGAGAACACTGTGATTTTCGAGTCAGATGTTGGTGATGGTCTAAGCAGACTGGGCACGAGCGGAAAAAACAACATACTGGTTGAACAGACCCCTCGGCGCCGTTCGACGATTGATCAACTCAAGCGTCGACATGGCGCCGATGAAGCTAACCACATAGCTAAGAGCCACAAAACCGGCGTTGAAGGACGGAGGTATGAGCTGGCCTTCGTACAGGCGGCTCAGCTCTTCGTGCGAGGCCATCGCTTCTCTTCTTGATCTACGACCTAACCGTTCGTCATAAGATGGGACTTGCGGAGAGAGGAAGTAAAAAAAGAAAGAAAGAGAAAAAAAAAAATGAGATGTGACAGCTGGGAAGTCGGGTAACGGTGAAATGGATCTCGGGAAGGAGATCGATCGGTGTGGGAGACGGAAGCCGGGGGATTTGATGGAGTATGTATATTACTGCATCCTGGGGATTGTGTATGGTCTCTCATCAACAGGGGCACTTTGTTGGTCGTTGTGCAGTAAGAGAGAGATCCGAGGGTGTAAGACTTCCCTTTTTTGGTATATTACCCCGATCGAGGACACACCCTTCACGCCCCTTCCAGTGGCTGCACTTCACCTCAATGGGAGATAGAGTTACACACATATATAACCTTCCTCTTTTTCCTGCATTGGCAGCGCAGGGGCCTCCTCTAATGTCCCCAAAGATCCTCTCCCGCCCGCAATCCCAAGGGGAAGGCGCAGCGAGTGTGGCATTTGGGCAACGAATGAGACGGGGGTTGAGCACACCCAAGAGACGCTTGGTATTACCGGATTCCGATCTCCAGATGCTACGCTATGCTACCAGGGGGGTACCACCTCTTGGCCGGAGCTGAAAGCATAAAACTAGGGGATGTGGAGCTTTATTGATCGTTTTAAGATAAGAAAGTAACGCTAGATCGTACACAAACTTTGAAGGTAAGGGTGGGTAATATCGATTTCCAAGGGACAAGATTTGAGGTTGCTTCATAAGACGCAGCCTGGGAGACGCAGCAGTGGGGCTGGGCAAAAGCATCCCAGGCTTGGCGAGCCAACGAGGAACTGGCATGGACAGGACCGACTGGTCGGAATTGGGGTTCTGTCGTGGGGTATGTCTGAACTTGATAGAGATTCTAGTGTGTCTTCTGCACTATTACGAAGTGGACTACGCTAGCTCCACGCCATTCCCAGAGGGGGTTTTGGCTGCTCGGGATGGATTGCGTGAGATTGATGGCAGAGAACGCCGGTTACGCTCTTGAATGGCGAGCAAGCTACGGTAAAGTGGGTGAATTCGCCGAGCTCCTGTCTGTCCGTTTCTCGATATATACTGTCCTCACCCCCCCGAATGGACGCTGGCCCTAGGAGGTGGCTTAAACTCCGACTTTGGTGCCTCTGAGCGCACAGGGTTCGAAACGTGCAAAGTGTTACTAGTTACGTAGTAAGCGGTGGTCGGGTCCCCCGAATCACGGCGAAAGAAGTGGAGGCGACTACGGAGCATTCGCGTGGGATAGCGGGCATCTTATGAAGGACGCCAGGTCGTGCGCGGAAGCTCCATTTTGTGCACTAGTGAATCCCCTTGCTTGCGTGGCTGGGGTGTGGCAGGCACGAGGTAGAGATTGAGTGGACGTTTCCTCGGCTTATCATCTCGGATAGAAGTTTTACCTTTTTAATTTCATCAACTCTTTTTTTTTTTTTTTTTTTTTTTTTTGGGGGGGGGGGGGGGGGGGGGGGGGGAATTTATTTATTCATTTATTTTTAATTTATTCTGAACGACCTCTCTCTGGGATACGGTGAGTCTACTTCGAGGCTTCGTGGGAAATTCTACTAGATGAGGGGAGACGGGAGAAGGAAGGAAAGAGTGAAAGAATGGAACTAGTTTGGGCTTGGGCTCTTCCACCGGCGATGGCGATATAACCGCGAAACAATGCCAATTGCCGGGGCGGGGTGGACTATCTTCTCTGCCCTCCACGTATTATATTCTCCTGATATCTCTGAGTCTGTTCGAGTCTTCTGAGTCAAGACTCGAAGAAGACAAACTCAGAAGACATTACCGAAGTGATGTTGCCATTTGCCAAGCAGGGCAAGAGTGGATCTTGTCCGGGCTTGTGGGGCTTTCGCTGCCGATAGTGTCTCGTTTGAAGACTCCGATAGGCGAGACGACGTCGCACTTGAAGAGTTCAGCTGAGTTGTGGAAAAGTTTCGATGCTACCCTTCACGCTAGGGTTTGCCTGTTCGCTAGCTTAAACGGGGCTCTGGCTGGCTGGCTGGCTGGCTGACTTTGGCCGGTGTGGTGGATCCAAGTCATTTCTCTATCACGGCTCGTGTTCACTGCTTACTTCGTATGGCTCACGGCTCGTTGACCATCCTCGCATGAGTGAGCCCGAAGCTCCGTCGGCTCCGCCTTTGTCCCTGGTTGACTGTCCGTCTCGGGCGCACGTGGCAGGGATAAATTTGCTTGCCCCAGAGTCTGAGGACCAGTGCTTTTACTTTTCCCTGCCATCACACGCAGAACCTGGTTGGTGGCGTTTTCTGCTCTCTTGGGACTTTCCCTCTTGGGTCTTCGGCAGATTCAGCGAAAGAAGGCATGCAACAGTAATGCTCGGCTCGTTGTGTGAAACAGGTAAGTGATCCAGTTGGCAGTCTCGGCCCTTACTTCTAGAACGGACCGGAAGCGAATTATATCGTTTTTACTTGAACCACAGGCCCGGACTGAGATGAATATAGAGCAGGCATGGACATGAGAGTCTGGTGAGGCACTAACTGCCTGATGAGCTCCCGGCTACCGACCGAGCAGGCCAAATCTGGTTGATATTCGGTGGAGCCAGTGGACCAGTGCGTGTTTCCACTCTCGGGTGCATGAACGAGCACTAACCCTCGACGCTTGGACTCTGTTAGCGCACTGCATTGACCCAATTCCAAATGCTATGAACCAGCCGCAGGAGTATTGTCCTGGGGCGACAGGGGATCCCCTGCCCAACCTTGCTTTGTGAGCGTCCACCGAGTCCACGATGGCGCCGTACACCGAGGTCGCTGTTCTCGGTCCGGTCGGAGATTTTGGTCGAGATGGATCCTGTCCGCAGGTTTGAGAACCTCATTTGCTTTTTACCAAGACGTGATACATTTGTACCCGAGAATACTGCATCCGGAGATGCAGACGCAGATGGTCAAAAGTTACTTGATGATTATTACTTTGAACTAATTCCAATAATTTCAATACTCTGTGACTCTCCTCAGATTCTCCTCTCACTTTTAATATTTGCCTTTTTGGTTCGACAATAAAACAATAAATTTCGACAACGGCGAAGTGCTTCCTCCGTGTCGATCATTCATCCGACGCCTCCCCTTTTCGTATTATCTTCTAGCAAGCACTTTTCCTGTATACCTGGGGCTTATTACCTCTGTCCGACCGTGCAAGACGTTGTCTCCTCGTCATTCGATGCGTCAACCGCTGTCACCACAGACTCTCCCTGTCGGTGTGGTCCGAGGACCTCGGCGATGAGGGTTGCTCCATCACGAGCTAGCAACAGGCCAGGTTCTTTCTAGTGAATGACGAACCCCACATCGCTAACAATTGGCAGGATGGCCGAGCGGTCTAAGGCGCTGCATTCAAGAACAATTCTTTCCAGAGAAAATTTGGCTCTGCAGTTTCGAAAGAAGCATGGGTTCGAATCCCATTCCTGTCATCGTTTTTTTTTTGTCTTTTTCTTTTTGTTTCTCTATTGCCATCTTGTTTTTTATTTGTTTATTCTCTTCTCATTTACACTGTTATCCCCCCTTTTGCTTGCTTTTTGCCAAGATACCTTTTATGACTGATGTGGTGTTTACCTAGAGTATATGAGTTCCAACGCTGCGAGGAGGTGGCGAGTTTGCCGAGACGTTTTAAGAGTAATTTGAATTGATAATATAGACGTAGTGATGCGCCATGACGGGCAAAGTTGGAGACCATATTATTACCATGGTCATTATATCCCAAGGAGAAAAGGCAGAATGAGGGCATTGTCATCGGCTGCGTGGCATGCGCTGCAACTTCTATTATCAACGCCATCAGTCGATCCTGCAAAACATGTACGTTTTAAGGAAGAAATAGAGCTTTGTGAATAGATGATGCTCAAGTTAATATGATTGAGTTCATAAGGTGTTGAAGAGACGGAACTATCGAGGATTCGAGTTGGAAACTGGGAGAAGGGGGCAAGGAATTGCGAAAGTTTTCAAGCTTCGACCCGACGTCAGTGATCGCGCGCAGGGCTGTCAGAGCAAGACCAGGTCCGTCCATCTGGGCTCCCGAAGACAAATTTGACTGTAGTTGTCAAGCCGGGCGCGGTCTAGACCTATCGAGGAGACACAAACTCTGAAAGATTGAGGAGTATTTAGGCGACTGATAGCACAGGGTCCGGTTTGTACGAGGTGAAAGTTAAAAGGCTAACGCCGATCGCTGATTGTTTTTGCCACATTCCTCTAATACAGATTATCAAGAAGGCTTGTGGAGAAATAGGGAGAGAAGGGTGTTTTGGGTATACTTGACGGAATAGAAAACTGTGCAGGACAGTCGATGCAAGCAACTCCTCGTGGATCGGCTTGAGACTTCTACGCGTTACTCTCGACAATGCTAAGCTTATTCCTCTTCTCCCTCTTGTGAAGGTACCGGATAACGAATGCGATCCATATCAGTGCAACTGACAGCCCAACCATGCTTGGATAACCCTTGGCATATCTTGGGGCTTCAACCTGTTGCCAAATGAGGAGAGGGAGCCAAGCTTGGACGACATAAGCCATCTCATTCATGGAACCGGTGACAATAGCGCGCTCCTCGTTATCGTCACTGCATATCTCGTGTGCCCAGGCGAAAGTAAGGCCACTAATGCCGCCACCGAAGCCGCAGAGGAGGAAGCACGCCCACTTGAATGCACTTGGGATATCCCAAACGGTGAGGCCGGTATAGGCGACGATTTTAACCACGCCCGAGAAGACGATGGCTGGCCAGCGTGCTCCGCGAAACAAGCTGTCAGACGTCCAGGCATAGATGAGAGTTGTAATGATGCTTATGACCTCGGCAATTGTTGGGTAGATGTTGATCTGGCGAATCGAGTAGCCCTCCTGCTTTAGCCACAACGGGAATGCCGGTTGCGACAACCCACCGTTCCCGTTGTTGAAGAATATGTAGAGTAAGACAAGAGTGTAGATGCGCCAGCTCGAAAATATTTTGCGGAACTTCGACTTCGTGTACGGGGCGCGGGTTGCGCGACCCTCCAGCTCCATGCGTCGTTTCGCCAAATCTATCTCGGCGGGAGTCAAGTACCACGCGTTGGTAATCTCCGGGAGGTCGGGTAGAAAGAAAAATCCCGAGATCGCAATCGGGAGCGAAACGATGGTGTTGGTAATAAAGAGCCATTGCCAGCCATGGAATCCGTGAACCCCATCGAGGTTGTGAGTTCCAGCCATCAAGTAGCCTGAGACCATCGATCCGACGTTGCCCATGGCGTGAAACAGGCAAGACCTCTTGGCTAGCTCGTCTTTACGATACCATGATCCGATGATGTACTGCATTCCGGGATAGAACGCGCTTTCTGCCAGACCGATGAAGAAGCGCAAAGCGTAAAGTTGAGGTGCGTTTTTGCATTTTGCGAGAATGATGGTTAAGACGGACCAGGTTACCTAGTCGGAAAGTTAATGTACTTGAAATGGATGAAAGTGCCCACAGCTGTCGTCCTCCTGTGCAGGGGAACTCACCTCGCAAGCTGGAATCCAATATCTTGGACGAATACGTGTAAGGAGCATGTTACTGCGGGTTGATAGTCGGCGACCGTTCACGAGGGATATAGCTTATAAGATATGGCGAAATTCTGGATGTTTCTTCTTACCTTGGAATTTCACCCAAAACATATCCAACCGTCCAAGCTGTTTGCATATAGTTAAGCTCGTTGCCATAAAGGCCGAGGTCCTCTTTCATGCCCGATACGAAGGCATTATTGATATTGACCTGCGAAATATTAGGGAAAATGGATCATGGAAAACAACCTGGTTGACGTAAAAGACTTACCTGGTCGAGATACTTGATAAAGTAGCCCAACGAGGCAAGAGTCATAAGCACGGCATCGAGTTTGAAGAGAAACCGCCGCTCCTCTGGAGATTTGTCGAATGTGTCCCAGATGTATGACTTCCAGCTTTGCACGGGAGCCTCCTGGACGAGTCCAACCGCCGAACTACTGGCATGCGGCGTGGGGGCGGTTGACGCATCTGAGGATTTGATCTCCGAAGTCTCGTGGGCCACGATACCTTTAACAGAGCCAGCCATTCTTTCAAGACTTTGTTTGTGGATGGAGAAGTGGAACAATATAAATACTACCGAGTTAAGTTTATCTATCTAGAACATATTATGTTACTTTCTACTGAGCTCAGGCTAATATTTATATACATGTTGTGTAAGTCGTAGCCATCCGGTCGTCGTCCAACGGCGGGTTCTTCGATCACATTTTATTACACCATCTACCTTGGAATGTAACACCAATATGAAAATTAATGTTAAACCCCTGATCACTCCTGGCCTTCTCACTTAATGGCTGGGAACGTGTGTTCTAGGTGACGAGTACCTACTGGGGAACGAAGAATAGCCCTCAACTGTCCTCGAGCTTTCTACGTGGAGGATTACGTCTAGTGTTGCACTGATTCGTTCATCATCCTACATATTGCCATTTAAACATTCTAGCAATACGTCTATCCCTTTAGGCGTGGGGCCATTGCGAGGAAATAGAGGCGCATTACAACGTCTTCTTACTCTGCCCATGTAAATGCGACTCTTCCGCCCCCATCTCCCCCCACGACTTTTATCTGCCTTCTAACATTTCCAACCACCGAAGTGGGAAAAGAAAGAAGAGAACTTTTCTTCCCCGCATCTTGCTCGGTATATCTTCGTGGGGCCATTCTGCCCTCTCAGACACTGCTGGAGGATTCCACTTTCTCCACTTGCTCACTAATTATTGTTACATGACTCTATGTCGCCATCTCGATATCGATGGCGTTTGGGAGGAATCCGTGAACTCGGAATTTAACTTTGTGTGAGGCCTCTCCATAAAGATGCGCAGCGAAGGCGTATTACCCCCACGCTTAGAGGGTTTGATCCTACAGACTTCATGGCTGGCCTCCTCCAAGTTAAGACGCATGAGGAGACAATAACCAAGATGCTAGATACTTTTCCAGTATTGGCGGATCACGAAGAGTTTTCATAATCAATGAAAACACAGTGATTACTAGTCTCCGTCAAGAAGTCCAGAGGACGGATAAGTAACCCGTCCCGTCCGGCCCATACCCCAGAGTCCCGGGGTAGTAGAGTCTCGGGAATTTTCCTATCCTCCCTGCCGATGCATTAGCGCACTTTACAGGGCCAAGTACGGGCCTCGTCAACTACCGGGTGGTGGAGGTTAACTGACAAACGAGGTGTGCAGATTTCCTGCCCTCCGATGCGACCCAGTGTTCAATCGTAATTGTACGCATCTCTCGCGTCATTGTCCAGGACGGCCATTGACGAGAACAAATCGGTAAACCCCGCCTCCATTATCAGATCGCGGTGGGGGTCATCTCGTGTGCAAGAAACAACAGCCGGCTCTTATGTTGGGAATCTACGATCGTCACCATCAGGAATGAAATATATACAGTATTAAGCGGACTGGCCGGTAGACATCTAAGTTGTACTAGCTGCTCAATCCTGCGTCCGAAGGCTTTGTCTCCGTCTTCCAGATTACCTGGTATTCATTCAGAATGGATCCAGCACCCATTGATCCATCAATTGTTGATGTTGCCGAGCCGATCAAGGACAATCTCGGCCTCCCAGACCCGGCTCGTCGACGCTTGCTGAAGGCCGGTATTGACTTGAGCGCAGGCTACCCTTACCGACCTGCCCGACCTCTCTACCTGCAGGATGTTTACAACATACGCAATAAGGAGCGTCCTCACAACGAGCGTGGTGCAGTAGCCGATAAATCTAAGAGTGCATTATTCTCGGCTGCGACTAAAGTGACGGACCTTACGACCTACATCGGCACCGAGATTGAAGGCCTTCAACTGAAGGACCTGACTGATCAGCAGAAGGATGAGCTGGCCCTGCTAATCGCTGAAAGGAGTGTCGTCTTCTTCCGGGACCAGGACCTGAGCCCGCAGCAGCAGAAAGCACTTGGTGAATACTATGGAGAGATTGAGGTTCATGTAAGACTGCTTAACAACCTTCTCCTCACCTTATTTAGCCAAAGTTGGACGTCAACAAAAAAAAATTACGATTAATATACGCTAACTCGAAGCTGCCGTGTCCGTTAGCCCCAAGTTCCCCAGGTTCCAGGTGTGCCGGGTGTGACAGTCATCTGGCCAGATCTCGCGGCAACTGAGAGGCCCGCGTCCTTCCGCAAACCAGGAGGGGCCTCGAGGTGGCACACGGACCTTGTGCATGAAAAACATCCAGCCGGCATCACACATCTACACAACGACACGGTGCCTCCTGTTGGCGGTGACACCTTGTGGGCAAGTGGATATGCCGCCTATGAAAAGTTGTCGCCCGAGTTTCGCCGGTTCATCGACGGCCGAAAGGCTGTTTACCGGTCTGCACACAAATATCTGGATCGCGAAAAGCCAGAGGAGGGACCGAAATTCATTGAACGTATACACCCCATAGTACGCGTCCATCCAGCTACGGGTTGGAAGACGCTGTGGGTGAATCGCGCCATGACCGACCGCATCGTTGGCTTAGACCCCGCGGAAAGTGACCTTATTCTAGGATATCTGTTTGATGTGTATGAAAGGAATGTCGACATTCAAGTTCGATTCAGGTGGACGCCGAACACGAGTGTGTTGTGGGACAACCGGTGAGTAGTCTTGGGCTTCCTTCTGCCCTGTGAAACAAACACCGGGTAGAGCTGACGATGAGCTAACTGCCATACACTTGTATTAGGATCACTATCCACAATGCGAGCTGGGATTATGGGGGCAACTATCCTCGCCATGGAACGCGTGTGACATCGCTGGCTGAGGCGCCGTATTTTGATGCGGCAGCACCTACAAGACGTCAAGCTCTGGGCCTCATCAGTGAGGGCGAGATCGAGGAACTCCTCCATGACGGGTAGTTTGTCTTACTAAAATTTTCGAGCGCCCACTCTAGCATAGCCGTTGTTCTTCTATTTTAAATTGACTTCGGTGGCTATTCAACTCTTATTATTGTCAAGTAATTAGGAGTGAAGATTGTTAGATGGGACGAATCTAGACAACTGCACCTTCCGCAGCCCACGTGACCCGTCGCCCCTTTTGCTCAGGCTTGCTCTGGGCCTGCTCACCTCTACCTCACCCTAGCCACCCTTTTAAGTAAGGATCATACCCTACCCTACTTACCTTTACTCACTCTAGCTACCATTTTAGGCAGGGACCCTATAGTAACAGACTGAGAATTACTTTAACTCTAGCTAAGGAGTCTACCTAATCAACAGCCCTTTCTCGACAACACCCAACAGCCACAAATCATGTCAGCATCAGACCAACCTGCACCACCTTCGACGGCCCAATGGGGCCCCATCTCCTCCCACGGAAAGCGACTCGTCTGGTCCCTCCAGGACCCTCTAGAGTCGGCCATCTCCGTCATGCCCGAGAATTTGGACCCCGAAGCACCACGCGAACCGTACTTCCAGCAGTCCTCCACCGGCTCAAACTGGCATCGCATATCGCAGGAAGTGCTCATTGAAAGCACAGTGGCGTCTGTCACTGTCGAGTCCGCCGATCTAAGCAACTGGGCGTCGAGTTGGGCGCTGTTACACATGGAACACGCCGACGCCGACACCGACGACGACAACTCGGGAGACGAAAACTCGAGCAACGGGCCTTGCCCGGGTTGTGGTGAGCTTCCCCCGCGCGAGTACGATACACTGGTCGTCGAGGCATCGGACAAGCCTTACGTTACAATACACGACTACATTACGGCAGTACATCTGTGGCTCATGAGCCTCCGACAAGACATTCTCGAGTCACGCAATGTGTGGGACGATGAGCCGCCGAACCCGGACACCAAGTTGATAGTGTGTCCTGGTGCCCCCCATTATGTGGTAATTGACACCGAGGAAAATTGGAAGTGTGAGACGAAGAACCGTTACGACGACCTCAATCGAGAAGAGACTCCATTTGATAACGCCGGGCCGAAGGGCAAGAAGCGAAAACGCGACGAAGACTAAGGATAGACACAAAAGCACAAAGCATGGAGAAAAGATGGACAATGGACCATGCGACATGGGTAACGGGGAGTAAATATTAATACTAAAAGCTTGCCATAACATTTCAGCAACAGAGAGACCCATGCGCATACTTTGCAGCCAAGACCAATACCACAACGACCTTGTAGTATCAACGTCCTCCAAACCCGCGAATTCCCGTCTACGCAAAGTTAGGGTCCCTGACAAGCTTGATGATGATGTCGGCTTGGCCTTACTCGCAATATACTCGGGGCTGCTGTAGGTTGGATCCGAGGCGTTGACAGTAACAGTCAACTGGCCGCCATTAGCACCACAAGCACTGAGAAGCGAAGCAGCACGCTGTTCTTCCGTCGCGTCCTCGCCTCCGTCGATGGTGCGGGCGATGTCGTAATATGTGACGGAGGAAATGGTGCGCGGGTTGATGTGTTTGGCGAGCGCGAGGACGGTACCGGCGCCGAAGAGCGGGAGCGTCCATTCGGAGCATTCGAGCTCTTTCGGCATGGTCCAGAGCGGGTTGTTGTTGGTGTCGGCGAGGTGTCGCAGGTACAGGGCGGCGTACTCGATGTCCTCGGGGTCGAGGTTCTGCGAGATACCCCCGTTGACGCCGTAACAGACAAGCTAGGGGCCTTCGCCGCAGACAGCTCGCTTGGCGAGGAGATTGGGAGGCACGTCTAGGTCTCGGTGGCGTGGCGTTACGCCGGGCTTCACAGCGGCGCCGAGACCAAGGGGAAGAAGGGAAGTGATGGTGAAGATCGTTAAGGGCCACATCATATCTATTTATTATATTCCTCTTGTCAAGTTGGAGATTGGCGATGCTTTGTAGGGAAAGAAGATAGGATGATAGCTAGAGAGTGATCAATCCCATACATCACAAAGCAATCTCCAGCAAGATATTTATATACACATTGTCTTCTTTCCTCGAGCACAACAGGCCAGCCTCGGGAGTCAAGAGAGAAGCCAAGGAGAATCAAAAACTACTAAACAAAACCCCTTCTCTAGCAACAAAAGGTAATAATAGCCAACAGCACCTCGGTAAACAGGCAGGCCAGGCCAGGCCACCTGGAACGTTATATGCACCTTCTACACCTCATTTTATTCGTAAATGAGGTCCTTGCTAAACCTAAGATCATAAGTTGGGTCATAGAGGTCCTTTTGGCCATCCTTCGGCCATCCTTCGGCAATCCTTTGCCAATATTCAGATTCTACATTGGTCTCCATGGGCACATTATCGTGACAACACGGTAGACATTATCATCACATGTGGTATTGGCAAAGACGGGTGGGATGATAGTGTAACGGAACAGAATTTGGGGGAGGGGAGGGGGGAACTTTTGTAAAGTCTGGAGCTTGGCGGCTGTGCAACTCCATTCATCAGACCACCCGCGATATGCAGATGCTTCTTGACCCCCCAAGCAAGAGACGATAGGTAAGAATGAGAAAGTTCAAAGTTTGCAATGTGTACTAATTTGATGAGTTCTCGAAGTACAGAGTAATCCAGTAACACAGGGTTCCAAATATAGGCTATTTTAACAATATTGAAACGGGGCTGTGCAACCTGCCCGCTGCCCAACAAAAGAAACAAGAACTTATGTAGCCAATGGCTTGATCAATTCCCGCAAGAAATCGCTGTAAAGCCCCTTACAGGAAGGGATAGTTGTCGGACCTGTTGATCAATGGAAAAACAGATAGAATCAAGTAAAAGAAGGCTTCCAAATAGGGGGAAGCAGCTGGTCAAGTCTGGTGGCCATTCAGGACACCTGGGGACATATTGAGGCGGGGAAAAGAGTGACGCCAGTGATGTGAAGGAGACGGAAGAAGGACATCATTCCGTGTCGGTCTACGAAGTACAGAGGCATACTTCGTATGTTTCTTTGTATTTCATTCCTCCCTTATGAGAAGGAAGAGACTTGGGAGAGTACCTATAGTCTCATAGTGCTACACTACTTCGTATAATTGGGTGGGGTGAGTACGAAGTATGTGGATATGTGGATATGGATAAAAGATACTGAGGTACATTGGATAGACCTACGAAGGGTGCACAAAAGTCGACCGGGGTCTGTAGGTATCTTTTCAAGTCATACGAAGTACGAAGTACGCAGTAGCCGGGGTAAGTAATGGCCCCTTGTCAGGTTAAAGTCGCCACTGAACAAGGCCCCTGGAGAATATCATAAGACTCAAAATACCCCGTAAGCGCGCCCTGAGCAGTGATTGTAGTCTTAGCGATGTCGTTCCTCAACATCACGTTGTAGGCTGTAGGGACCGGTAAGTGGGTGGTACATGACAAGGGGCCAGAATTACAGGGGGGGACCAAGTATTACAATCTGTTTTGTTTGTGAAAAGTTCAGGGCCTAAGTCCCAAAAAGGAATCCCTTCCTAGCTCGACTCTTCGGCACGGGCCGGCCCCCTATCTAATCTAGTCTAGTATCTAGTCTAGTGTAGAGTAAGTACACACGACCGAGTAGCGAGTAGCGAGTAGCGGTTCGTATTTCAGGCACCACCCGTCGCTACGAGAGGACCCTCGAGTTCGGTTCTCGTGGGGGCTTTTACCGTGCAATTTCCAGACTGGCACGTGTCCTTACCGCAGAACTCGGGGCCCGTACCGCACTCGCCGCCGAGACTGCAGCAATCACCCCATTTCCCTGCACAACTGGTGAAACCGTAGGCATAGCCGCACTTGCCGTCTGTGGTGTAGACTGCGTGTCCGGGACAGGCACCCTCGTAACACGTACCTGCAGCGCAATCCTCGCTACAGGAGAAAAAAAAATACATTAGTAAAGGAAACGACTTTGCGTTGAACATGATGGTGGCGAAGGATGGAGACGGGAGAGGGAAAGGAGCAAGAAAACCACTCACTAGGTCTCACCACACTTCCAAGTCTCGGCATTGCAGCACTGCCCGAAGTCGGTGCCTAGGCAGGTCGCATTTTGGTGGAGCGGTCCGCAGAACCCGTCAGTCGAGCGGAGAGGCTCGATAACTATGCAAAGCAACCTCGTTAGATGATTTCCTCTCGTTGTATTTCGTTTTCCTTTTTCACTTACATCCAGCCACACAGTACTCGGTGTGTGGCTGAATGCCGTCGCAGTCGGGCGCCAGTTGAGGATTGAGCATCTAGAACTTTTCAATGGTGATTCTGTACGTTTCTGCGAGCTCAAAGTATAAGTAGTAGTCGGCTTCGTCGTATGTTCGGCCCCAGAGACGGCAGTTGATTTCTCCCGGTTTAGGAGCCTTATCGTTCTGTTTGGTGGTGAGAGCGAATCGAGCAGGAATCTCTCCTGGCAGCGCGGGCGGCTCTGCGGCGGCGACGCCACCTGTTTTGACGGCTCGAGCCTCACGATCCCATTCCCATGTAGATGGCTGGCACGCGTCCGCGGCGGCGCTCGGTGAGGTCCAGAGGAGACTGCCAAGGGCTCCGAGCAACGTGGAATGGGAGAATTTCATTGTCACAAACAGTGTTGGGAGATGTATGGCTGTAGAGAGATAAGATCAGTGAGGAAAGAAATGTAGAGAGAGACTGGTGGTGAGAAAATGTAAGTCGGAAGGGGAGGGGAACTGATATGACAGAGGAGCAGACGAGAAAGCTTTCCCGTGGCCTCCGTCTCGTACTACATGTTCCGAGGAAGTCGTATCAAAACATGAGGAGGAAGAGTCTTCCCTGGAGAAGGTGGTACTCTGTCCCGAAGCCTTGACAACCAATATTCCAGTTGAAATACCACCCACTTGGCAATCTTTCATTTCGACGTACATATTGACGATCCTGCAATGTCGAATCGACAGACGGGAGACATTTTGAAATTAAACTGGACGCCCAAATGCTCCATACAACCCGATGCCAAGCACGAAGCTTTTAAATTACTTCGCTTAACATGGCCAAGCCACATGTTGCTATGACAGGTTCAGGGGACCTTTTGTTTTCATTGCGTTGAAGACTGGTTAGTCTTTTCTCGTATTCAGGAACCGTAATGATGGCGTGTGCATCCGAGGTTGAGGAGCTTGCTAGACTACGTGAAGGTGAAGGTCAGAAGCTGCCTATCTCCTGGTTTTATAAACCACTATCCAGTGTCGTCCCTCATAGTCTTCTCCGTCACTCACTGCAATTCATACGAATCGTGTTTACTCTCCTTCAGTCACTCACTGCAATTCATACGAATCGTATTTACTCTCATTCAGTCACTCCTTTTCTCTCAACTCAAGTTGATTGTTCCTCATTTGTTTCATAGACTCTCCGAGAAGGGGAGTCCAGGTCATGATGGCTCTCCTCCATCCTTTATTGTGTGTCCTCATAGGAATTGTGGCCTTCCCCTCCTATTCACCTGTCGAGGCACAATTCATTCAGGCCGTTACATGGAACCAAGTTCCAAAACTCAGTGACCCGACACAATTTGAAATGGCGTGAGTGAAAACATGACGTCTCCTTTGATGAAGAGACCGGACAATTAACATAAAGTCTCACGATAAAGGCCCTTCTGGCGTAAAGACACGGCCTCTACGCCCAATCGAGTCATCGATATCTGGCCCGAGGTAGTTTTCCTCGAATACAACTGCTTCTACATGAGAGACATCTGCAAGAACTCCGAGAACTGGTTCGCGACACCGAAGGGCATGGCACGAGTCCCCAGATACCGATTCGGCTACGACTTCAACACGGGGAAGAGCAATTCGTTTCGCAGTGCTCAACGTCGTTCAGCCTCCTGTCCCAGCTCGTGGAAGAGGAACCATGTCTGTCCCGAAACCGACCAGCTCGAAGTCATGCGCCACGACGGCCAGTGGCCGCACAATGACCTTGAGCCCAACACCAACGTCAACCAGATCCGCAGCCGTATGGTCAACGGCCGTCTCGAGAGCTCCCAGCTCCGTTACACATGTGACGAGTTCCCGCCCGCCACGTGGATCGAGGGCGGTTCGGGGTTCGATTCCGTCGAGGCTCGTGCAATAGCTGCCGAGACTCGCTGTGCGGCTTTCCGCTGCGGTAAAGGTGTCAAATCCGAACAAAACTGGCAGGCCACTGCCCATTTAAAGCTGCAACACGAACTCAAGGCCGTCGTGGATCGTCGTCACCGGCAGTTTCCATTCTACCAGGCCAAAGACAGCGTTGCGCTCTTCATGTTTCGTACGACCAATGTCGCCAACGGCTACGCTGCCAAGATCTACACGTACAAGGACGCGTCGCAGAGTGGCCAGGTTCATGACCCTGTCACGGTGAGCCAGGCGAAGCGTGCCGCTGCGGCCGGCAACGAAACGGCCGAACGTGAGGCCTTCTGGGAATGGGCCGACACCGTCACCATGGAAGAACTTGTAGCTATGGGGCCCAGTCGCGTCCGAGAAGACCGTGTCTTTGCCAATGTCACGATCTGTGAGGTTGAATCCTTGTATGACGCGAGCGGTGCCTGGATGAATTTTGTCGGTGCCGATCTGTCTGGCCCGATGTCTCCAAGACCCAGACACGAAACCACCAAGAAAGCCCGTGACATAGACGTCACAACAGATCAGTCAGTGGCGCCGCTTGCCAAAACCGCCTCTTCGTCCGACCTTGCTCGCGCTCGCGCCATTGTCGAGGAGGCCATCCTCAAGTCAGCCGAGCTTAATACGGCACGCTTAGAACACCCATTAAGAAACAAGTATTCCCTCCATCCCGGGACTGTCATCGGAGGCTCCATCGCGCGACGACACCGTCGTGACGAGGTTGAGACCGTCCCTCCCCTTCTCAAGATTACTGATGAGATCGCAGCTGCTGCTGCTCTTGTCTCGGAGGCAGATGCACTTAAACTGTCGGGGAACATTATAAAACGCCGGATAGCCCCCTATGCGGTGGGCTTATTCTAGATAGAGCATCTTCCGCGCAAAGGAATAGTACCTTAGGGCGACGATCCCGGCTACAAGGTTTTCCGAAACGTTTTAGACTTTAGCGCGCAAAAGGAGACGGAGTTACAGTGAGTTTTTTTTTTTTTTTCTCTTTTTTTTTTTTTTTTTTTTTTTTTTTTTTCTTTTCTATTTTTTTTTTCCCTCTGACCCATCCCATTCTGCATTCCCCATTCTATTTTATATCTTCCCACCATAAAACGAAATCAACTATCTACACATCATGTTAACCTGAAAAAATAGGACGACACCAAGGCTATCAAAGCGGCCATAAATGACCAGAAGCAATGTAGTGAAAAGTGTGATTGCTCAACAATTAAGAACGCCATTGTCTACTTCCCCCCAGGTAACTATAGAGTGTCCTCGACTATTCCAGTCCCATTTGGGACCCAGATCATTGGTGATGTATGTGATATGTGATTGTGCGAGATAAAATGAAGAAGAGGGCTTGATCATGTTAACACGGGGCCATTTCTAGGCTAACTCGAGACCAACCATTGTTGCTACTCGAAACTTCATCGGCCTCGGCGTACTCTCCGTAAATGAATACACAGGCGGAGGCACAGGTCCCGACGGCCTTGACCAGCAATGGTACGTCAACACGGCCAACTTCTACCGCCAGTTGCGCAATGTGGTCATCGACATCACGCAGACACGCGCCGTCCAAAAGGTTGCGGGCCTGCATTACCAGGTAGCTCAGGCGACAAGTATTCAGAACGTCGAGATCATCGCGGCTCCCGGTAGCACGCAGATGGGAATCTTTGCCGAGAACGGAAGCGGCGGCGTGATTTCAGACATTACTTTCCGTGGAGGCCAGTTTGGTATCTACGGTGGGAATCAGCAATTTACAGCCCAACGACTCCAGTTTATTGGCTGTGACACTGGAGTTCGGATTATCTGGGACTGGGGTTGGGTAAGCTTGAAAAAAGTCCTTTGGTTTTGTTGTCTGTTACTCCTTGCTAATGGGATATATAGATCTGGAAATCAATCACTATGACTAATGTCCGTGTCGGTTTTCAACTCCTCACAGAGAAACAGAGCTCCAATACCAAGAGACAAACAGTCCCTGGAAAGGCTTCCGAGGGGAGTATCAGCTCCATTTCCATCCTTGACTCAAGTTTCCAGAACGTGCAACCGTTGTTCTCCTGGCTCCGCCAGATGAAAAGCCCGGATCCGGTAGCAGCAGCGTCATCATCGAGCACGTTAATTTCCAAGGCATCGGCAAGGCCGTCGCCGACACCAGTGGAGCAACTTTGCTCCAGGCCTCAGGTACTATCGACTATTGGGCTCTAGGTCCGGTACACGGTGCAGCCGGTACCCGAGATTTCTCGCGTGGCGGCAAGATCGGATCCTTCCGTCGCGTAAACGGGCTTCTGGATGACCAGGGAAACTATTTCGAGAGGGCGAAACCCCAGTATGAAGATCGAGCCCTCGGCGACTTTGTTCAAATCAGGGATGTCGGTGCCAAGGGCGATGGCGTGACTGACGACACGGCGGCATTCCAGTCGGCGCTTTATGCCAGCCAGGGCAAGATTCTCTTCGTCGACGCGGGATCGTACATCATCACACGGACTTTGGAGATCCCCATTGGCTCCAAAATCGTTGGTGAGACTTGGTCCTAGATTGTGGCCGTGGGATTATATTTTTCAGACGCCAGGTAAGCCCGGACCGCCGCCCCGTGCCCTTCAATGTGACACCTCTTGGGCAACCGGCGATAAGTTGTTCTACTTTTCCATCGATAGTTGCTTTGCAAGTATAATATTGCATCTCTCTAACGCCTCTCAAATAGCAATCCCAAGGTCATGGTCCGAGTTGGAAGTCCGGGCAACGTCGGCGATGTCGAAATGCAGGACCTCATCTTCACCAATCGCGGCGCCACCGCTGGTCTTATTCTCCTGGAATGGAATATCCGAGCGGCGAGTCCCGGATCGGCTGGTCTCTGGGACTGCCATGTGCGCATCGGTGGTGCCACAGGCACCGAGCTGACGCCCGACGAGTGTCCGGCACTTCGGAGCGGCATCGCGCCGGGCTGCAATGCGGGCAGTCTCATGATGTACATTACCCTGACTGCATCGGGCTACTTTGAAAACATGTGGCTCTGGGTGGCTGACCACGATATTGACGACCCGGATTTGGTCGACGCAAATAATACCATGGTGCAGAAATCGGTCTATTTCGCTCGCGGCTTGCTAGTCGAAAGCGTCGAGCCTACGTGGCTGTACGGCACATCATCTGAGCATGCTGTCTTTTATCAATACAATTTCCACAGGTCAAGGAACATCTTTGCCGGGATGATCCAGACCGAGAGCCCGTAAGTTTGCTTATTTTTTTTTTTTACTCTCCCTGGTCCTTTGCTAACAAGACAAAACCCAAATTCTAGATACTACCAACCCACACCGCCGCCTCCTGCGCCGTTTGAAGATGCCGTGGGTAAGGTAGTCGGGGACCCCAGCTACGTCTGCCAAGCCGATGACGAGTTCAGTGGATGCGACGAATCCTGGGCCGTCATCATGCGCGAGTGTGCCAACATCTTCGTTGCTGGTGCCGGCTTATACTCGTGGTTTTCAACATACACGCAGGAGTGCATCGATGAACACGCATGCCAGAAAGCCCTAATGCTTCTGGACGACAACTTCTCCGGCGTACGGTTCCAGAACCTCATCACCATTGGCGCAAAGTACATGGCCATTATGGACGGGGTTGGAATCAATGCAACTGACTATCTCAATGTCGAGAGCCACCCTCGCTGGTCACAAATATCTGTCTTGGACGTCCAAAGCAATGGTGCCCAGTATGACGAGAAGATCTGGATCGACCCCAAGATCTGGGATATGGAGCAGCCAGCCTTCACCTGTTCGCCGCCGTGTCTCGTCAACATCCCTCCGTGGACCAAGGCCACGCGGGTTGTGAACTATCCCAAGATTACCGTCTCGGACGGAGACTGGACCACCACAGTCACAGCGCCCCCGGTGACTATCACCCAGCTTCTTTTCGAAGTCGTGACACTTGCTCGCGGCGGTGGGAATCGGCGACGCGCTGTACAAGACTTTACCCCATTCTGGCCCAAGCCCGCCACCACACCGTACTGGCCCCCTATCACGTTCACGGATCGACAGGGGAACATCGCTACGACGGCGGCTGCAGTTGCGTTTCCGGCGCCGCCCGACTCCATCGGGCCCGACGCACCACCGCCCGAAGCCGGCCAGTGGCCCAAACGATGGATTGAACCGTGGGATGGCTTGATCGATGACCCGTTCGTGCAGCCGTGTTACTGGACCGACTTCGGATGCTTTCCAGACCCATTCCGGGATTACAATCCCGCGCCAGACCCCGGCGACGATTTTGATGAGAACTGGGAAGACGCCTCGGTGACGTGTCCCGCGCCCTCTTCCACCACTACAGCAAGCAAGACAACAGTCACCCAGGAGCCCGAGCCGTCGCCCACCGAGACCTGGGAAGTGCACGGCCACTGGACAATGTCGGGCACTGCTATAACAGTGGGCAGAAGGCCACCAACGGCCAGCTCTCGGCAGCGAGCAACTCTTTCTGCCGGTCGCTCGGCGACGAGGGCGTCGTCCTACGCGTCCCCGCCGGCCGGTCATCTCAGGTCATCTCGCGAAACTACGAGCCGCCTGCGAATGGGCAGTGGCCTATTAACATTGACGTGTCGCTCGAGATTCGCAATGGGTGCGAGTTTACGGTCAACTATAACCAGTGCATGAGGTATCTCAAGGTGCCCATTGATTCTTGTGACTGCGGAGGGATCAATGGGAAACAGGGCGGTTGGGTGGCGAATCGATGCTATACCTGGAGAATAGATCCGCAGACATTTTAGATAGAGCGGGTATATTAAAGTAGAGGATAGCTAATATAGAGGATAGCTAAAGTAGAAAAAAGTTAAAACAGCTAAGCTTAGTAATAGTAAGAAGAAGCTTTATATCTAAAAGGAAAGTAATATATAAAGTATTTCTAAAAACTTTTACTATGTTTTCTTATCCTAGTCCAGGCATGTACACTTTGTACTCTATCCTTTCGCCTTACAAGTTGTTACAGTCCTAACACTAGCCTGTTGACGGTATCAGGTGGATACAACTGGTGCCAGGATCGAGGTGGTTGTCTGTTCGTGGTAGAGTAAGGCAGTCAAGTAGTATTTATAAGATAGTGGTGAGAAGTGCGTATTTAAGTGTAGGGGTATAGTTATACTTGAATTGACTACTGGAGAGTCTAAAAAGACAAGCTAGATACATAGCAGGACTTGCAGTTTATATAGACACTCCCTTCCCAGCTCTCCCCGGATCACTCTGGCTCACTGTGATCCTGCTCGATCCGGATCACTCATGGATCACTGTGATCCTGCTCGATCCGGATCACTCATGGATCACTGTGAGTATTGATCCCCGTGATCTGCTGTAGTTCCGTAGTTTATCCTTTTCTACCAGCTCTGACCGCCCGGCCCTTTGCCGAGCATGATCATCCTTGGATGCAATAATAGAAGGTTTTGGATCAGGTGTTAGAGCCCATCGCGTCGAACTAGGGTCGCTACTCAACACAAGAAAAGTATCCCGGTATTCGAAGATGAAAAGTGCGCGAGATTTTGGTTACCATGAGTGGCCCCTTCGGGGTCCCTCGTCTCCCAGCTCAGCTCCGGCTCAACCTTGCATCAGCACTCGTCAGTCCTGCTCAGCTTCTCTACTCACCCGTTTAGCTGGGCAGACCACCCCTAACCCTGCTAGGCTGAATCCTGGGTTTTTCGATTGTCCCTTACTATTTTCTGTCTGTCCCTGATAGAGCTTGAAAGGGCCTTGACATACAGTCCCACATTTGATCAGCTTCAGGTCTTTACGCCTTGAGGTAGCCATGGGACATCGGCCTTTACTCTTTTATACCGCTCATATCCTAGTACCACTCTTACGTCGAAAGATAGGCACCCGATGATCTTTTTGGCTGTGGGCCTGTCGACCTGGGCCTCGAAACGCATGAGAATAGTAAAGTGGGAATGGCATCATGATCAGCATGTAATTATCCCAGTTCTGCCACGGGGAGCATGTAAAGCTCAATGTAACTTGACTATTCCTTCGACGGAGCGCCACCGTTATACCCAAAGTCGGTTCACCATTATAATTCCAAGAGGGGCGCCGGCTGCCATGGCAGCATGGTAGAAAATAGCCTCAAGCCATGAAATGTCAGCAGTGTTTCATAAGAATGTACATACTCTTCTATACTGAGAACGTGGTAGGCTCTAAATAGTTCGTCAGATATGGAGGTCTTTCATGTATAGTGCTAAGGATTAATAACTAGGCGTAATTAATAAAGTAACTACTTTTAGATATGTATATAAACATAATATACTATATTACTATATTTTAGATATTATTTAGGGTGGTCGACGATTTTAAATTTGAAGAACTGTTCCTAGGGGTGGACAACTCATAGTTGTGTTGGGACAACCCATGCTTCGACGTTAAGATGATTAGTCAACCTGCTGGAAAACGTTTTCATTTACCGTACTATGATATTATCACCTGAAATTTCCAAACAGTATGCTAGGCTCCCTTAGGAGGATCTTGTCCATCGACATGGAATCGCCAGCCTCAGCCGATTCGGATCCGCAGCAAGATCTGGAACTTTGCTGCCAGATTTGCGGAGTTAGCTTTAATATCAGTCGTATTCGTCACGCTAACGAGCCGTTCAGTGCATCGTGGTGCGGCAAGGATGAAGGAGACTGGATTGGTGAACGGTTCCTGGCACCTTCGTATATCCTCGCAACACCTGCGTCCCTTGAGTCCTGTCAGGGCTGCGTTTCAGTCGCGCGAATGAGAACGGTTGATGGAGATGCCGTGGATGATTGTGGCAGCGAATATGTTTATGAGAGCGACGAGTCGTCGGAGCCATACGAGAACGTGACGCCTCCAGAGTCGTTGGGTGAAAGCGGTCAGCCGGAAGAGCCAGGCCTTGGCCAGCCGCAAGAAAGGAATCTAACCTCACCAGAATTGGGCGAGGCAGACTTTGACCGAAGCTCGACTGCATCGTCGGACTACTGGCATTTCATCTCGTCTCTAGGCTCACCGGACGACCCGATCTTGGAGAAGCCTAACCCAAGTCTAGATGACTTGAAACGCTCCAGTCTTAATGGTGTGGAACACGTAGCCGCCGTGGGGTGTCGGAGCACGGAAGGATACAATGGCCACAATATTTCGGCCGAGGAGATGAGGGCATGCACAACCGCCCAATTCCTCGTTCCCAAGCTTTGCCTACATGGTGCCCCTTGGAATTCCGAGCCGGATGATGCCGATTTCGAGGGTGATTTCTTTCTAAGTGGACTTACAGAAAAAGTTCCAAGCACGGAATCCCGCCATTCTCCAGCAGTATTTCCAGCTCGTCACCGAGTGCACAAGGTCTATGCGCAAAATTACGTTCCACACTGGGGGCACGTGGGAGAGGCATCTATGCCGTTTCACCCGTATTGTCTTGAGGTATACAAACGAGCAAGTCTCCAGCGCCGCAGCAAAGTAGGCATCGAATCTCTGACAGGCTGGTTTCGCCTTGAGAGCAACATGAGAGATTTCTATTCCTTTCCGAGGGACTCAGCTGTACGGAGAGGAATGCGAGGCACATGGAAACATAATTGGGGTGACGAATGGTTGGCGGCAAACCCATGCTTCGTCCCTGCCCTCACATCACTTTTAGACTCCGTTTGGCTTCCAGGGATAACTACCAGTGACCCGGGGTGTTTGAGCCGGAGAAATTCGCTCAACGACGTGTTTACCTGCCTCCCTACCGAGCTTCAACTCGAAATCTTGCGTTACCTCGAGCCGGCTGATATTGCAAACCTCGCCCAGTCAAGCCGAACCTTTCGGAGGTTACCTCAATCCTTCTTTCGGGAGCAGCTTATACACGACATGCCTTGGCTCTGGGAATGCTGGTGTGATTTGCCCTTTTCCTTTTGGGCTACCACAACCGAGGCAGAACAAGCAGCCAGAGCCGAGCTGTGGAACACGCAATGCTCCAACCTTAACACTTGGTGGATACCTGTTCTAAATGAGGAAAGCGAAAATTACGGTGGAGAAGGCTTGGGAATGGCCATTTCGGCACTTAGAACACAACTTGCGTCTTTGCAGCAAAACGAAGCCCGCGAACGTCAGCCCCAACCAGCAGATCTCCTGCCTCAGACAGGTATAGACTGGCGGCGGCTATATATACTTCTCACGCGGAACCTAGCGAGCTTTCGAGGGTTAAGAAACAGAGTCAGGATTTGGGAGGACTGTCAATACATCCTCGACAGAATTGACTTGCACCAGAGGGAAAATCGAATGGGAGACGGAGTAACGGACCCTGTGACAGTGGCTCGAGACTATGCCAGAGAAATCTATCGAGAACATCCGGAATACATTAGGCCTATTCGGCCACACTGACGGCAGTCCAAGAAGGCAAAGTCTAGGTAGGTATACACGCACTTATTAGTATCTCGACGCTACACGTATGGTGGGCAATAAATATACTTACAAAGCCTCAAACCCATGACATTTGGCCATTAGTCTTTTTTCTCCTCCCACTTTTGCCCTAATCAAGGATGGGGCGGCGACCACCCCCATTCCTCATTGGGCCCGTCTTCTCCAAGCTTTCCCTTATATGCTAATCTAGGAATCGTCCCCTGTACATACGGCCATAGCTCGCAGAATATTGAGGGTCCCGTCCGCTCCCCTGTACACAAGCTGCGAAGCGCCGGACTAGTAGTTGGGTCGGTGACGACCAGCGAATCCCCGGTGTTGTATGTTCTTTTTTTTCCCTCTCCACTTTCTTCCTTTTTTACTCCTGTTTTCTTTTTTCATAAATCCAATTTTATACTCTTTCCCTTGGCTCACGAGACTACTACTATTGGCTGTCTATACGGCATCCCTTGGCAGCTGTCGTGGGCATGTGTGGATGGTTGCCATATTCTACGAGGCTGCTGGAACAGATGGACCTTGAGGCACCTGATGCCGGTGAAACAGGAGATACTTATGCGGACAACGATTCAGACGTATTCGATCCATTTCGCGATGCGGATGACGACGCTGAAGAGTGTTCTCTCGGTCCAGATGCAAGAGCTATGGCCTGGCTGAGAGAGGAGACAGAGGTACACACATCTAGTCAGGGTACTGGAAATGGTGATTTTGTCTTTAAAGGGGTTCCGGTGTTCTTAGGTCATGGGACTGAGGATGATCGTGTCAGTGTTGTGCTTGGTCGGGACGCCTCGTGTTGTTTGCGTGGTCTGGGGATCGACGCTAAGTGGCTGGAATATGAGGGACTGGGTCACTGGTATTCGGGGCCCATGCTGAGAGATTTAGTCGAGTTCGTCAGGGAAAAGACGGGTTGGGAATAGTTCCGTCTCTGTCGCGTAGAGTGACACTCCTTCAACTTGGTGCCGTGGAGAAGGTGGGAATTACGTCCTAGTGGAGAGACATGGAGTCATGGTTGAGGGAAGGTGTCAGTAGGGTTGAAGGAGGAGAGGTCTTTAGACATAAACTTTTGAGTTTACTCTCTCTTATATCTATTTACTTCTTGGGATAGTCTTTGTGCCCCTGTCAATGGATATCTTTCCCCTCACTCATATGGGAGGAACTCTGCTATCACACTCCTCGGCTCGACATACTGGCCCAACGGCTTATACTCCAGCTCGTACCCATATCCCTTAGGTCCTCCCACCTCGATTCCTCTTGGTGTTTCTGACCACCTCGGCGAGCATGCAATGCCCAGGACGACCACGTGGCAGCCATACCTGTACTCAGGCACCCCAACTGGCTTCCCACTTTGGCTGTCAATCAGAGCAATCAGATCAGGAACAGTAGCGAGGATCTTAGTCTTTCCATCGTCAGATACGTGCTCCGCAAGAATATTCTCGTTAATGAAGGGGATCCTCAGCGTGCCACCTTGGGCAACAGCCGATACCGACTCCGCATTCTGGTCTTCCTCATCCTCGGCTGGCGTCTCTGCTATGTGAAGGACGCCAACCGAGAAACCGTTGTGCAGCGTTCGTTCGATGGCCGTAATCTTGCCCCTGAAGAGTACCTTGGCGCTCTTTTCACCCCCAACCTCGTCAATGATGGCCTCGGCAACAGTGGATATCGTATTATTCGCATCGGCGCGGGCAATAGCGCGCCCAATTCTCCAAGAAAGAGAGATTGTGTTGATAACACCGTATTTCTTCGCTGCTTCGCCGGTCGTAGGCCGCGCCGCAAGTCCAACGAGAGATCCCATCTCCTGAAGCGCTCCTCGAAGAGGCTTATCTACGCTCTCATCGTTCGGAGCGCGGGTCATCAGCATCGTCCTTCCATCACCCGAATCTATAGCGCAAGGCGTAAATTCCCCAGGGCGATGTACCGTGAGGGTCGTCTGCCAGCACATCGGGTTCGCTCGACCCATGAAATCGCCATCAATGACGGGCCTGTCAAAGAACCGCGAAGATCCCCACAGGAATGGTTCCATACCGTTCGACCCGCCGATTTCGAGGCCCATGGCGGCGTCGAAGGAGTCGTGGCGGAGGAATTCCATGAGGGCTTTGATGGCGAGGACTGTTTCGTGGGCTTGCAGGCGTTCGGAAATGGCGGCAGGTGAGCCCATACGGCCTCCCCAGTATACGCGCGCGTCGTCTTTGACTGATGTCGCATCGACGACGCGGATTTTGTGGCCGGCGGCGAGCATGTCGCGTAGCTGTAACTTGCCGGGCTGTGGGTTTCCACCACCTCCACAGCCTAGGAGGTAGCAGCCATCTGCTATATACTCGAGGTCAACGCTGCTGAGATGCCACTCGGCCACGTCGGTTTCTTTGTTGACGACAACCTTAGGTCGGTAATTGTCGTGATCAAAGCGATCTTCTTCTCCCTCAAAATCGGAAGACACTTCTTTTTGGGCGACGGGAGCGTCATCCGTATCTGTATCGGAGTCATCCTCCGGAATCTCTTGCTGTTTCTGTGACTTGTGGTCCAGCTCCCCGATAGCTGTCACGACGGACCGAATTTGGTTCTCGAGATATGGGATGGGCATGACATCTAGTTTGGCAATGTACACGCTCTTCCTCAAAGCACCGAATTCCACCGCTCTCTCCACGGCCGTCTTCTTCGCTGCCTCAGTAGCCTCAGCGAGGGTCTGCTGCGCTGTACTCTGGATGATGTCGATCGTTGCTCCAACTTTGGAGCACGCCGCCCCAACAGCATTTGCGACGTCGTGAAACGGAAGTTTAATAAGCGCGGATGCACCGGGCAGGGATTCCGGAGCGAGAATGGAACCCCCACCTGTGAGAAGGACGGGCATTGGCTCGGGGGAGGTCTTGACGGCATCAATGCCGTTCTGCAAAAGAGTCTTGATCCGGACCTGCGCAGCTTCGATTATGCTGCTGTCGAGTGTCTCAACGGCGTCCTTTGAACCGACGTTAGCTTTCCCCGCGGCCACGGCGATGTCGGTAGCGGTTAGAGTTTCGCCGCCAAATATCAGGGACCTGGCCAAATCATTGCCCACTGATGCCGGACCAACGGAGATCTTGTCTTCGGATAGAGTGCGGATAATAGACCCGCCTCCGAGGCCAATGGAGTGGAGGTGAGGCAATGAGTAGTTGACTTTGACCCCGGCAACGGCGACGTACGCCGACGCTTGTCTAGGAAGGCCGGAGGGCAATAGGACGCCAATATCGGTTGTTGTGCCGCCAATATCCACCACGATTGCTGACTTACTCTTTCCATCTTCTCCTGATGTATGACTGGAGAGGTACGCTGCACCTCGCATTGAGTTCGTTACGCCCGATGAGAAAGTCCTGATTGGGATTCTCGCAGCAGAAGTGGCATCGAGCAAGGTACCATCATTTTGTGTGAGGTAGAGTGAGCAGGACGAGAGCCCGAGTCTCTTCATGGCATTTTGGAAACTCCGGATGGTTCGACGGGCGAACCTGAGGATGGCAGCGTTGAGGATAGAGGCATTTTCTCGCTCGAGGAAGCCTAGAATAGGATAAACGGTTAGTTAGTGAACAAGTGGAGCAGAGATCAGCGCGGACGTACCGATATTAGCAACATCCCGGGAACAGACAATATCAGCCCCGGGTATCTCCCGAGCCACGATGTTCTTCACTCGCTCCTCCTGTTGAAACTTGGTATCGATGGGCGAATATACACCCGCGACAACAATGGTCGTCAAGCCAAGTCTACGAATTTCCTGGCACACCTCCACAACCTGTTTTTCGACAATCGACGTTTCTTCGGAGCCGTCGATGTGCAGGCCGCCATCAACGTATCCGACGTATCCCTGGATTATGTCTGCAAGGGTCTGTGGCCAGTCACAAAATGGTCTCACGTCCCTCAAGAAACTCTTCGACAGCCGAATAACCGCGACTTTGCTAAGATGCCTGGTGTCTCTCTCGATGACTGAGTTGAGAAAGGCTGTAGTACCTATCGTTACCGAGGAGATATTCCCGATGGGAACTTTAGACTGTTTGAGGACGATACGGAGGGCCTTTTCGATGCCATGAGTTGGGTTATGCGTTGTTGGAACCTTGTAAGCGGCCAAGACCCCACGGTTTTCATCGGCGTGTTGGGAAGGGTCCAGGACCACGGCGTCGGTATTGGTCCCTGCAGTAGTAAAGACATGGGCTGGTTAGGCTCTCAATGTGGCTGCGGATGGGGAAACGGAATCGAAGAAGATCTGAACCCTTGTTCAGTCTAGACTTGATCTCTCGAAATGATACACTTACCTCCGACATCAACGCCAATACGCACATAGCCAGGGCTTGTCATCTTCAAAACCTGAGACCCAGAAATGGTGTATTCTACACTACAGCAGAAACCTGTTTCACTTCAACCAAGAGTAAAAAGAACGAAGATTAGAATATCGTTGTAAGTCCAGATAGCCTGGTCTCCGATTGCGGATGCCCAAGAGATCGGACTGCCGTCTAGCCGTCAAAAAGAGGAAGACCCCGGCTTGATGTGTCCAAAATCGAAAGATGTTGTTAGTAATACTTCAGGTCGCTAACCTTAATGAGGTTGTCTTCTCCGCACGACAAGCTCCACACCGCATGGCGGAAGATATTTCGGTTTGCGCTAGTCTACTACTACTAGAATATATTTAGCTAGGGAGCCACGTTCCTTGGCGAGAAGAGGATATCCACCGCTGTACGAAGCATGTGGGTCTTGCTTGCACTTCATCTCACTCGAATACCCTGTCCATTCGCAACAGGACCGGCAGTTGAGAAACCTGCTTTCTCTGCTATTTCTGAAGCTATTGCTAGATTGGACTTGGTCGAGCACGACATCGTCAGGGGATATTTCGCGATTTCTACTGTGAGAGTGTGGACTGATTTTCGGACAAGACAGTAAAAGATGATCACAATACAAAATGGTCATCAGTACCGACCCGATGGCTCGGGTCTCGGGTCCATACTATTATCTATATCCACCCTTCTGTTGTGCATTGCAGTAGAAAGGTGGCTGAGTCTCAGAAATCCGGGTCATTGACATCGCGCCCCCAGTCACCATGACTCGTGCATTCTCCAAGCTCAAGCAACTGGTCCAATTGCACCAGGAAGATACTGACCTACCTCCCGATCGATGGCAGAACCGCGATCTTGTACCGCTTCCTCCAAGTAAGTGCTTCCATCTCTTCTTAAGTTCACGCAGAGACTCAATTATTTACTCTGATTCTTAGGCAGAAGACAATGGAAAGACTTGGATTTCATCGGTCTATGGAGCACGGTATTCCTGACCATCTACGGCTGGCAAGCGACCGCATCGGTGCTCTCTTTTGGGCTTAACGTTTGGCAATCCGTTATCTGCACAATCATTGCGCGTCTAATACAGATTGCCATTGTGTTAAGTCTAGGATGGATTGGTGGCGTATGGCACATCTCTTACACTGTCCAGTCGCGATACACGTTTGGAATATGGGGTTCCCTGTTCCCTATTCTCCTTCGAGTGGCGGTTACATGTGTTTGGTACGGCATCCAGAGCTTCACGGGTGGCCTTCTGATTAGTTGCCTGCTGTCAACCATTTTCCCAACCTTCCAGAGGCTGCACAATACTCTGCCCGCCTCGGCATCCATGACCACGAAACAATTCGTCGGCTTCATCCTTTACAACGTCGTTGCCATCCCTCTCCTCTATCTACCCCCCGACAAGCTCCGCATTCCTCTACGAGTCGCCCTCGTTGCCAGCGGTGCTACTATCTTTGGCCTCTCAATCGGTCTCATGGCCGCCGCCCGCGGTGTTGGAAACTACATCAGCGCCGGAGCCACCGCCTCTGCCGGACCCGAGCTGGGCTGGGCTTTTGTTCATGGCATAACTGCACTTATTGGTGGAAATGCAGTCGGCATGACCAGCCAGACGGATTTCTCTCGTTTTGCAAAGCGCCCCGGGAATCAGGTCTGGGGTCAAACATTTGGCGTGCTCTTCTTCGGCATCGTCGTCCCCGTCTTCGGTGTCCTGGGAACTTCCGCTGCTTCGAAAATGTACGGAGACGTTGTCGAGTTAGGACTCTGGAACCCTCCGAATATTGTCCAACTCTGGTTGGATACCGACTACAGCCCCAAGATGCGCGCCGCCTCCTTCTTCGTCTCCCTTGGCCTCCTCCTCAATATCCTTGCCCTCAACTCCGTCGAGAACGGTGTTTCTGGCGGTATGGACTTTGCTGGACTCTGGCCCAAGTACATCAATATCCGCCGAGGCTCATACCTCATCGCCGTCGTCTCTATCCTCCTCAACCCATGGCAGATCATCGCCAAGGCGTCCACATTCACCGCTGCACTTAGTAGCTTCGGCATCATCCTGGGTCCTATGATGGGTGTCTTCACGGCTGACTACTATCTGGTTCGGAAGCAAAAGGTGAAGCTGTCGGACCTATACCATGCTAGACCGGAGGGGATCTATTACTTCTTCAAGGGCATTAACTTCCGCTCCTACATTGCTTGGATTCTGGGCTTCGCGCCATCTATCGGAGGTATGGCGTCCTTGGACGCTAAGAATACAATTCCTATTGGCCTGGTCAGGACTTTTTATCTGGGATTCATCATCGGATATCTAATTTCCTTCCTGGCGCACTGGGGTCTCAATATTGTATTCCCGCCTAAGGGGCTAGGAGAAATTGACAGTCATGATGTGGTAAGTCCATCCCTTCTAGGAGAGATGTATTACAGGTTATAGTTCAAACTTCAGATTCTAACTACCTACCCATTCTTTAGTTTGGCACTTTTACACCGGATGAAGCAGCCAAGCTTGGAATTGAAGCTTCTATCAAGGATGGCAGAGACTTTACGGCAGAAGATGCTGCTGCTGCAGAGAAGAATGATGAGATCCAGAGAGACTCGTTGGAATAAAGAAAGACGAGAACCACTATTAGATATCCCAACTTATAGATAATTTACGTATAAATTCGAATTAACTTTCGTTGCTGCATTACAAGGACTCATTTGCGTCTGTTTCCCTCCAGGGGTCAGCAACTGATTTAAAGTCGTTTCTAAACCTGATGTTATTATGTTGTCCATGTCGGTCGAGTTTTATGATCCATCGGCCGTGTCACACTCTAGCGATCGATTTACAGGTCCTGGGCTAGCGGTCACTCTTTTATCTTCGACCCTTTTCCATCTTATCCGGGAACCAAGGTTTGACTTTCCTGTCGCCCATTTCGTCCTTCATTCCTCTTCCAAACCAACCACTATGAAGAAACACTCTACTCTAGAATACGTCTTTGACGTACCTGTGTATGGTAGTTTGCGTTACGTTACGCATCCGTCTCATCACAGGAAAAACCATGTCAAACTCGCCCGTTCCACATTCCTCTTCAACAAGGAGGCCAATTAAGTAGCATTCAGAGTGGAAACTTCGGTTCACCATTTCGGTCGTCTAGTCTCCACACCGAATCCCAGAATGAACTAGTTTTCAACTTGGCAAATGACGCGAGAAGCTCTCCACATCACGTCCCAAACTATTGGGTCAAGATTGAGACATTAGCCCCTCCAATGGCGGCTCGGTTTCTTCCGCTTTCGGGGACTCACCGATGCCGTCAATTCGGGGGGGGGGAGGGGGGGTAGTAAAGTGAATAGATGTAGTTTCTCGCACTCGCACTCCCTCCCGATCAATCCGTCTTACCGTCGGGGCTGTTGCTGGACTTTCTAGATTATTGGCGAATTAAAATTAAACAATAGACTGGGAAGTTGGAACGTCATCTCACATCTTAAAATGCCCGTCACCGAACTTACCAGCCTGGAGGATTACCAGAATACTCTGGGCCAGCCGGGAACCGTTGTTGTCGATTTCTACTCTACTCAATGCCCCCCATGCAAGGTTCGGATCGACTTCGTGATCACCTTGCCGAGCCAGACCATCGGTTCACTAACACTAGCTCTCTACAGGTCATTGCCCCTTTCTATGAAGAGATTGCCAACAAGCCTTCAAACAACCAAGTCAGATTTTACAAGGTCAGCGGCTTTTGTGCCTTAGCATCAAGGGCAGCATTTTGAAACCCCTAACATAGGCGCTCTGGATGAATCACTATTCTAATCTCCGGCCAGATCAACGGACTCGAGGAACCTGGAACAACCATTCAAAAAGCCGCGGAGGTGGTGTGGTGGCCTACGTTAGTGATCTACGAGGATGGCAAGGAGACCTGGAGGGCAAAGGTCCCCAATCCCCCATCTATCCAGCCGATTAGGGACCTAGAGAAGATTCTGGATGACAGGAGCAAGTCTCCGTGACTCGTTTCAACGCATTCTTATTTTCTGCGGCCAAGGGTCTGCGCATGAGACTACTCTTAGGTCAAGCAAAGTGTGATCACCAATAGATCTGAAAATACAGGAGCGTCCAATGTATTCACTCTTTCGAAAGGGGAGCGTTGTATCGATTGAATTTGTGTCAAATACGACCATATAAACCTTCCAGGCATAGTTACCGAATATTGCCCGTCTCGACAGCTTCCTTATGCCGTTTATACCAAAGCATTAGCATCTCAAGTATAGTGCCGGCGGTAAAGTCAACAGTATCCATGTCATCCTCACAAAGATGCTCGAGATCCAATACTACAATCTTCCTGTCCTCTACGAGGAGGTAATTATCTAGCCTAGGGTCGTCGTGTACATAACCAAGCCGTTGTAAAGGCAGGAAGGCCTGCTCGAGCATCTGCTGGAAGTCCTCGACCTCGAAGTGTGTAACCTTATCGCAAGATACGCCAGCTACGTATGATAGGATAAGCGCGCGTGTTCCTTCAAACTGAGCTTCTCCAAAGAGTTGGGGAAGAACATCCCCTTGGAGAGTGTCCAAGGCTTCGTACGTGGTCTTTTCATGATCGAATTCTTCGTCCCAGTCAGGCTTTAATTTCTTAAGAATAACCTGGGAGGGAAGGAATAGGCCCGGCCATATAGCCTTAGCGATCGATTGTATTGTTTCCGGAAGGTATGGGAGGATGGGAGATGCTATACGCTTGAGAAGGGAAGGGCAAATCGTAAGGAGGAGGACGTTGGGGTGGAGTCCGGACTTGTCAGCGAAAGTGGCGTCCGCAGTGACCATACTCCAGCCAAGCTGGAACTATTGAGAAGAGGTTAGCGGCTGGTGGCCACAAGAGAGGGAATGGCGAAGAGTTATCCTTACCTTAATCCGCCACGATGGTTGCTTCTGTTCCCCAGAATCCATCGTTTCGGCACGGAGACAAATTACTTTGGCAGGAGAAATTACGGAGAATTAAATCGAAACTCAGCTGGACGTGACGTTACGCAGGTCCGCCAAGACCACAATCCAAATGATTGCTGACATAAACCAGACCCTGGTCGAAGTCTGTCCAATTATAACGTAGAAGGGACAAATTAGGCAACAAAGGGACGTTCAGCCTTCTTTGTCCTCAACTCCTCGGAAATCGGGACCCTGTTTCCAGAAGGAGCATCAGAGGAGGTCACTTCCGAATTGAAAAGGGAGGCAGTGTTGTATAAATATGTACCAATTAAAATTTACGACTTTACGACCCATCAAATCTCTTCAGAGAGGAAAGGGCCAGTGGATCTGATACGTGTCCGGAGGTTCACGTTACACATACTCGTTCCACACCTGCACTTTCCTCTCTTCCTTCCCACAGTCCACGTGCGTCATGGCTCATGGGGATGTTCTTGCCAGAACAGGCCCACATGCCTTTTTCGTTTATCTGCATGTGTTTCAGCGGCTTTCTCTTTCCATTACAATCAATCTAGTGTTTTAAGGAGATTCCTTAATGGGAAATAACCGTTTCTCTTCTTGGATTTCCTATTATAATGATCTTCTTGTTCCTAAAAATTCTTTACTCTGAGTCCTTTTCTCCATTTCGACAAATAATACCATCCTGTTTCCAGTATTCCGATGATTTCCGACAATGCAGCTTCTGCCTTCCGGTTCGGGTTACTTACCCATCTGTAGGCTGCAGCTGCTGTTCAACTTCCAACAGCTCTCTCGCTGCTAACAATCCCCGCTTCCCAACCGCCCAATATCACATCTCCCTCCTCCTTTCAACCCACGGAGAAAATGTCCTTCACAGTTGAGGAACTCCTCCTTGACCATCCCAGCAATCCTGTCATTTTCACAGGACTCACTACCAGCACGGACAAGAAATGGGCTCGAGAGTACCATCCCATTACGAACCCTGTTGTTCATACTCGTGTCGATCGCACGTCAAACCCGCCGACTGTGACTGGGGGATTTGATAGTTTCCTCCCGCCCTATCAAGACGATGCGCGCAGGTTACGCGAGCCCGCATTCCCGCCAACTTTCCGGAAATGGAAACTCAGTTCTGAGGAAGACGTTGTCAACTGGTTTCACACTGAGATTTCCAATATCGTACTTGGGGCGTTTGCGAATTACCCCTCACTTCTTCAGGCTTCACATGAGAAGCCACTTTCAGCAGAGACTCTGTTAGAGACCATTGATATGGGATACTCAGTAAATCGAGAGAACAGGAACTACCACGTTGCCATTGGCGAATACAAGCGAAACTTGATCATTTGGAGTCAGTGGCAGGATGGTGGCTTAAAACTGAGTCAGCTGAAGCTGGGGCAGGAACTGAGAGGGTATGGTATCATACTACTACCCCTAGATTTCAATCTCATACTAATTATGTTTCCCTTAGGTATGCCCATAAGTACTCATGCCCTCATGTCTTCTGCTTCGATGGAGAGTTCCTTTTATTGCTGCAGTTTAGAGCAGCTTCGAGAGAGGACATCAAGAGTCCTAACTGTCCTATTGACTGCTGGGTGCTTCCACGCAATAACCATTCCGATGGTATGACGCTACGATACGCCCTTTATCGATTCCTTGTCCAAGGATTCCGGAGGTGCCAGGGATTGGCAGCGACTAACATCGCTCTGAACAATATTCCTCCAACCATGCGAGAGTTTCATACCGGCCGACCTCTCTGGAGGCAACAAGATGGAAGCTATCATCCCGGCCCGTGGGGCCACCGCAGACTCGTCAGCCCAGAGAACGGAGCTTTCTACTGGACTAAGCCAAAGAGTGACGAGCCACTTCTCACGGGGCAGGGATCACGGGTCTACGATACCTTGCCATTCTGGGAGCGAGGGCCAGACCTAGAGCCGGAAACCATGGAAGTCGATTCAAGTCAACACGAAAGTACCTCTGGCGCTGGTAGCGCTTCCACAGATGGTAGCGAAGATCTATATTCCGCAAATTAACTCGCTGCGGAGGCGGCTACTTTATAAGGAATGGCGACCCCCTCCGACCGTGACACCGCCCGAACTAGGCCGTCAAGATACACAATGCGTTGGTGCATGGTGCAGTTGGCATCCCAAGGTGCCACACGGGAATGGCCACAGCCAGAAGGGAAGCGTGGTGAGCCACACATCCGGATCTCACTTACAAACATATAAGGGGAGAAGGGCTCCGACAACCAGGGAAGAAGGAAGACTTGGAGAGACGGGAAGTTCAGTATGTGTGGTGAGCGGAACTAACTCAGCTAAGAGTGGCCAGTCCGTCGTTTCCCTCGGTTCTGGAAGCTGTCTCGCGAGATCTGTTCTTTTATCTTTCTCTTTAATATCACTTTCCTTATTTCTACTTTTCTTCTGTCTCCTCTGTCAGTGAAGCTGTGCGATGAAGATTTCCATTGATCACTAAGTCCCTGACATCTTACGAAGACCATTACGACCATTCCTTGACCAATGGACCGTTTCTCGAAGTTGTGCTGTTTCCTGTCTATGCTCCCTTATTCCTGGGAAAGAGTAGTCACCTTCAACTTTGGGCCGTGTTGCTCGCCTCCGGCGAAGGAGCGCGGCAGAGGCAGAGTTCTTAGGAAAGAAGAAAGCAGCTAGTGGGAATCTGGCCTCTCAAGCAGAAGTTGGGAAATCATGTGGGGAGCGGGAAGAGCATATTAATACTTGCGGAAATGGGAATAATTGGAGGCTAGAACTAGGAATTTTTCAGCATAAAAGAGATCCGCGGAATCAAGGAATTAAGGAATAAAACATCGTATTCCTATCCCAAGCATGACCCAGAGCAGACGTGAAAGCATCAGTTGTTGTTTTACGCTCGATTGCCCTTGCAAACCCACAGTCGTAACTGCAGGCTACGTGACGTAATCATTCCCAGTGTACCTGTGTAGTCTTGAATCGGGTTGAGTGCGATGATTCTACCTATGGTCGTATGAGGATTCGACGGCTAAGCCTTTCCGGGTCATTGACAATACGTTCCTTTCCCTCAGATGTCGACGCCTTAACTTTCAGCTGGAATGATCTCCGTCAACTTTTCAGCAAGCCGAGCGATATCTTCGCTCTCGGCATTGCGTATCGCGTCCCGGATCTTCTTAAAAGTCAGGCTCGTCAACCTTCGGCGCCGCCCAATAGAGTCCCACACCTCAATACCAGCCTCGTCCTCCGCCGTCTCCTCATAGTAGACGACTACATAGAAATTCCTCCAGTCCGCTCGTCTCTCGCCGGAGCTGTCGCTTATCCATCCGGAGTCGCCATCTATCATCCAGGACTCCAGTTCTCCCTGCTTGCCCCAGCAAATTACCTCCCACTGACGGCCCGTGTCGTTTTCCTGGAACAGCGAAACCCTCTGCTGAGGCGTCTCCGTCCCACTACCATCGAGAACCTTACCGGAAACGGTGCTCGTACGAGGTCGCGGCCCGACTTCCAATGGATCCGGCTTGTCAGTGGGATCGATCCAGGTCTCAGTTGCGGTGTAGGCCTTCGATGCGGGAGCAATGCGTAGCTGAAATGAGGGGTCTCGTGGAGGGGTGCGGTCGTATTTGGTGAGGGGGAAGGTAGTGAAAACAGGTTGCCAGTGCCAGCCAGTTAGGAACTGGATAGTTGGGTTTTGATATCCTACCGGGGCAGGTAGGTTCGATTTTGTCGGGGGGCGAAGGCATATGGCCGCATCATGAGAGAGAAACGATGCCATCACGGGAGAGAGATACGGTGATATCGTCGTGATACTACTTGAGCATTGATTATCTTGCGGCAAATTGAATAGTGGGCAGAGTGGGGACTAGTAGTCGAATTGTTGTTGTATTTCCTTAGAGAATAAAACATAAAAGGCCTCTTGCCTGCTGCCATCTCTGTGTACATACACCTCGAGAGCAGTTATTAGGGTTGTCGTTGAGAGTGAGGAGGACAGCGACCGGCCGGAAGAGAGGGGGGGTTTCCCGCGATGGTAGCCAAGTCGGGCATAGCGTGACTGCACGGCTGCTCGACAGACACCCGGCGAGAGGAACCAATGACCTCGGGGCCAATCCCAAGAAGCATAGAACTACGAGCCAACAGGATCACCACTCGAAGAGCGTGCGGGTATCTCGTGCAACCCCGCTTTGACGCCTGACGAAAGTTTAATAAGACGGGGTTTACTTCCAGCGTCCTTTTGCAGACGTGTTGTCTCAATCTATGCAGGAGTGTTTTAACAAGATGTCGACTCCTCCGACTTAGAGGCTTGACCTAGCTGTCCGGGCGATAGGTCTAACCAATACAGCCCTGAAAGCGGGCCGCTAGACATCGTTAAGCTCGTCACAAGCTAAACAGCGCAGTCGGCAGTTGAACTTATCAAATGGCTAGCGCGAGAGCGCATCCCCGAGGACTCGTTTGTGCACGCAATGTCACTTGGAAAAGGAATCGCTTCTGGCAATTCCAATGGTCTTGCTATCCTCAAGTCTATGGAGTAAGCGGCTGGCCACCTATCCGGTCCGAACCTCATCGTTCCTGGGGCACTAGGCCGGTCTATAGTTTATGATGAGAGTTTAAGATGGATTGGGATAACGCAAACAGTCCATTCGGAATATCAGTCCTGCGACTACGTTACCGGCGTCCTCTGCAGACTCTTCATTTCAGGGTCCCTTCCCGTTGACGACCCACGCGCCGATCTTCTCAAAGTCAGTATTCGACCAGTTCTCGCCAAGGGTGTTGAGAGCACGCCCTTATAGGAAAGGTACAAGATTGCAATATTGCCCTAGGATTTGCTGGCGAGAGGTCTGCTTTTGCTGCTCAATCCGACTGCTGCCTTGACTGCTTCGCTGCGGAGTGTAGGAGAACTAAACGCGTCAGGATATATTACTGTCCTGGAATGCGAACTACTCGAAAGCAAGTCAGGTATAGACAACAACGACGGGAACGCGGTGAAATTCGAGGGTGTGGATCGAATTGTGTCCCGGAGAGGACCCCCATCACCCTGGGCAGTCCTGGATGACTAGCGATTAGCTTTTAAGCTTGGTGGGCCCTCGGGCATGAGAAGACTAAAATGGGAAATTGACCTGGCAGTATTGGGTTATTCACAATTGGTTTAGAATTTCTTTTCTCTTTTACCCCTTTCCTCTGTGGGAATTTTTAAAGCTTGACAAATTGGATGTTTTCCTGTCGTTGAGTTCACATCATCTTCTTTTCTTCGCGATTAACAAACCTAATCTTGGCCCTTCATCTAACTTCAAAGTCCCTCTCGATCTAAAGTCGAATTTTGTACCCCATAATACATACTCTTCTTTAGCCAGCGCAAAGTCTAACATGTTATTGGCGCCCACACCTTTGTTAAGGAGTGGCGCCTCCATATTTCCAGCCTTCAGATTCCACTCTCGCGAATTTTATAACACGTCCCCCAGTAGATCGCGGCTACCAAGGACGATGTCCGGTATGGTGTCCACGCTGTTATCGAGCAGGAGCCTTAGTAGCCGCGCCTCGGTGCTCAAGATAGTTGTTACTCGCATCATGGTCAAAGTGTCTGGAGAATATCCCGATGAAAAGAAGACAAGGCCACATGAAGGGCTCTTCGATCTTGGCAAGTCGACCTTGTCAAGTTTGTAGTCGTAAGTGAGGCGAAAGCTGTTACTTAGTGCATGTCAGAGGAGTGAACCTGATAACTATCATACTGATAAACGAAAGACTCGAAGAGCAAAAAAAGAAGGAAATGAAAGAGAGAGATGCCCCATTCCTCCAAGCCTGGAATTTCCTTTTCCCGTTCCATTACACGCTCCGAACCTAACCCTATTCCTGGGGAAGGCTCTCTTCATGTCTAGGGCCAGTGATGGCACTTGCAGCACCGTCTCACCACGATAATACTATTATCACTCTTGTCAGAAAACACGAGTAGATATAGCGCAAAAGGCGATATGGTCCAATAAAAGGAACAGTAGCTGGTCCCCACTTCACCGAGCTTCCTGGAATGGGTACGAGAAAGTGGTGCTTGCTGGCGCCCTTCTTTGCCATCCCGCCGAAGACTATAACTTCGCTCCACCTTGGATTTGCCGGACACGTCGAGATATATTTCTTGGAGCTCCTTGTGTCCGTTCACGATCATGGCAAGTGGGTCCTTGATCTAGATAATCCTGCTCAAACTTCGAAGCTCAAGGCTGTACATGGCAGGGTGTCGGTGAGGCTATAAACCTGAATCCTGAAGAGGCTAAATGAACATGCCTGTCACACTCACATCTCCATCATCAGACTTCAGGTCGAAGACAGCAATATCCTTAGCATCTCGAGGACACGGTTCTCTTCCACTGCGTTTAACTGACAATCTCATCAGCCCCGTTGGGTATCTCGCGGCTTTGCTAACAAGGCACTCGTCGCATGCCAGGCATTAGCACGCCACCACTACCAGGGGCTACAACGGAAACCTATGAAAAAAATCACAGGTCAAATCAAACCTGATAGAAACGAGGTTGCCATGCAAGGTCAGAAATATAATTGATGGATCCGTGATGACTGCATGCTGGTAGGGCCACGGCGGCCGATTCGAAGGGAGCCGTAGGAGTCGATGTGAATTCCATGTTATCCAAGAACCATCGTCCGCCAGTCCTATGCCACGACGCTCAATAGAGAGCCCGCTGAGATGGTCGGCGGCGTTTAGTTCTCCCAAATTACTAACGAGTTGCAAAATTGGGGGATTGAAAACGAATGTCCCTCTCTGCATTCGAAGGTAAGCCCCGTTCTCCTCGAGATACTGTGGCCCTGTGCGATGTTGTCCAAGTTCAATGCGAGCCACGCGAGCACGAGATGCGAGGTTCCAAATGTCCAGTTGTGTCTCGAAATTCCAAGTCCTAACAGAGAAGCATACCATGAAATTTGGGTTGCTAAGGAAGCCGACCAATCCGCGAAGATCCTCGATGTCGGGATACTCAGATCCCGTGATGGTGTAATGGGTGCCTGTGGTCATATGTCTGATCCCAACGAATTGAGGGCTATGCGCCAGGGCAAGGAGTTCCGAATCTCTGGAGAATATGAAGGATGTACTGAGGGCGCTTCCACAATCTTCACCCTCGAATATTCGCATAGAAGCCCATGTTGTAAGATCCAGAAGGAGAAATGGATACTCGCCCGCAGTGTTACAATAGTAGCCGGCTAGGAAACGCCTGTCGTGTGAAAATTCTAGCCTAGAAACCTCGCTCTCGAATCGGTCGTCGAAAATGTGAACACAGCCGCCGCTTACGACGTCCCAAATTCCGATTCTATTCGCTCCTTCATCGTCAACGAAGCAGACTGCCATAAGACCCGAATCACTTGAAAACGCCACTTGACGGCACAGACGCGGGTACTCGAGCACAGTTGTGTTGGTGAAGATATTTTGAACTCTGAGTTTTGATATTCCGGCCGATGCGAGAAGTTTCAAATTCGGCGAGATGCCGATCTTGAGAATAGCATCGTTTAGGCTCTCACCAGCCCGCCCCCCTGCTCCCTCGAGTCCTGGTTCGGCAACACCCCACATCTCAAGCCCAAAACCGTGTGTTCGCACCGCGAGCGTCTTGGAATCATGAGAAAAACTCATATGGCTGACGCCTCCCGATATCCGCGCTCCATAGTTCGAAGCCGCCATCCATGGTGCTACAAGGTGTCCAGATGCATCTAGGACACGCTTCTTTAAATTGGGAGAGAATGCCATACAGTCTGATGAACCAAACCAGGTAAGGGGCGCTTTGAGCGATGCGGAAGGGTCTTTCGGAACACAATGAGAGTTCTTCGCAACTACCCATGCTGGATTCAATTCCAACTTCTTAACACGGGTGCCGCTCGTGACGTCCCAGATATTAACAAGAGAGTTTCTCGAAGCAACAAGAACTTTCGAATCGTCCGTGAAGAACATGGATTGCGGATGGAAGCCCATGTTCAGGGAGTTAATGCAAGTTCCCGTCGCTACATCCCAAATCTTGACCTCATGACGGTAAGACACGGCAAGCATTCTCGAATTGTCCAAAAATTCCAGCAACCTGGCGAGACGGCTGTGTGAGTAGACGACTGCCTTAGCATTATTCCATTCCATGGTTCTATAGCGGGTCTCTGTTTTGACGTCGAATATAGTGATCGTTGGACCCCAGACTGATGCAAGTAGTTGAGAGTCGTGAGAGAAGGCCACTTGTGCTGTTCCCCCCTCAAATTTCGTTTTACAGACACCTGTGGCGACATCCCAGAGTCCAATGGTTTTATCATCCGACGACGAGGCAAGTAGTTTTGAGTCATGGGAGAAAGAGAGTGCCAAAATCACATCGGCATGCCCGGTAAGGACATTCTGACCAAGTCCTGTGGCCACATCCCATAACCTTATTTTGCCATTGCCCGCTCCTGACGCTATTATGGTTGAGTCATGGGAGAAGACGTGGCACATTATCACCTCGCCTGGTACGGAAAGCGACTCAAAGCAGAGGTCCCAATTAGGCGTAACATTGGGCAATTGAGAAACCCATTCTGGAAACTGATTCCGGAAGGTATTCCGAACAATGCTACGCTCAGGGGCAAAGATGAGGGCCGACGAGTATATTTGAAGCGGATAGTCGTGAAGGACTCCGCGGTTGCTGAGTATAAAACGTCGAATGTCGTGGAGATATGCCCGGATTTCTGTGCTTGACTCTATCTATTTAAATGTTAGCATTGTTTTAGGAGTATAGTCGACTGACGCACGAAACCATACATCGAGTAAATTGATCAGATCTTGTATCATACCAACACCGTCTGGAACGTGTCCCAGGATACTTAGAGCCTCAAGCCAGTGGAGAAGATGTCGGATCAAGAAGCGGTGGACAATATCATCATCCTGTAAACGGTGCTTGCTTTCTTTCCAGTGATAGCTCCAGTTCCTGCAGGCATACTGAACTTCAGGAGATAGACGCGTATCGATTGTCTCTTGAGCAAGATCAGCCCGAGACGCTGCCGGGAGTTGTAGGCGGCAGATGTCTTTCTCAAGTCCACTGTCCATTTGTGATATGCATCGGACAGCGACATGATAATGGGCTCTTTGCTCTCCGATCCAAAATGTATGTCCATCCTGGTCGGGGCTGATGAGGAAATCTCGGAAGGACAAGTGAAGGAGTCGCACGGGGGCTGTTGGGTCTGGAGGGATATTCAAAACGGAGTGGAGGAGGTCGAGTTGATTTTCGATCGTGTCGAGGGGAAGATTAAGAAGGTTGGAGAGCGATTGGGCTGAGAGCGGACTGGCAAGAATAACAATAGACCCCACAATATCCTTGAACTTGTCCACCACTCGCTCTTTCGCTAACTTGTCTAGCCCTACAGTCAACTGGTCTAGGACAGGACTATAGGTGGCAGCTAATCCGGAAAAGTATGTTTCTTCATGGTCCAGGACCTTCAGGATCTGTTCTCGTGGTCCACCAAGTCTTCGATCCTGGATAAAGCGGCTAATGGTAGCAGCCAAGATGAACAGGGGAACAGCCTTGCTAACTAATTTGCGGACGTTTTCTTCTCCAGGCCAGTCAAGAGGTAAGCTCCTCCCAGGTAAAACAGACTTATTGTAATCATTCAAAATGTTTGAGAGTTCATGCTTAAAGAAAAGACTAAGGTCATGTTTGATAACACGACGGGGAACCTCGTGAAGAACTAGATCATGGTGACTATTAATATTCCGAAAACCGATCCGAATAGGAAGCTCAGGTCTGCTTGTCAAGAAAAACTTCAGGCGTATTGACTGCGGCTGTCTTAAGTGCCGGAGAAGGGAGAGAATCTGCTGGATAACGTTAAGATTGTCACACTCATCGAGCGCATCAACAACAATGATCTTTATCGTTGAGCTCGAGCAACTCGGTAAATGGTTGATTGGGCCTTGTATAAGAGCGTCAAAGCTCTCTTTGACTGACTTTTCACAAATGGAAGGGTCGGTCTCAATCGCCTGCCGGATATGCGGCGCTAATTGTGGGAGCTGGCGGGCAAGTTGGGCAGCAATGGTAGGGAAGAAGAGCCTGGCGTGCCCGCGGTCGCCTTCGCCTCTCTTGAAGAAGAAGCTTGCGCCGAGCTTTCCATCTTTCGCAAAACGCTCGGCAGCCGTCCGGGAAATTGTAGACTTCCCGGTTCCAGCCATCCCATTAAGCCAGAAGATGCGCTTCGAGTCGTTGGCAACATCATTTGCCCAGGTTTGTATATTTGCCAGTATCTCAACTCGAGTGCCTTGGTAGCACCTTGCGCTGTCGGCATCGCTATGGCAATCGTAGGCTGCTCGCGGAACGACGCGCAGCTTTGAATCGATGATTTGCTGGTGAATGTCGACAAGTATGGTACTTGAAATCGAAGGGATTAGATACTATATACAGGTTATGCTAGGTAAGAAAAGTCTTCAGACTTACGTTTGGTGAACTAACAACCCCGTAGCTATCGACGTCCGGTGCCTCTCTAACCGACCAACTGTCTCGGCAACCTCCGTCCTTTTGAAGGGCCACACGATCCGTCTGTGTCCGGTGCCCTCCTGAAGTTTGGCAGTTAGTTTACCGAGCTCCATTCGGCAATCCTCAACCCCCTGCCGGATGCTTTTCGAAGCTTTGACCGTATTGGCGTTGGGGCCATCAAGAACTGTTTCGACTTCCCGTAGAGTTAGCACCCAGCGGTCGGCCTCCCGGAGAAGATCTTTAATCTCGCGTGGCGCATGCTTGAACCCGATACAGTACTCGGAGCAGAGCACGCCAAGTTTAAGAAACAGGTCGACGACTGCAATAATATTCGCGGCAAGCCCGAGAGCTTCCGCCATATTGCCGGCGAGGTAGAAATACGTGAGTAGAGAGTTGTCGACAAGCAACTACGAAGAATATTTCACGATTCGGCGGGATGAGCAACCCCGCTCTGTTACAGCCTGACAGCCTGGTCAACGATTTGTGATGGTGGCTGCTCAGCACCTGGCCTGGCCAATCGTATTTGGGAGACAGTAGACGCTCCCCTTGGAGACCATCAGTCCGCTTAAGCGCAAGCAGAATAACTAGGTAAATGCAAAGGTAGAACTACTAAAATATCTCCTCACCTGCATTCCGAACGGGGATCTCGCTTTCCTCAATTCGTCGATTCTGATAAGTTTCTTCGCTCGAAAAATTCACCCTTTCGACTATAACGGTTTTATAAAAACGATACTAAATATATATATCGAGCTTATATCTATTTTTCACTTTCTCTAGATAAGAGCTAATAGTTGAGAATTTTCGAGAACCACTCCTTATCGTTTTGGTGCTTGTCGTGCTGGAGTTGTATCTAGCAATCTAAGACACCGAATTTCTACGAATTGGCAGAATGGCCGAGCGGTCTAAGGCGCTGCATTCAAGAACAATTCTTTCCAGAGAAAATTTGGCTCTGCAGTTTCGAAAGAAGCATGGGTTCGAATCCCATTTCTGTCACTACTTTCTATTTTTTATTATGTATTTTTTTCCCCGCCCTCTTTTTTTGCTTCTGCCTTTCTTTTCATTCAAATTATTACTTCTTTCTTTCTTTCTTTTCTCTTTTTAGCATTTCTACATCATGTTCCTACCAATAATACTTGAACTACTTAAACTGAACACCATCTGCGGCTCATAGGTGATTCCCCGACTCTTCAATAATTTAGTCATCTACAAATCAAGACGAGGATTATGCCAGTCGGATGCCGGATGCCGCTGAGTTCTGCTGCCAGAACAGCCATGAGGCCGTGGTGGCCCTGCTGCTGGCAACGGGCTAGGCTCCCCTGCCGTTGTTCCTTGTCAAGCTTCGCCCAGCGATCTTCATCTTACCCGCTCTAAACAAGATCTATTACTCTCTCGGCCCCGTCGTATACATCATCTTTGGCTTCCTCAAGACATCTGACCAGTCTTTGAAAATTGAGCATGAGGTGTATCCCATGAGCTTGTCTTTCCCGTTCAACCTGCTTCTCCTTCCGCTCAATTTCATCCAAAGTATGATCTGACTGCTCGTTTGCTTCCTCGGCTTGAATTCCAAAATTCGTCGGGCCAAAATCAGGGTGTATATGTTTTGGATGGCTCTAATTCTTGCCTGCCCGAGCGCAGAAGGGAAGGGAGGGGGGTTTGTGAGCCAGGCTGCGCGGTCCTACTGCTGTTCTGGACGGACCACGGACCCTATATCATTCGGCCTTCTGGAAAATTTGGAATCACCGAGTTCCGTTACCGCTCGCATTATACGCCCGTAGAGGATCAAATTGTCAATGCAACAGCAGAAGTAGCCGCACCTTAATCGGGCCTGAACCTATTATTGATGAGCGCACTTCTCTATCGCTCAGTTATGAGGGCCACCAGTCACCAATCTAGATGCTACATTTATCGCATGTGCCGCTCTTTCACGCTCTAGGAGAGCAAGGTTCACTGGAATCCTGAAGGATGGGAAGTAGGACGTCAGTAATATTGGTCTTACCGAGAACGGCCGCCATAGATCTGGCGGAGATGTTGGTCAGCCAAATCTGTACGTGGCAATTTCCTCCTCGGAGAAGGGATCTAGATACAGTCATTGGAAGGGTTGCCTGGGTAAGGTCCTAGGCTCGCATGAGAGGGCCGCATCTGCAGAGAGCCGGATTTCCAACTGGAATACTTCATTCTGGACTATCCATGTTCAGGCAAGCTGAATTCTCTGTCCCCCTTACGGAAATGTTTCGGCAGCAGGGAGATGTCATGAGTAAGACAATCTTGAGAGTTCGTTCTACTCATGGAAAAGGGACGTTCTGCAGGGGCTCACATGCGGCAAGTATAATGTCTTCTGCAAGTCCGCGGCAAACATTGGGACATGATGAGAAATCAAAACTCAAACACCGGATTACAATTTAGAACCTATCTCGCAAGAGATAATAGTTACCGAGATTGGGCTTTTTGTTTCTTGTCGGGGTGGGCCCAGAGAGAAAACAAGCTCCTGCGGTCCTTCAAGATGCCGTGCCGTGCCATCCCCCCTCTGCTGTTCGACTGCCACGCCACCGGCTGCAGATGGACCGTGGTTTGGGTCGTTCAAGTGGGTGTGGGTTTGTTCTCCCGGGCCGTCCGAACCGAGCCACAGCCTCAAATCAATGGTTCACCGACCGCCTCGTACCTTTGCCCTCGCACTTCCATGGGTGTATTGAGTCAGTAATCGTACCAGCATGTGGAATCAGTTTTTCCTAAGGTGCTCCTTCATCGGTGGGTTTCCATGACGCGGCATTAAATTGATATCATTTCGGATACTGGGGCGCAGAAAAGGAACAGGGATCGCAACTGGCGAGCTTCCTCAATGAGGGGCTTCATGGCCGATCCCTCTCTTGTGAATGATCCCTTGCAATCCCTTGCATATGGCCCCTAGTAGTATATCACCAGTTCTAGCATCCTAGGCTCGCGAATATAAAATGGTGAGTATCCGGTCACTCCAACCAAGGTAAAGAGAAACAAGTCACCAGTGGTCGGAGCTTCTCAACAAAAAGACACACCAAAATACTCCCAGCAAGACTTCTCTATCGAAAATAAGCTTCGGAAATGCGCGCCATAGTCCTCTCCATTGCCAGTGCGGCTGCCGTAGCGGTCAATCCGCAGTTTCAGCATCCTCATTCACTCGAACGCCGCCAGGGTCCTTGTCTAGGCGGCAGCTACGACTCATGCGTAAGCTTTTGCTGCCAGTTTGGCTATGAGTGTCCTTGCTCCGCCACCGGTAACTGCGTAAGTGGTTCTTGGTCTTGATTCTTCAATGCCATGTCGACATTGGCGGGAAATTTCAACGAGTTCTAACTCACGTTGGCTAGGATGCTGACTGCTACTGTGGCGTCTTCTGCGACGACAACGGTGGCGGCGACGACCCTGGCGATGACGACGGCCCAGGTGACGAATGATCCCAGGATAATGGTTTATCAAGGACAGTTCAGGGGGTTTTCGATGTTCCCTGAGTCAGACATTGCTGGATCATAGGACCTTTTCTCGTTGTGCCACCGCTTCTATGAGCCCTATGCTCCCGCCGCTGCCATTTTGCACTCCCGTATAGCTGGATGGCATTAGGCTTAGCCACACCATAAAAATGACCTGTATTTCTCGGGGAAGGAGCCACACAAATAAAGAAAATATAACCGATGAGCTTTGTCGTGACTCGGCTATATATGCCTCTTGAGTAGGGAGCTAAAGGTTCAACTTCTGTCCATGTCGTAGTTCTAACCCCCCGCGTCCGGTGTACGGACTTTGTATCAACTGCATTTGGCCAGTTATAAAATATACCCGCTCCTCGGGCTTTCTCTGTTCCTTTTTTGGGCCCCGTTTCGTCCAAGATCCATTGGCTTGCCAATGTCAACTCGTTGATCATCTGCGGCCTACGCGCTAGCATGCCTATGATCATCCTTGCCAAGACGGTTCGGGTCGACACCAATGGGGGCTAAGACATTTCGACGGAAGAGGCTAAGGTGAAGCAAATACAGCAGGTAGGCGGGAGCCATGCTGGGCGCGGGTGATAATGGCATTAATATGATCATTGGCTCTTAAACCTCCTACTTGGGGCTAAAAGACGCATTTCCGCTTCATCCATTTCTTCGGACCCACTCGCCATTTCCAGCTGCAAGTGTGGCAGACCTAGGTATGGAACTTGACCTGGGGATGAAACTCCCCGCAGGATGACAGTAGGAAAAGAGGATCATTCCGTAAAACAACAGTGCTGAACAATGTCATTATTATGTGATGCCCCTCAAGGGATAGGTGCTTGCCTGGAAATAAAACCCACGGATCGGTTGAAAATGAAGGTAAGATGATGGATAAACCTGAGATGTACTAGGATAACTCTGCAATTGAAAAGATAAAATTCTCAAACGAGTGTTCAAACGAGTGTACAGTATATCGCAACTCCTTCCCCAACCTCCAGAACCTGACGCCTCTTGTAAAATCCTAAAATGCTTGATAAAGAAAGACGAAGGAACACTGATGTGTGCCCAAGACGCCAAACCATCCCCCTTTGTTACACCTGATGCGATAAACAGCAACTGGATCAGCCGTGCTAGTTGAACGAAGAGATAAATCGAGTATAGAAGTGAATTCTTCGGGCTAGAGTTTCTCGGATTTCATCCTCTAGTAGCACTTGCATCGCCTAAAAGAACATTAATTAAAGAGTCTCTCAGAAGCATCAGCGTTGAATACTTACGGGCGACCAACGAAGGGGATATAAGGACCATCGCAGTATCCCCCCTTATAACCCTTAACGCTCTTGCACTACGTATTTTGTAAGATTAAGATGTCCTCTAGAATTCAAAGAGCGCAGGTACACTTACGTGATTGTGGCACTTCTTTTCGTTGCCAGGGCATCCAAAGCCGCGCTTTTCCAAGCCCGATGGAGCCTCGTAGGCTTCTTCCACGGGAGCCGGCTCGCGGGCAACAATAGAGTCGGGCGAGTCGACGGCGGGAGCAGCCATCCCGGTGGAGGCGAGGATGGCGAAGAGGGCGGCGATGGAGAGATTGGAGAGCTTCATTTTGATGATGGAGTAAAGAAGTTGGCTTGTTGCTGGAAAAGATAGTTTTTAGAATTGAGTCTTGGGTTCTGTTGCTTGCTGTTGAGGATGTCTTGGAGATTGGGATAATGGTCACCTCGAGGGTGAAGAGGGCATCCTTTATATAGACGGATTCGCCTTGGAGTCTGATACTTGCTTTCTGAAGAGCATCGTTCAGGATTGGTGTCTACTGGGCTGAGGGCATCATGGTATTATTTGGAGAATAATAATACGGATGTTGAATCTAACCGTCCAGTTCGTGTGTCTTATTATTTCACTGCCTTCTCCATTTTCTCCATTTAGGTAAGTTCAGTGCTACATTTCTATTTCAGTCGATGATCATCGGAGCTCTGAACAAGCTCTTACGATGACTTTAACTACTAGACGATACCGCTAAGCTTTATGACGTGTGGCTCCCTGCCCTACGACGTCCCGGCCAAGATCAAGACTCTAAAAACAGAGTGGTCTAATAATAGCAAAGGTCAAATGCGGTTGCTTATTCGTGCCTTGGCGTATTTGCGAAGATCGATTGATCACTAATTATAGAGCTGAACCCCGCGGTGGGGCGGGGGCTGAGCCTCAGCTTATTATTCCGGGGTTGCCAGCTTTGTATTACTTCGAGCTGAGTCCATCGACTTTATTCGGATTTGATGGCAGCCGCCCACCCAGAGGTTCAAACTCAATTAGGAAAGCACCATCCGGGCCTTGGGCATGTGGTGGTACTAAATCAACTTCAAGAAGTATGGTCTCTTCCGTGTCGCCGAAGGAAGGGGGAGCTTTGGCAGCCAGATTTGCTGATTGGACATCTGGTTTAGAGAGGTTTTCGACCAAAAAAAAAAAAATCTTGAAGCGAAAGGTCTGAAAAATGAAAATCGAGGGGGAACTCCGCGTCTCGGATGATAAAGAAGAGCCGCCGATGCCGGAAGAAAGGTCGGCATGGTTTGTGGAGGTTATACACATCTAATTTTTAGCTGACACGTTTCTCCAAGGTCGGGGAGCTCCCACCCAGCAGTAGCACTCTGTCCAGGCAACGTCGCTGCCAAACCGGGCAGGGCATTCTAACTAAGATATAAACTTCAAAGAGGGGAACATCCAGGTAAAAGCTGAACTTCATTCATTAAAACTACGTAAATTAAACCGCACATTTCTTCTCAGAGCCGACCCTCCTCCAAATCTCGCACCATCTTCTCCGTAATCTCCTTCTGCTCGTCCGCATAAACCCCATACTTCCCCTCCCTCGACTCCTCAATAAGCTCCAAAACCTCCTCGAACATACCCTTCGCTTCCGGAATCCTCTCCGGCGCCCGCTTCCACACCGACCGCGCAATAATCCTCCTCGAACCCAGGGCTTGCGGTGACGTCTTGCCAAGCCGGCCGACGAGCCACTCGTAGACTTCGCGCTCGAGCGCCTCAGCTTTAGCGTATTCGCCGCGGTTGAAGAGGAGGACGGATAGCGTGTGTTCATGGGAACGGTTGTTGGGGTATTTCTTTCGGTCGATCATCATGCGCAGGTCGGCCTCAGCATCCGGATGACCCAGAGCGTCCTTGAACGTGAAGATTCCGAGCCAAAGTTGATCCCAGGCATCGAAATCCACATCGTAAAATGTCTGCGGGGCGGCCATCGCATCCTCACGCGCCAGCTTGTCCTGCAGGATCTTGAGCAGCAATTCCTGTTTCTCCTTGCGCGTTTGCGTGCTCTCGGGGTCGATGGGGAAGGTCTCAAGTTCAGCGGGTGAGACGCTCTGGAGGAAGTTGCGGGCCTCGGTGAATTCGAGGTCGTCCCAGAATTTGTTCGAGGGGATGGGACATTCCCATCTGAAGTTCTTCGCTTCCCCGATGTCCTTTTTCCCAACAGAGTAGCGGGGCGCTTCGGGGACAGTTTCGGTGGCCATTTCGAAATTGGATAATGATTGTGAGGAATTTGAAATTGCAGTAACAAGCTTGGATGGTATTGTTTTGAGAGAAGCTATGGATGAAAGAGAATCTCGGAGGTAAAATAAATAACGGATTGTAACTGCTTTTGGTCTGTAGACACAGCGGGTAGCACGCCATCCTTCCTCATCAAAACAAAGGCTCTGTTGTGTTGAGAAGGGTAATTTGCTGGTTGGTTGGCTACTTCTGCCGACAGTCTGTACCACATTCCTAATATGATCTACACGGGAGCGACCGGCTGCGAGGGAGACCCCGCTTGAGTGCAGCCATGGCCAATGGAGGACCTAAAACCGGGGCTTTGTAGAATGGGTCGGGGAGGCGGGGCCTGTATTGTTAGGCGACCCTGAACTAGACTTATGTATTCGTCTCGTGTGTGGTGAGCCTGTTCTTCATGTTCTCAACCTTGCAGGAGGGATATCGGCGTTGCTCGAGGAGTCTAGCGGGGCGGCGGCGTATACTAAAATTGGTGAGAATAAAATGAGAAAAAGCTGACTGATATGCTCGTTAGTGTTGTAGGTAGCCTTGCCCGAGGCAGCCTGGAATGAGGAGGCATGACGATGAGTGAACAAGGTGGGATGAACTCGCCTGCCCGCGTCAATCGAATTCGAGATGCCGAGTCCCACGACTTTTTGCCAAGTGGAAGTAGTCCTTGGCACTATTGAGTCGAGTGAATGCAAGAGGAGGACATCGACAATCTCGTGCGGGTGTTGCCCAGGTTCTTGGTGAACCTAAGCTCCTTCGAGAACTGGGATCGTCCCCCACCAGAAGAGGACCCCGCCGTGAGCGAGTGCATCCCTGACAAAACTAAGAAGCGCAATCCTCTTCCCTTTAGCCTTCTCGAGAGACAAAAAAGACAGGGTCCCAGGAGTTCTGACAAGAGGTTCTCGAACTCGTCGGAGACAGCAGCCCTACGGAGACCGGGAACCAAGATCTCGCAGGCTCTCGCATATCAGGGCGAAAGTTTTCATCGGCGACGAGCTCGTCTCCAGGAAAAAAGGAAATCTCCGAGCTATGAACATCCTCTTCAAGCGCAGATCGAAACAGAGATCAGTGACTGGAAGCGTGTCATGCCCAGGTGTGGGATACCCATCAGAGGTTTGGGATGGTAATCTCTTTTCACCAGCAGGCATCACAGGAGGCGAAGCCGATCAGGATTAACGTCATGTCCCAGAATAAAGACTCTACACTACCATCAGTGGGTTTACTATATATACCTCTCAAAGTTCACGTATGTCAAAATCCATCTAATATCTATCGTCAAGCCGTTCGATTCACATATGGCTAAGAGAGTAATACTAGGAAGGAACAATGAGAGGAAACAAGTTGTTTTGTGGAGCCATTTTCATATAGAAATGGCTTTCTTCGTTTAAAGAAAACGGCCAGCCATCACCTGTTTGACCCCCCTTTGGGTCGATAATATGACTGTCCAGTCTCAGCGACATTTGTCCGCTGGTGGTGTTTCTGGTGGAGTTGGCGGGCCCGTGTCAGGTGGCGTATCCGGGAGGGGCGGAGGTGGGGTGTCCGGTCCGTACGGTGGGGTACTCATATGTATTTCGCAAAGGATATCCTATGGATGTGCCTTTATGCCGATGTCAGTGAAACGGTTTACAATGGCTATGGAGTCCGACATACTGGTTTGAAATTCAAGGATTTCTTGAGCTGGGGGAGGAGGTGGGGGTGTGAGAGGAGAGGACGGTGTCCACGGAGCTTAAGGCAGTTCATGGGCGAGGGCTAGGTCTTCTTATATCTTTGTACAGTCCCTGTCAGATCAAGTTGAGGCGTGCCCAAGCGGCACTCATCAGGGAGCCTTTGAGGGCAGAGGATGTTAGTCTTAAAAACTGATTCGCTAGTGGCTGCCCGATTACCTTGCAGCTGGTATGATGGCGTTCGCTTTTGATTCGCCTACGATACCGGCTCACTACGTAAAATGAGGCGAGGGGGCGGGGAAAGGGCGGGGAAAGGGTCACCGTGAATAGATCCTCACATATACGACGCGCAGTGGAGGTTTGAGGACAAGATCGAACATATTGCAGATCAATGGCACGGGATGGTTTAAAATACAGGCGCTCAGAAGTCTCTGCTCGCTCGCCCTGGATATATTATGTACCTCGGTTGTGAGAGTCTCTACACTGTTGCATCCGCTCGAAATATTCAAAGCCACATCTTCTCTGAAGTAGGATTTATGAAGTAAAAATTTAATGACTGAGATCCGGGACGTTGAAGAAAACAACTTGTACCGTCATATCATCTCGTAGACTTCTGGAAAATGGAGAACTAAAGGCAAGCCGACCGGCGATCAACTCGTGGTGGTTTCCTCCCAGGGAATTGCGCATGAGATGGACGGCCGCATTCTCGTCCTGGATGGTAGTTCTCTCCTCGTCAAACTTCCAGCTCACTCCTTTCCGAAAATGACCAAACTCAAATGGTTCATATGTCGGCTCCGCTATTCTCTTTCCTTGGCCACTCGCTCGGGTTTCCAGCCACGCCCCCACTAGGTTGACTGCCTGCTGATTGGACGTCGTATCCCACATGCCGTCCGTCGCCACGATCAGGAATGAAGGTTTGCTGGGGTCGATCTTCGTGGTTGTCACAGCTGGCTCCGCCGTCAGATATGGAGGTGTCCGGATATCGTACTTTGGCGTTAACGGTCTTGGGCCGTGGAATCTCCGCCTCAATTCATGCTGGAATTCCAAAGGCCACTTCCACCGACCATCGCCGAAAGCTCTTGAAACCATAATCCCTAATACCCGTCCATCTTTGACGATATTCTCTTCGCCGGGATGCTCTTTGCTAAGCCTTGCAATCTCGTCTTCATTTTTTCCGGTTTGATCTATTGAAAGAGGTATTGCGTCCCATCCGCCATCCGCCCTTTGTTGCCCAAGGACCGCTCTTGAGTCGCCTGTACATGCGACATGCAACGAGCTCGAGACAGGATCATAGAGAGATAGCAAAGCGCATGAACCAGCAAAGCCAGGAGATAACTTTTTAACCTTGTCTTGTAGTGGTTCTTTGCTGTTGGCAGTATCAAATGCCGTCTTGATAATGGAATCGTCGAGGTTTAAGAACGCTTCGGTGATGGCGCGCTGGACCGCCTTCCCGGGAGATTCCTCTTTTGTCATCATCCGCGTCTGTTGGTTCAGGTGGTACCTCACAAAAGGTAGGAGTTGTTTGCTTAGCAAATCTGCGGTCTGCCAGCCTGCGTGACCATCGAAGACAGCCCAGGTCATCCACTGCTTGTCGTCATTCCGCGGCGAAGGAAATTTGCCATGGGTGTATCGGTCCTCACATGGGCTGTTGGAAGCCAGCTGAGCGCCATCGTATCTATTCACACCTGGGACGTTTTTCACAACAAAGGAATATGCTCCCTCCGATATAATACGATCCACGTCCTCTTTCGAAGGGCCCGGCTCACCCATCAAGGCCGCGGATGGCGGAGTGTCAAGAATCGGTACTTCATCGCTGGTGGTTGCTAGTATCCAAAACGTCGGTGCCGCGACAGCACTAATAATTGCGGCATATGTGGTCGCCTTTTTCGCGCTCGAGGTGGAAGGCGAGCCACTGGTTGTACGGAAACTTCGAGAGAGTGGATGTGAGACTGGCGATATGGACACTCGACTGAGACTGAGACGCGTCCGAAGCAGTCGCAAGGGCAGCATCATATCTTAGAGGACGGGTGAGTAAGGTGGCTATGAAGTAATATATTCCGTGTTCTAGCGTCGTTTTTATCTATCTCCAAATATCGTATCAGGACATTTGTCCTATTCGTTAATAAAGACTGAAGTGACGCTCAAGATCAAGACTTGAGGTTGAGAGTGGGGCAAACTTGAGCGGTGAACAGGGCGTTACTATTTTGATTTCAGGGGTCAAAATAGTGCAACATTGTGCAGAACTCTGCTTCAAATGACTAAGCGGTGACATTCTTCCTTGTCGCGAATCATGATGCGTCCAAGCAGCAACTTCGGTGATGTAGTTACAACTTTCCTGAAAAAGATGGTTGTCTGATACGAAAGCTCTACTCATTTACATTTCGGCTTCATTGCGGTATCTGACGAGGACATTTCAAGCTACAACGGTACTACTAGCACTGGGAGTGTCTATGCCTGCTTTCAGCAATTATAAGTAATTCGGTTGCAGGGAAAGTGACCGTCCTGCTCTTGATCTGTAAATGTTATAGGATTGGATACCATTCGGGCTGTGAAGGGGACGCGTGTGAATGGGAAGAAGAAGACTCAGTATAATTTTGAGAAGGGGGTTGAATGTGTGCCTCTGGGGAAGACGAGGGGATCTAAGCCTTATTTTGATATACCGAGGACTGCTTGTACATTGCCGTGAATAACCCCCTTGAGCATCAAACCGCGACGAGGCGAAGGAGGCATACTACTACAGTATCAACATGGGCAATGAATAAACAACATCCAAAGTCATAAATCCAAATTGTGTAAGAAGAGAATGATTTAGAACGCACCTTCCACCCAAGTGTTCGCGATTGTTGGCTCATGTGTTGCATGTGAAAATATGGCTCTAATTCTCAACGTCTCATGGAAGCTTAAGTGGTCGAGCGGTGATGCACTGCTTACAAACTACTTCCGCAAGGCGCCGACGTGGAACCCGGTCTGGTCAAACCATGAGATGTGGAGGAAATTGGGGAAATGGGAATAGGGAAAGGGAAATTGGGAATTGGGGAGGGAGAAGTAGGAATTCTTTTTGAAGAATTTTTTTGGATGTTCTTTGTTTTTTCCATCCTTCCTTACTGCGAGAGGGATTATCACGTCTTTCTTTTAGAGTCTGTTGAGGTTGTGATGTGTTTTGAGGATGGTTGAGGTGGGGGGTGATGCGTGGAGAGGTGGTTCGTTCGAAACTTGCGCGGGACTTTATGTTTAATTTTTTTTCTCTCTTTGGCCCTGTCCAATTGGGTCCATCCGCAAGACTACTCCGATGACCAGGCCGTTTACTTCTTTCTTGTCTTCCCTACCTCATTCTTTACTAGTACATTTGCCCATTCTCCATCGCGAGGATTGACCTTCTGGAGGCTTGCTGATGAACTTGCTCTAGATGCCCTGCGGCTTGTTCTGTGGTATTGGCCTTTCCCTGCGTTGACCTCCAAGAGATGGCTCGTTCATCAGGCATGTGCCATGTAAAGACAGCGGGACCTGCTCCTATATGCCTTCCCAGTGATCTTGGTCCTCCTTGGACGGAGAGAAAGAGAAGCAGAGAAGAGATGCATGTGAGATTTTTGCCATTTCGAAGCCACTGTCTATGCCGGTACCACGAAAGGTCCAACCCAGGTACTACGAGATCTGAATTAGTTTCTCAATTTCTACATTAGTTGTACGCTTTTGGTGTTTTAATCAGTGGCGACCAGTCAGCCAGCCCATGTCACAGCTCGGGATAGCTTCTCAGTAGAGCTGATTTTGTTTGTCGATCGCTGTTAGTCTCTACATCATAGGTAATAGGACACCGCCATCCTTTTCTCTTCCTTACACTCCATCCAATATCCAAAACTTAATCCTGACCGCTCTCACAATCGATTCTCTATCTTAACCCTTGCGGCTTCTAGCCAGCTTCCAAAATGGGACCAACAATTCGTCTCATGGCCCTGCGAGCGAAGCTGCCATTGTTTTGGGCAGGCAGAGTCGAAGAGATACTATTCGACGGGTCGGCTCAAAACTTTGTGCGTCACCTTGCCGTCCCCGTTAAGCCGGAGACCTCGTCTGCTATCCCATCATACCAGTCCCTCAATGACCACACGGCCACCCAGAAGTCTTCCGCAGACTCTTTCCAGGGAATCCAGAAACACGAGCATGTGAAGTGCAAAGTTGATGACAAGGCGCCTTCCAGCTGCCCACAGCACAAGAGAAGTCACAGGCTGACAATAGGTGAAGTCTGCGACTCGGCAAACAACGTCGACACAGATCATCTCGCCACCATTGATCACCTTCCCACAGAACTCCATCTATTTATCTTTGATCACATTGAGTCGATCGAGGATGTCGTGTGTCTCGGCCTCACAAGTCAATACTTCTGGACCATTGGCCGAAAATACCTCCACAATTATTTGGCGTCGTTCTTGGGACAATGGGCAGGCCAGAAGCTCGTCTGCGTAGGAGCGGACGTTGGCCCTGGCGACCTCCCTCCTGGACTTTTCTCGACAGATGAGACAGACGAGTCGCGCCAGAGGACGATCGCCATCCCGTACGGCCATGACTATTCAGGGGAAGGGGTATTTGCCCCGGCGCCGTCCCCACTCGCTCACTTTACCTTTCCTAGCATCTCCGATATGGAAGGGGAAGTCACTCTGGAATCGAAAGCCCTAGCCATATTCTTTGCGTGTCGCGAACGGTGTACGGGCCGTGTGGATCCTGCATTCGAGTTTGCACGTTCGGATATTTGGCTCACAGAGTCGAGCTACTTGCCTCAAGACCAATTGTGGATTCTTCGAAACTTGACGACAAGGGAGTTTGTCCGCGCGGAGGCGATTGCCCTGAAATCGGAATTCATCCACGGCCCGAATATTGACTACATTGGCTTTGGCGAAGTCATCATGTCGCGCATTTGTTGGGCAACGTCGTCATACCTCGATATGACCGATGAGGTGCCATTACATATTTCCAGGGGAGTGTGGGCAGGACACTGTTTCGACATTACAACGACGGAGAGACACAGCCGAGACGAAGTGGAGAAAGAAGTGGCGTGGAAAGATGTGAGCGAGGAGGTCGCAGCCGAGATCGCAAGCATCTGGGGGAGCGAATTCGGACCCAAATGGCGCGAGGCCGTATGCAAGCCCTTGAGTCCGGAAGAGTGCTATTGGTGAATATGGGGGGAGTCAACCTGTTCAAATAGACGTGGTGCGTGTAATAGAAGTTCCAATCGAACGTTATACAATTGCCAGACCTGCTCCATTCAATCATTCTTATAATAGTTTATCCGCTAGCTCATCCACTACCGGTATTCTCCTTGGTCTACATGCGATGCAACCTTGAGTTCCGCGTCCACCTTCGGAATGATTTGCCCCAGAATGAAAAGATGATCAATCCCACCAGTGGGAATCCGGCCGTCATGGCCATAAGCAAGTAGACTGGGGGCCCGAAGCCGCTCTTCGTAGCCCAGCTGTTGATATAATACGACATGCCGAACTAGAAAACGTTAGTCTTGCAGAACAAATGGCAGCTTGTCAATATTAGAACTTACCCCAAATGTATTCTTGCAGACTGTACTGATGACCATAATGGGGCCTGCGATGGGCTTGTAACAATCAATAGCGTACTGTTGCACAACATCAGTATTAAATCCCAGGAACACACGGATAGTTTGAGGCATACTGTAATGCACAACGTTGGAATAGACACGACGATGAATCCAACGAGAGAGAAACCGACGATGATGACCGGTTCCCAGCGCCAGCCCTTTTGCCAGCCATAACCTACAATCTAGCAGGATGTTAGAACCGAGTTCATTGCGGGACCCCCTTCGAGTAAACTACTTACCACCATGCCCACAACCGTAGCCGCAATAAAGGGAATCAAAGACGGCAACCTCATTTCCGGCTCCCTGATACCACCATTCTTTTTGGTAGCCCTCATGGCAACCCAGTCAGACCATGGACCGGCAATGCTCAACCCCGCGATACCACCTGCCACAAGAGCAAAGTTGGCAAATCCAACGTTTTGGGGAGAGAAATTGTACGGCGGCGCGGAAAGGGCTTGGGACTGGAGAAGGTTAACACAAAGTAGCGCATTTGCCGCTGCTCCCATCGACATTGCCGCCCAAAAGATAATGGGGAAGAAGAAGATTTCGACGGGGATGATGAAGTATTGCAGGATTTGGCGGAGAGCTTGGCGATCAATAGGGTGGAAAATGCCGAACTGGTCTCTGACCGGTTTTCCGTGACCAAGACACTCAGGAGTAATATTTATTGGAGCCGAGTAGCTCTCAATCTGCTCCTTGTACTCGTTCTTTTCCGCATCTCCGGAGTCCGATGGGCTCTCAAAAGCCGGTGCGTCTTGAGAACTGTGGGGTTCCATTCCCACTCGTCTGGTCTCTGGAGACATGACGAGAAGGCAAACTAGGTTGATGGCCTGCGCAATGGTGCATGCCCAGAAGAACCACCGCCATGAGGTTCGTTGTGCCACAGCCCCCGATATTATAGGTCCCAGGAAAAGGCCCATGAAATAGCAGTAACTAATTCATTTCAGTATTGTTAGTCAAGTCAAACCTACCGAGAAGGACAAAAGGCCAAAGGGAACCTTACAAATATACACCGATGTATTTCCCACGTTGATGGAGAAACTTGACGTCGGCGACAACGACGGGCATAATACTCTCATTTGCCGCTGCGCCCAGTCCGGTCAAGATACGGCCGCCAAGGAAGGAGCTATAGGAAGTCGCCGTTGCCTGCCAGATGCAGGACCCGATTGTGATCAGAGAACAAACAATGAGAACAACGCGACGGCCGAAGACATCGCTGCACGGAATAATAATGAAATTCGCGTATCCCAAAGATAGGACAGTGGCCCCCGTCTAGTTCGTTTATTGGTTGTTAGCCTCAACACCGATGCAGGTTCGAGGAGGCCATGGGAGCCTTACTAGAAGTGCGACTTGAGTTTCCGATTTGCCCCATTCTGCCATGTAAATGGGGGCAAGCGGTGCAATTGAGAGATTTGTGACGACGCTAAAAAGCACAAACGAGCCCTGGCTGAACAGGACCAGGATCTTCCACAGTCTTGTCCAGTTCTACGAAATGTTAGACCAGCGAATGCTCAAAGGAGTGCCTCAACTCCGGAAACGGAATTAAAGCAGAACAGCGTAAAGGCAGGGAGAGAGCCGCACCAGAGGATCGTGTGGGGCATTGGACGGATGAGGGATGAGGACGACCGAGTCGGATGTGTCACGGTCGTCAATCAGGACCTCAGTCCCTGGAATCATTTCTTCGTGTTGATGCGTCATCTTGCCGGACAAATTGACGGTCCCCTGTTCGCAAGAATCTCGGCGTGGTGGATAAGGGCGAGAGAACACGAGACGCCTCAATCCATGAGACACTCTATTCACGTCAAGACAACATCAAATTCACCTGGATATCTTCATCCTTATATACAAAGCCAGGGGTGAAGCCCGGGCATGCTGTGTAAGTTGTTCCTGATTTGTCTGATTTGTTCGCGGCATACCCGGTACCTCTTCCGCCATCGTTGCTCTTTGGCGACGGCGACGCGTCAGGAGCTTCGGCTCGGGTATGGGCAGCCAATCGACACAGCAAGCTATCCGAAGCCACCAATGGAGACCCTTGCCTGAGCCAAGGCATCCTCAGCGGAGCACCCGCTTTCGAGGTCGAGACCGCAACTCAACCCCCCCTTTTTGGCCACTCCAACGTGGCAATAACCAAGCAACTGGAATTCGACACAAGATAAGCAACTCTTACCCCAGGATTTCAAGGATTTTTCATGGATTAACCTTTAATGCAGAGTGGAGCCGCTAGCAAGGCTCCCCAGCATTATAAGGTTACATCAACCCCAACCGAGACTATCACGGCGCTTGAAGTGGTTTAGCGGGAGGCGTAGTGGTTAACTTCGCCGACCTTATTGGATAGGATTTCGATCCCCCCCAGATTCAGAATGAGAAGTGGTTGTGGGGTGCATCTTCGGGTCATTTTTGCGGGGATTAGCGGGACCACCGGAAGAGGGGAGTCCGCGGATTCTCCGCGTTATAAAATTGCGTGAAACCCCTCGGTTCGGGTGCCTCTCACTGTTTCCTCGACATCGCCTACACCCCGAATATACCACGAAGTTGCATTGATCCAAATCGTTCGACTGCCCCACACGATGGCCAGTCCGTCTCTGACCGTTGGGGGACGCTCTGCTCGCAAGAGGACCTCAGAGGCCTGCGAAAGGTGCCGTGATAAGAGGATAAAAGTATGTCACTGTCTTCTCTGGTCCTATCCACTCGTCCATTGCTGACTAAATTTTGATAGTGCAATGGCCTTCAACCATGCGACCAATGCCAGAAGAAGGAGGCCGAATGCGTTTTTGCCTTTGCTCCCCAGGGAGGGAAGGGTAATGAAGCTCTCGCAGAGTACGCGTCTGTGTTGGATTATCGCCATTTGAATAGAATCTAACTCTTGGAAGCAAATTGGATCTTGTCCTGGCTCGCCTTGATCGGATAGACCAGATTTTATATTCAAGGCCAGTGGCTAAAGTTACTCAGAGACAAGGTATGATGCCGCTCATGAGACAAACCCGACGCATGGGCTGATTATTTGTTGCTCTTATTACCACCTTGATTAGCCTTTGCATATCAACTTGTCCCCACCGAGATGCGACGCGAAGGACTCGTACAACTGAACCCGCAGACCGGATGCTTTGAATACTACGGTAGGCCCTGATCTTACCATTGTCTTGAACCGACATTAAGAATTTGCCAGGCGGAACTTCAACCTTTTCCACAGCTTCGTCCTTGGGAAAGAGGATAAGCTTCATGGAAGAAACGCCAAACTCTACACCTCTACCCAAGAAACGTCGCCTCGGCCAGATCAATCAACCCTCAAAGCCGTATTCTGACAGGCCGAGGAGTCTCGGCCTGGACGAGCTCACCGGATTCTGCGACTACGTCATTGCTCCAAATACATTACGATATGACCGCTCCCTGCGCGATGGGATTGCCAGTCGACACCTGGCTGCCTTCTTCCGCACCATCCACTTGTATATGCCGATCCTCGACCAAGCCAAATTCGAGTCAAAATACAACACCCTCCGTACACTCTTCGGTGACAGGAGACTTTTCTCTCCAACACACGATGACCCCAATAGGCCGCAGTTTGTGTGTCTTCTGTATGCGGTCCTGGCCATGGGGGCACTTTACGAGGATGACAGGGAGGATAGCCCATCGTGGGCATCGTGGTACTTTGCCGAAGCACAAGATATGCTCGGCCGGCTTTTGGAGGCGGCCAACCTCCAGTTGGTGCAAGCTGCGCTGTTCCTGGTTCGTGGCTATCCCTTACAATGCCGTCCTACAATTCCTGACTGACGAACAACTCACCCAACTCAACATTAGGGTGCATATGCTCAACACGCCATGAAACCTAGCTGTAGGTGTAGTCATCACCTTTTAGGACGTCAGGCGATAACACTATTGGGATTTTAGTGGCATACATTCTGACGGGGACCGCAACCCGCTTGGCCTTCTCTATTGGCCTAAATATTGAATCTGAGTACCGTTTCCTCCCGTTCGATGTCGAAGAATCACGACGGACATATTGGATGGCCTTCATTCAAGAGGTGGAACTGAGTTTGGATTCGGGCCGTCCCATGACGTTTCCGACATCAGAAGCAATTGTGAACTACCCTACAGATCAGGTATTGTGCTCCTAGTTCACCCACACGCTCCATTTCTAGGATGATATTGAAAAAATATGACACTAATTTTGCTTACTAGCTGCTTTCAAACGAATCTACTTCACGGCACCCGCCAGCCAACTTTATACGGCACCTCGCAGATATCGCTAAGATCATGCAAAGAGTACTGCAACTGGTATGTTTGAAGGGACGCCTTGGCGCCCAGGGCCCACTCGCTGACCAGCAACATTAGGTCAATACTCCCACAGACCAACAAAAGTCGGCTGGCTACGAGGAAGTGGAGGAATTGCGGCAGGAACTAGTGTGTTGGCGCGTGTCCCTTCCTCCCTATTTTCGCTTCGAGGAGATTGAAGGCGAGGGCGATCCGCCTTGCGATGCCGTGTCTGATTCAAAGAGACAACAAGGCTCACTTAGGATCCGTAAGTCGATGCCCCCTTTCTTTACTACCATATGCCCTCCTCTCTTTTGCTTGCTCGCTCGTTTCGAGCCTCGTACCTGACCTATTACAGACTTCAACTTGGCTATGATTACTCTGTTGCGAAACTCCCTAACCAGCTCGAAACCGGGATCCACCCATGAGCCATTAACCTTGCTCCATCGCTCATGCTGCCTCGATGTCGCCCGAGACATGATTCGGCACATTCATAGACTGTTCAAACTGGCTCCGCGTCTGAGGAGATGGAGTTACTACTGCTTTTACTGCCTCCAATCAACCCTTGTTCTTCTGTCAGAAATTGCCGACCATCATCATCACCGCTCCGGTCGTCGCCGTCATCGATCCCGTCCAGCAGATGCTCCTGGGCAATGCTCTTGCAAATCAGCGCAATGCACCAAATCAGATCAGGAACGGCAAGAAGACTGGGATCTCTGTAACGTTGCAGTCGAAATATTCGAAAAGATCGAACTCAAAGCCTCCAAGAGATGCGCCGAGGTCGTGCGTCAGTTTTTGACACGGTGGGATTGCCCCAAGCCTCAACCTTCCTCAGACAACACGACTTCGATCCCATCGGGGAGCCTACGGGAAGGAATTCTTCCGCAATCGAATGCAACCCCGGCTGCACAGCCTTTGACACCATTTCCTTCCAATGCACAAGAGCCAGTTGGCAGTCCAGTCTTCGCATCAGAGGGGGGATTTTCCCGCCGCACAAGTGTACGGAATAAATCGCAGGTACCTTGCGAACCTCCCGGCAGCGTCGTCAGCGCGGACGATGCCACAACGGCTTCGCCACCCGTTTCGCTGAGCGGGCTGCAAGCCGAGCTGTACGGTGCTTTCTACGACAACGACCAGGACGCCTTCGGATTCGACGCCCCGCCACCACCTCTACTAGGTAGCAATGACCCTACTGCTCATGCGTTGGGCTTGTGCTTCGATGTGGTAACCGACTTGAGCTGGCTTCAGTCTGGCAACCTGGATCCTTGTAATGTACGCCTGCCAAGGGATTGGCAGCCATGAAGATGGAATTCAAAGGCGCTACGGACGGATTCCCGCCTAAGGATGAGATAGATGCCCTGGCTGCAGACTGAAATCTGAGGAGGAATCGGAGAGACTGGTACGGCAGCACCTCGGAGTCCGAGGATTACATACCGTGGAGGGAGAGGTGGGTGTTTATTGATTCATGTACATTGTTATATTACGTTGTAATAAAAAGGGAGCCCAACGCCGTCACTGTCGAGACTCGGGAGGAAGTCATGGATAAGCCACGAGCCTCCAAAAGACGTCCATGGATTTAGCTAAGGCTTGTAGCGATACAATCTGCCGAGGTCTGAAATGCAGACCAGATTTATGCGTACTATATCACTTGCTTATCGGACCTAAACTTAAGCTCATGATGTCTTTCTGCCAATTCATTTACGCCCAGAGAATACCCCCAAGTTCTCACTCCGTCCACCCAGACACTAGATGTCCGAAAACGAAAGACAGAGCGATGAAATAGCTCGGCGTTCGATTCTTAAACAGAGAAGTAATGCTATTTTCCGCTCCCCTTTCGATGTAAATTGCCTTTCCTTCCTGTCAGTTTCGTTCTTTGCGTCCTTGACTTTTGCTGGCTCCCATCCATAATAATCACTGGCGCCCCGAACCGCCACCGAATAAGCAACGACGAAGTCTCCTCACAAGCCACACATGAGGAGGCGACTCGCCTCTGCGATTTCGTCTGCCACTGGTTGACTGAAACTGGCGAAACACCTGCAATGCTCTCTTACTAAGCGTGTATATCATACGTTCATTCTCCAGTCGCCTAGCCCAAAACAAGTCAAACTCGAAAGACAGCGACCCCGCTCGAGAACTAACGTCTTCAAACCGCAAACGGATAGAAGAAACACAATGTCTAATCCCTTCGGAGATCCCAACTGGGGTAGTGAGGAACTCCCTGATGGCCGGCTCGTCTGCCGTGCCCATGGTCTCGTGGTGTGCGGCGTTTGCTGCGTTGACTTCAGCTTCATGGACGAGATACTCGGTTATGAGGAGGAAGAGGAGGGAGACTTCGGTCCCATCCCCACCCCAAGGCCACCACGGCGAAACCCCAGGCGGAGGCAGACTGCACGGCGCGGTGGTGGGCCCCCGCGCAGAGGCCCCCAGAGGCCCCCAGTCTCGGACAACGATATCATGAGCCACGAGGAATTGGAGAGAGAGATTGAGCTGATGATGCCAGAGAAGCGACGGGGAACGGGCCGCGTTCTCCCCGCCAAGTTCGTGCCGCCCGCATCGTCATCAGACCCATCCCGCCTCTTCCGAGAATCCGACAATCACATCTTCACGCGGTTCGTCCTGCGCGATGATCCCCGGACGCTCCTCCTCTACGCCGACGGCGCGTGCCCCAACAACGGCGGGACCGACCCCCGCGGCGGCTGGGCCTTCGTCTTCGGCCCGGAACCGGAGGCTCGCACCCGGTCTGGCCGGCTCGAGGAGCGAGGTCCCTTTGGCGACGCCTGCGAGCAGACAGTCAACCGTGCTGAACTGCGCGCCGCCTCCGCCGCTCTGCGCGAGGGATTCTGGGCGGACGAGGGGTTCAGGCGCGTCATTGTCGCTAGCGACTCCGAGTATGTCGTCAAGGGCGCCACCGAGTGGGTGAGGAGGTGGCTCCAGAACGGGTGGCGGACGAGCGGTAGCAAGCATGTCAAGAATAAGGACTTGTGGGAGCTGCTGCTGGGGGACGTGGAGCGGTGCGCCGACGGGGGCCTGGAGGTGGAGTTTTGGGACATTCCCCGCGGGCAGAATGTCATTGCTGATCGCGCTGCGAAGGCGGCTGCGCTGAAGGACCCGGAGCCCGAATTTGCTGATACTCTTATTCTTGGGATCTAGCGATGAACTAGGTAAGTTTCCTTTTCCCCGTCTTTTTCTCTTTCTTTCATTCTTTTTCTTCTTCTTCTTCTTCTTTTGCTTCCCCCTTCTGCACAGAGAACAGACAGCCCAGCCAAAGTAAAGTAGAAGATGTTGTCCCACTCTCCCACTGACCTTCAAAATGCATCATAAGCCAGTCCCGCATCCCGCATGGTCCTCTTCAAGCATGCGGGGCAATGCCCATGGCTGGAACTTGTTACTTTAGCACCCCATGTTATTCTTTAGCTTCATAATGAGCCCCCAATACTCGCCGACTTATTTTTGACAAGACACTTCGTAGGTAAATAGGGAGATCACGTTTGTTCGACAGCTAGTCCTCGGCGATAAATTGTGACATATATTGGGCAGAGGTTCAATGTGCGCCGCGAAATATTACCCACAAACTTGCAAACCGGAGGCAGATGCAACGGCGAGAGAATAACAGAATGCTTTAGTTCTATGTCAGGTGCCAGGTGTCATCTGGGGCCATGAAGTGATGCAGTGATGAGTCTCGTATGCAATAACCAACACCAGTATAATCAAATATCTCCCTTTTTTTGCCCTACAATGCAAACCTGATCAAGCGTGTGATAGACCCCGTTGTCAATCTCCCTCATCGCTTCCCCCTTCAGCTTTTCAATCCTCTCCTTACTCCATCCACTTCCCTCCACCCCTACTAACCCCTCCAAACACCCCAAGAAACAAACAATGACATTCCTGGTCCCCTTGTCCCTCAACTGCAACTCAGGATCCTGCAACCTATCCGTTGAAAAGACATCTTCGTGCACATCAACCAAGCCGAGCTCCCGGAATACGTCTTCCCTCCGCATATTCGTCGGCTCCCGCATCATGAGGCCTATCACGACGTCATTTTGGGAGCGAAATGGCTGCAGAGCGTCATAGATCTCCTGGCACGCCGCACGAGAAGTTCCGGGAACCGAATTGTAAAGTGCGAAGTTGCATGAATCGATCCATTGCAGCCAGCCGCCCGGCTTCAACAAGGTCATCAGATTCTCAATCGAACGAGCCCATTCCGTCCGCGTGACAGCACTACTGACGAAGCGGACTGCGACCACATCATAGGTTCCTATCTCCGAGGCCGGAAAGGGGAGGTAAAAGTCTTGGACCTTGAACGATACGTTTGACGGCCATGTTTCCGGGGGAGGGAGAGCGGAAGATGTGATGTCAAAGCCGGTGAATTGGCATGTTGCGGGTAGGCTCTTGGCGACGTCGAGAAGCCAGATACCGGTACCAGTACCTATGTCTGCGACTTTGAGAGTGGGTGAAGTGACTGGGATGTTGGGGTGAATGAGGAAACCGAGGGTTTTCGTCGTGGAGATGTGTTGCTCGTCTAGTCTGTTTGAAATGTAAGCCTTTAGAGGCTCCGAGGACGGGAAATTGAAAACTTGCCTTTCCGGTATTTCTTCTATGAGATGACTTACACCTGGATCCCGATCTTGCGACTGTGCCATAATGCTTTGTACAAATGTATAATAGGTTCGGAGGAATCCTAGCCGAAGCTAAAACAGGGCGTCTATGCGCAGGCTGATTTTGCTGATTTTGCTGGGCTAATCAGCCTCGAGTCTAGCAAAAGAGGCCGCCTTCTATGCCCGAAGACTAGAACGTAGGCAGGCTGGACGAAGTGTATTTATCGCGGCTGGCTGGCTGGAAGTTTGGAGTCTGAAGTGATGCGGTACCTAAAACCCTCTTCGTCTTCCGACTTCGCTGCCTCCCAGTCCAAGAGATCTCTCGAACCCCTCCACCCCGCCTCAGCCCCCGGTAGAACCTCGGTTCTGGAATCGGACTGAGCCGGAACCCAAAATTGCAGATTCCGGCTCCTGCGCCTGGCTTAAAGCAGTATGTGGTGCGGATCCTTGAGACATGGGTTTTGTGATCTTGATTATTATTATGAGGGAACAGCACGAAAATTATCCTCCCGCCTCCAAACAAAATGCAAGAAAAGCGCCACACTAAGCCACTTTACTCTATCGCGGATATAATCCCTGTGATATGGGCTTGTGTATCTTGACCACCCCTGGCTCCCTCGTATTTCATTTGAAAATTGGACGAGTACCTGTGATGCTTCCAGAAACAACTTTTCGGGGCTAAACACTGGACTATCGATTCCCCACGCCTTGCCAGGAATAGCAGGTAGAAATGACCACGTGCACGCCGTTAAGTCTAAAAAGTAGTTTAATCCCATGCGGGCCATGCCTAAGCGCCCGGGGTGCCTCCTGGGCTGTGACATGCCATCAAATTAAACTCTTTCCAGAATCTGCGGCACAACATCTTGCCCACGCATGAACAGGGCAAATTAAGGTTGGCACGGTGTTAAATTTGAGCAAAGCCTAGCAAGGTTTCCGGATCAGATTTGGGAACGTTGTGAGAGTGCACTCGTATCTTCCATCTTTTGTCCCGGCGCTTAACTGGCAGTGACATACCGGATGTGACGGCTAGGCTAGAGATACGACTCACCCCCATCCCTGTCCATGTAGGGTAGTATCTTACTTTTAAGGTAGGGATGGATGGATCCTATCGTGACAGGGAGGGCATTTATTAAATGATCATTCCCTCGTTCCCTGAACCCGCCCTTCTCCTGATAACTCGGCGACTAAGACTCTCCAGCAAGAGTCGTCGCTGGACAGCATCCAGCTCAGCTTTGTGTGAGCTAGCGAGTCCAATCCAACACCATCTTTTGCAACGAGCCCCTTATATCAGGACATAGCAAGCCCACGCTTTTAGCGATGGCGACACCAGCAGTCTTAGCAACCATCACCCAACCCCAGAACGTCCTGGATGATCCTAGACGTCAGAGATACCCCGGATTTTACCGCCCTCTTGCCCCGAAATTCACTCGTATCTTCGAGCTTGAGCCAGGCGAGTTCTCGGATCCAATAGTCGGCCGGCTGGTGCCTCAGCCAATTGACGGGAACCCAGACGAGGGACCATACGAGGCCGTGTCGTATGTGTGGGGCGACCCTCAAAAGCGCCGCGATATCACTATCGACGGGGAAACTCTTTCCATTCCGGAGAATCTGCACGGGGCGCTGATGGCCTTCCGACATCGACCCTCGCCGGACCCGGGCACGGGGCTACCGCAACAGCAAGTACGACGGCTTTGGGCCGACGCCATTTGTATCAACCAGGAGGACCTGGCGGAGCGAATCTCACAGGTAGAGCAGATGGCGTGCATCTATGCAGATGCGCGCAGCGTTCTCGCCTGGCTCGGCTGGGAGGAGGGCGAAGAGGGCCGTCGACACACGCAAGACGCCATCCGCTTCATCCATTCCTTCATGGAAGACCCGGAGGCGGGTCTGCGCGATGCGCGCATCCTACTGCACCACCACGACGACTTGGCCGACCCTGCCGCGCACCTCGCTCTGTTCTCCGAGGACGACCGGCGCCGGTTTGATGAGCAGACCCGAAAGTGGGAGGCTGTCAAGTTCTTCTTCGAGATTGAGTATTTCCATCGCACATGGATCACGCAGGAGCTCGGGCTCGCACGCAAAGCCATCATGTACACGGCGCTCAAGCCCGCCGCCGGCTATGAGGACGAAGCAGCCGAGAGCAAGGGGCGGGACTTGGAGCTCGACTCCGTCGACTGGCCGCTGGTGGGCGAGTTCGTCAAGTTCTTGGACTTTAGCGGCGCCTCGTTGGTGACGCATCTCGGCCTACTGTCGTGGGTCGCCCACCACATCTTGATGGTTTGGAAGGTGAAGGAGGATGGCACGCCCGATTGCGATTTCCTTACCGGGATGCACTGGACGCGTATTCTTCGCGTGACGGATCCCCGTGATCGTGTGTACGGGTTACTGGGTCATCCGCTGGCCGTCCTAGACGGCGATCTCGTGATCCACCCCGACTACACTCATACGCGTGGGGTCGTATACACAAAACTGGCCGCCAACTTCATACGGAAGACGAAAAACCTCTATGTCGTCAGTCTCGTCGATCACGATGATGACCCATCCGCAGAGGCGAGGGATTGGGATCCGGAGGACGAAAGTAGGATGCCCAGCTGGGTGCCCGACTGGCACAGCATCAACCGCACAACGCCCCTTGACTACCCAATTGCCGCCGCTGCAGACGAGGACGCCGATATCCAAATCGAGGGGGAGACCGACGGCGCCGAGGGAATGCCTCTACCTCATCTCTTGGTCGGCGGCTGGGTGGTAGACGAGATTTCAGCCGTATCGCGGCGCATGGAGACGACTGACTTTCCCGTGACCCATGTGGCTCGAGAGCGAGCCAAGGAGAATCCCTTCTGGCTCGACCGCGTGTGGGAGTTGGTGTTTCCAGCCGACGGCCCCGCGGATCGCGACGCGCTCGAGGTGTTGGAGACGCTGTCCCTCGCCCTGCCGCTCGGCACGAGGGAAAAGGATCAACCGGCGAGCAGCAAAGCAGGGTCAAGCCAGACACTGGAAGAACATCGCCGGTCGTTTGCCGCCTACGTCCTCGAGTACCACGAGCTGTGGCGCAGCGCGTCCGAGGCCGTTAACGTAGAAGACGACGACGGCGGCGGCATCTATCTTCCCGCCCGCTCCCTCTTTGACAGCCTGTCGGCCGAGGTGCAAGCCGAGCTGCGGCGGCGGGCGGAGGGAGCTACCAGCGGAGGGTTCATCGAATCCATGACGTGGCCGTCCATGTGTCGGGTGGTGTACCGGACAACGTCGGGTCTTGTGGGGATGGGTTCGCGCGTAACGCGGCCCGGGGATCTTGTGTGTCGAGTGCGGGGCTCGCCCGTGTTGATGACGTTACGTCGGATCAGGGATTCCGGCGTCGACCGGGCGACCACGATAGGAACGACCGGAAAGGGCGCCGCTACGGCGATTTCTTGTGCTCACATTGGCCCTACTGTTGTGCCGGCGCGCATGAAGAGAGGCGTTCTCGACGGTGGGGAGTTTGGGGAGAAGGTCGCCCACTTTCGTATTGTGTAAGCCTTGCGGACGAGCGGGATCGCTTCGCTCCGCGCAGAATTTTGAAGCGAATTTTGAAAGGATATTTGTTGCCCGCTAAAAGAATAGGATCACGGCTGTATTTCATGAGGAATTGAAGCCCGCTGTAGGACGTATTTGGTTCCACAAGCCTAGGCACGGCACTGCCCGATTGTTTCCCGTCTCATTGTCGACGAAGCCATCGCCGGCTTCATACTCTCGTTCATTTTTCGGAAGTCCGGAGGGCGTGGTGCTTCTCCCATTGTGGGATTTGGGTGGTCAGCCCTTGGAGCTCATCTGCCAGCAAAACCGACCAACCAGCACGTAGTCGATGAAATATATATAAAAAAAGACTTCATTCAGAGCGATTAAAGAATAGAATTAATAATAGCTAATACAAGGTCTCCTCTGCTATTCCTCTGCTCTTGGAGCCTTCTCCTTTCCCTACCTATCATCATCGGCTATCTTAGTGAATCTCATCACGCCGTTACCGCCTTCGTCTTCACGTGTACAATGACGGGGGTGAAGTTGCGCAGCCCAGGTGTAATTGAGAATACCTTGAGCACGACTCCGCTCAGCCCACGCGGGACGATACCATAGTTCTGTGGCTGAACCGACTCGATGCGTGGGCTCCACTTCGAAAGGAGCGGCTCCAGGTCGTCGCGAGACACGCCCCAAGGCATCGGCGGCGAGCGGTAATGCTCCGTTTTGTCGTAGCCTTTCATCGTCTTGTTCGCAAACCATGTCGGGATGGTGTCGAACATTAGCTCGACGCCGGGGAAGCGCTCGGCGATAGCAACCACCAGTCGTCGTACGTCTTCTTCTTCAAAGTACATGAACAGTCCTTGCGCCGTCACGAACACACCCTGGCTGCCGTCGACATCGTCCATCCATGAGAAGTCGAGCACGCTCTTGGGTATGTACTTGCACCGCTCAGATGACGGTATGAATCGCTCGCGCACGGCAAGAGCCTCGGGCAAGTCGACGCAATACCAGCGGACGTGGCCATCGTCGACGCGTTGAAACTGCGTCTCGAGCCCTGCGGCCAGCTCGACGACAGCTCCGCCGGGATGTGCCGCTATCCATGGCTTCACGACGTCGTCGAACATGCGAGAGCGCAGCGGGTGAGACGTGTCGGGCTTGCCGAAGCTGCGCGTGTAGTCGTAGTCGATGGCGTCGTAAATGCGCACGCAATCGGGGTCGCGTAGGAAGCCGTCTGGACGGCGCGCTTCGGCGGCGCGGTTGTGCAGAGTCCACAACATTGTCTCGGGGACGCCGGTGAGGTTGACGACCTCTTTGGTCTGCTTGTCCTGCTTGTCCTTCATGCTGCTTCTCCGGTTCCTATAAGGTGTCTTATGTGTAATGGTGAAAAGGACGCTTCTGTAAGTTCTGTATGGTTGTCGAAAGAGCTATGTGTAAACGTTATAGAATTGGGGCCATGAACAGGGTCATATATGGGACACTGAGAATGCCAGTTTTAGTACTTCGTATTGCCCCGTACTCCGCCTCTATCCCGAATCCCTCTTTCAGCCCGAATTTCCCTACTGTCCAGGAATATCAGCCCACTCTCCTCCGCGTCGGAAATAGATCGGCCGTAAAGCCTCCGCCATTTTTTGAAGCTCACCCCTCCGGTTTCGGCCAGCGCCAAATTTGGAGAGGACACTCACCGACCATAGCATCTCTCCTCTCGGTATTTCTCCTTGCCGAGATATACCCTAGGACAATTGGAGGATAGTGAATCTAAAAACAGGGCTTAACAGTCATCGCATGGGCTTTGCTTTATGAACCACGTCTTCCACCGCACCCACCGGGCAGGAGATCAGGTGCAGGTCAAGGATAGCGGCAAGATTGGACTGTCACTAGCCATCCGTCAACCTCTAGTTTGCCTCTATAAGCGCTCCTGTAGATCCTCCGTTTTCCTCACTCTCTGGCTCACTATACCTCTTCCTCAGATTTCCCAACCCCTTTAGGTCTCTTGTAGTGGCCTCTTATTAGTCTCCCTTTAGCCTCTTAGCACTCGCTCTTACTACTAGTCCCTTCTTTTAGCTCTTAGTACTCCATACTCCAGTTGACATTGGTAGTCTCTGGTTGCACTGGTTGTTGCGGCAATTGCCGTTCCGTGCTGGCTTCGGCCCTGAGCCCCCACTCGGCCCGCTGGTGTCCTTGTGGCTCCACTTGGAGAGTTACCATTGTAATTTGTACCTCATAATAAGTACGGTTGAAATATTGGCCATTCCAGCGTTAATATTCCGGGAGATTTTAAACAAACTCTGTTCGCTCGGAGAGCAGCCGGACCGTATAGTGGCCCCGCTCAGAGAAACACACCTCACTTGAAGAAGGGCTGAGCAAACAGCTACTGCGTTTGGCGGCAGATCACGAGAGTCGCAGCGAGGATTACACCTTGGAAAAAGCCTAGAACGCTGTCAAAGGGACCTACACAGGAAGCTGATTCACTTGTTCCAACCTCGGCTCTAGACGACATGGATAAAAAAGTTCGGAGAAGTAGAGGAACAATTTTGTTGGAATTACAATAACCGGAGATATATTACTAACGACAAACGAAACTCACGGATGCGAACAAGCCAGCATGAAATCCACTAGACTGTTAGAAGATGCGAGGAACAAGTGCAAGGTAAACATCCAGCACCACCACCGAGTCAGGAGCTTCGAGGCTTCGAGGGCCCTTCACGAGCAAAAGGCCTATGGCATTTTTGTCTGCTCCTTCAGGAAAGACGAAAAGAACCTATCCATATCCGCAACGTCCTCAAGGTCACCGACCCAACTCACATACTGGTCGGGGCGTACCACGACAAGGCAGCCAGTCCGTGGATCGATGCCGTAATTCTCGTAGGCTTGTCCATGTCCTTCATGATACGACATCTCATCAACAAATACCTTGTTGTAGTCCCAACCGTACTCTTCGGAGAAGGGATGGAAGACTTCCGGCAGTGAAAGAAGTTCGATTGCGTCTCGCGGCGATGAGTGGATCGTGAGGACCTCAAAGAGCGACTCGAGGCTGCCGTCCTTCTTTTCCATTCTGTACTTCTGAAGAAAGGAAGTGGGGAGGGCCAAAGCCTTGCCTAACGCTTCATAGCGGGAAAGTTGAGCGGGATCCTGTAGGTCCCCGGCGAAGACTAAAATTCTCCAGGCGCCGCTGCTAGGCAGTAGCTCCTGAAGGTGCCAAGGTCTGGCGTCTGCCTGATTCAAGACTTTATGGCTGGGTATGCGCATGCCTATCGGTATCTTGGTCGCAAGGCTCTGTTTTCCGACCAAGTCTCGGTGGGATTTGACTGGCGAGGCTTCTTCCTCAGGGATCGTCAAAGATTTCTTCACAATAAGACTTGGGGCATAGTCAACCGAACAACCACTGGCGAAAAGGGTGCCCTTCTCGAATACCTTCTTGAAGGTCTGCAAATCGATTCCCTCCTTATCCTCAATGCCCTTGGCCGGACGTCCGGAGAAAAGGCGTGAAATCTTGTGGTCAAAATCGATTAGCTTCTTGGCGATCTGACGTCGCTCTGTGCTGTAGGTCTTTAACAGTGAGCGGTCCGCCCAACCTTTAACAACATAGGCAAGCTTCCATCCGAGATTATATGCTGTTTGAGGGAGTTAGAGCTAGTCTGTTCGGACACCATCTCGGCAGTAGAAGGAGGGGATGCCTCACTATCATGCATGCTAATATTCATTCCTTGACCGGCCTTTGGACTGTGGGTATGCACGGCATCTCCAGCCAAAAAGACACGCTCGTGAGCCGAAAACACTGAGCCTACCCTTTGTCCAATGCGGTAGGCCGTCCACCACTGACAGTGTTTGTAGCTGAGATCGTAGGGAGCGAGGATCTTCTTTGCTGCTGTGATGAGCTTGTCGGGTTCGATGTTGGATCTGTCGATCTGCATCCAATATTAGCGAATAATGTCCTTGGAGGACGTTACGTTTTGGGCAAACTTACCGGCGTGCCGTTCTCATCGGTTTGAGTGATTTGGATGTACAATCTCACATATTTGTTCTCTCGAGGGATGATCATCATGCTGCCGGATGAAGAATGGATTGCGCAGCGGTATCTGATATCAGCTAGCCCCTTTGTTAATAGTTGATGTCCACATTAGCCCGCGTAAGGATGAACGATGAACTCACGGAAGTTGGTGATGGGGATTATGTCAAGGACACCCCTAGCTGACCGTTAGCCTATTTTCATGTCAATTGGTTCTAGTGAGAAGACTCACCAGATGAAATCAGTTTGTTCACCCTCCATTACACTCCCAATTTGTCGTCTGGTCCAGGAGTGCGCGCCATCACAGCCGACCACATATTTGGCGCGGACGGTCTCCGTAAACGACTTGGAACTTTCTCTCGCGCTTGATAGCAGATCTTCCGTTCCGTCCGCTCGAAGATTGCTTCGGAACATACCGTTAGGGATGCTGGATCCGTTGGAGCCGTTCGGGACAGTCTGTCCAGGTTCTTCCTGAGGGAGATGTCGGAGGGTCACTTCGATGGGATATGCGAGATCTTCCTCAACTTTCTCGGTGTCGATCTGAAGTGATTCGGGCATGATTCCCCGTTCGACCTCGATGCCGCTGTGCTTCCTGGCATATTCTTGGAGACGGGTCTCAACTTGTGCTGCAGGCGGAGGGTTAGAGATCACCAATCCATCTATCGTGTGTGCTTCGAAGGCTCGTATTCTTTTATCTACCTTGATGGATGGTGGCCTGCTGGAACCGGCTCAGCCCTGGCTGGGTGTCTACAATCGTGTTCGTTCGACATAATTTGTTTTCGCCGTCAGGATTCTAGATATGTTAGCACGTTACTACGCCTCGGACATTCTACATGAGGCCCAAGTGAAAGAAGAGGGTAAAAACCCCTTACCCAGAATCGAATTTCGAGCATATGGGTGGCTTCGCGCCATATATCCTGGCCAATGCCGAGGGAATCGAAGATCTAAGAGGAAGTTAGTCGCCAGTGGCGCATCACCAGCGAACCTAATGATAACTAACTTCAAAGGTCCTGCTTTGCAACCCATCGGCTTGGCTGCGTTTCATTTTAGTCTTCTTGTTTGAAAATTAATACCTCCAAATAACATGACATACCCGCTATTGAGGGCGGAGAAGCGCTTGTCGATTATTCGAGTCTTTATTCCCAACCGAGCCATCCAAGTTGACAGCATGAGCCTAGTTTATTGTCAGTCTAGCCCCGAAAGCCCATGTCCCGTAGAACACTGGGAGGAGGCCACAGGGGGAAACTAACCCTGAAGGCCCAGCCCCAATGATAAGGACATCAACATTTGAAACAGTGGAGGACGGCATTTTGAGCGGTGGCTGCCTTGGTAGAATCAACAAAAAGTCTGATATGGATAAGATAATTTGTAAGGTTCTGGGAGGCCGGTTGATACTGGGGTTGATTGAGCACGGTTGGGAGATGCTACTTTATCTGTCCAAGGATTCATTATCCCGATCTACGTCTAATAGTCACAGTCACGATTACCGACTCTAGCTCCCATTGCATGGTGTTTGGTCTCCGGAGACAGGCCGTAGTGCCGATCCGAGAGTGCGATGCGGGGATTGCGATTGGTCCGCGGGATTTCCGCGGCCTGGAGTCTAAGATTGTGGGAAGCAGTGCTCAACTACTTCGGATATACGGATCTTGGGCCATCCATCATTGTAAGCTTGACAAGTTGGCAGTGACATTTTTCTTGGACACGAATCGTCCAGGGAGAGAACCTTCGAAAACCGGCCATTGGGATTTCGGGCAGATGAGACATCTGGAATTCACGTAAGAGGGCAGTCGAACCAGCTGTACTGATTCGTGACCACCACCAAATTTAATACGTTGATTGTTGAACGATATCATCTACTTTACCAGCTACCAGAGCCGCTGCCCGACTTCTCTTGCTTGCGACATGGTTTTGTGGCGCATATCTGCGGCTCTCTCTATAACTTCTTTTAACGCGTCGTAGTTCTTTGAAGCCCTGACTTGTGCTGTAGAGACACGACCGCGCAGCTCAGGTGCCTGGGAGATGTTGGGATTGCTCAGTGGTAGCTGGCGCGTGTTGGTAATAGTCTCTCCAAGAATTTCCTTCATTTGCCCCTGGCATTATGGTATTACTAGACCACTGTTCCCTCCTTACGTTACTAGAGTAATGCCAACATAATTGGCCCTCCTGTATCTGTTGGTGGTAATACGTGTTCCTGTAAATGTTATAAGCCGGGTCTCCTCTCCTAGTTATAGTATCTTCGAAAATTCGCAGTCTTCAACCTACTCTCTACGTTTTCTTTCATTCTCTGCCATCAGTCACTTTTCCAACCAAGCCCTGTTTGTGTCATAATAACGCCGACAGCTTCGCTAGATGCTATCTTCCACTAAGACTGCATTTTTGTATACGACTACGCCATCTTCATGAGCGCCGCGTCCAGTTCTGTCCTTGTTGCTAGAAAATCCCAGGTCGCAACCTACCAAGATCGGCATCCGAGTCTCTAGCTTCAGCGCCGATATAGATCCACGGATGGGCGTTGTGCTCATTTTCTCTTTGCGGAAGGATCAGCAAGGCAACGACGACTTTGGCTGTGGCGTCCGTTTTCCTTGTGAGTCGTTCGCCGTCTTCCGACTCAGTTTCTTCTTCGTCTTGCTGAAGAACGATGCGCAGTTGATTGGGACCTCCATACATGCACTTCTAGGCCCGGTATTCAGCAGCTTGACAAGCACAGAATTACTCCCAAGTCTCCCTGCCGTGAGGTGCAACGAGGACCCTCACCACTAATGTCTAATGTTAGTCGACAATAGGCGATGTCGATCTCACCGTTCGAAAATATTTTTTATCGTATGATTATCCAAAAAGCAGAGCAAGTGTTCATAGAATGAGCGAAGAGGGGCCAAGCGAAACTGGTGAAGGGCATCCGCGGAACATCCGCGGGATGGGGCTCCCCGGAAATACGGATATCCGGTGTGCCGGTTTGCGGTGAGGCTGTCGGAGAGTATCCAGGAACTGACAACTCAGATTTGCTATAAAATTTCTAGAATTCCTGTAAATTTATTTCCCATTGGGTACAACACAATACCTATACTACAATATTGCAATTCTAGTCTGTTTGACGGGCTATTTCTTACTATCTGATCTTACCCTGGCTGGTCTCATCTCGCTTGGAGTCTTCACCACGTTTGTCTGCCATCCATGGATCCCTCCAAGGTCGATATTCCTCCTCAGAAGGATCTCACAATTGAGAACATCACTGAAAATGTCGTGTTGATGAACTCTTCCAATCCGTCTCCGCGTCTCAAGTTTTTGCTTGAACGCATCGTTTCGCACCTCCACGATTTCGCCCGTGAAACACGCCTGTCAACCGCGGAATGGGCCCAGGGCATCAAGTTCCTCACAGCCACGGGCCAAATGTGCACGGAAGTCCGCCAGGAGTTCATCCTCCTCAGCGATATACTGGGGCTAAGCCTGCTCGTTGACAATATGGATCATCCGAAGCCGCCTGGCTCCACGGAGGGAACGGTGCTTGGGCCGTTTCACTCGCACGAGGCAGAGCATGTCGAGCACGGGAGCCTCATGTCACACGATGAAAATGGAGAACCCCTTTTGGCACTATGTACGGTGAAAGATACGAAGGGCAACCCTATCCCTGGTGTGAAAATCGACATTTGGGAGACGGATTCGAGCGGGTTTTATGACGTCCAACATCTCGACCGCGAGGGACCCGATGGGCGATGCATCCTAACGAGCGACAGCCAGGGCGAATTCTGGTTCAAGGCGATTGTTCCGGTTCCGTACCCAATCCCACACGATGGCCCGGTAGGCAAGTTGTTACTACAGCTCAAGCGACATCCCATGAGGCCAAGTCATATGCACTTCATGTTCGACAAGGAGGGTTGGGATCAGCTCATAACAGCTCTGTACTTGAAGGGAGACCCGTATGAGACTTCGGATGCAGTGTTTGGGGTGAAAGAGTCCTTGATTGTCGAGCTGGGGACTGTGGACAAGGAGACCGCTGAGAGGTACCCTGGAACTCAGGAAGGAATGAAGCTGCTGAGGTATGATTTCGTGCTGGTGTCAGAAGCAGAAGCATCTCAATTAAGGGATGAGAGGAGCAAAGAAGCATTGGAGAAACTGGGCATGGGTGTGAAAATTGTTGATGGTCTGCCTATTCCTGATGTCGACTAAAGGTGGGCGCGTTAAGTATGATGAGCAGAGTAATGCAGATCATCCCCACTGGCGAGAATTATACTCGTAAGCTTTTGTCTCATGGTCCATCTTCATAAACCTCACGTCGATGAGGCCAGATCTAGCCTGAGTCAAAGACTAGGGACATGGTTCTGAATATAGCGAATACACCTCCCTGATCTCATCACCGAGAATTCCTCTTTCAAACTACTTCATAACTGGTTTGCAAGCTCTTAATTATGCCCCAGACGTCGAGTCGTCGAGTCGTCCCAGTGAGGTCCTGCAACAGTAACGGTACTTCCAAGCTTCCGCTACGCCAGGAAAGGAAAGGTCGGTCGCACCCTAGCTTTCCCCGCAAAATGGGGCCATGCATCCCCTTGAACAGCTCAAAACCTTGACCATTTTCGTTCTGCTTTCAACTCGTCCGTCCATTTTGGCCCTTACCTCCCACCAGCAATGCAATCACCCCTTTCATACGAGAACGCCTTTTTTTTTTTTTTTCTTCGACCGGTAGCCTCAAAACCCTTTTTCTCTCCCCTTTCCAAAGATTGCCGCCAAAGAGCGCCATCTTTTCTTAAATCCTGGCGCGCCCATCGATCGAGAGAGCTGACCGCAATGGAACTTGCCGGTGCCGAGTCATCCGTAGCGACCAGCCCCCATGACGGCAGGGACAACAAACCGAGCTCCTGCAAACGCGCCAACATAGCGTGTTTGTCTTGCCGCTCTCGTAAAGTGCGCTGCGACGTCGAGCGGCGAGGAAAGCCTTGCACGAACTGCCACATGGACGACAAATGTTGCGAACTCAAGGCGCGCAAGTACGAGCCATGGATGCTGGTGTGCCCATTTTCAGTGAACGCTCATAGCTAATTTGCTTTTCTCAGAAACAAGTCACTTCGTCGCCCGCGCCGTAAGGTACGAGACCCCGAGCTAGGCATTGCCCTCCAGGGAGCCCCGGAGTCGACACCGCCGACCGAATCAAGAGGTGATGCGACCTTGCCTGGGGTAATTGATATCGGCCAGGAACAGGAACTTGACGTGCTATCTACGCAAAGCGAGCAGATTCCCGGCAGCTTTGAGATGCCCCAAGGCCCTCCATGCGATACTAGTGTCAACGACGTCCTGATCGGTAAGTCTAGGGGGCAAGCGGGCTCTACGGTAGTGTTCTTTAGTGGCTAACTAGATCCGTTGTGCCAGACCCCGAGTTAGATATGCGGGGAGAGGAAAGCGACAGGCCGCCCGCCAGAATGGCCCAGCAACCAGCCGAGCAGGAATGCCAGAATAAATCACAAGAGGTCTTTTACTCTTACTACTCCTTCTTAACCATCAACCGGATCATGGAGATTCTGCCCGAAGACCTCGATTTTCTCGACTCTCAAGGCTGTCTAGATGTGCCTAAGCGCTCTCTCCTGGATGAATTCGTCCGGCACTACTTTCTCCATGTCCATCCGCTCCTGCCGATCATGGACGAGGAAGAGTTTTGGAAGGCCTATGACGAGACGCCTGGAATGGATATCGAGCCCGACCAAATTTCGCTCTTGGTCTTGAGAGCAATGATGTTTCTTTCCTGTTCTTTCGTACGACACTCTACTATCAGGGCCCTCGGTTTTGCCTCATGTCGAGATGCCAGGATAAAATTCTACCGCTGCGCGAACCTCCTCTACATCTTCGATAGCGAGTCATGCCCGATTTACCAAGCGCAGGCGGCTTTGATGCTTTCTCATTCAACGCCGCCGGCTAACAGTTCATGGCTTAGCCGCGCCATCCACCACACAACAACGGCCGAGCAGCAATACCAAGGCAAACGAACAAAGCCCGATATCTGCGCTCATAGTAGTGTATCGGCCAGTACTTCCACCCAGAGAGGTCGAAAAATGTTGAAGAAGGTCAGACTCGGGTGCATCATTCGCGACCGGACTTTGACCCTCCTGGCCAGATGTCCTCTGCAGAACGCCGAACACCATTTCGGCGCCGAGGCCTGTGCAAGCACCTTCCTGGACGAGGTCTTTGATGAATCGAAACAGTCGCGCATGTATACTCCCGGTATTAAAAGGAAGCAAGCGGGAATACTTGCCTCGATCATCAAACTGCACTTGATTGCGACGAGCGCGCCGAACACGCAAGACTCGGACTCTCTGCGGCGAGGTACCGGTACAGCACGAGCCGCATTCATGGCAGTTCAAGACCTCAAAGCGTCTATCAAATCATGGCACGACTCTGTGGTCCTGGAATTTCCAATGAGCACATTCCAGGGCGCAGGCCATGTCGGATCCCAGAACAGAAAGGACCGCTTCCTTCCGCACGAATCCGTACCTCTTTATACGAGCCTGATGTATATGTACTATCATTCAGCTCGAGTCTTCCTGTGCAACCTGGAGACCCTTCATCTCTCAAAGGCCGTCATCGCCCCAGAGGAGAACTGGAGTGCACGAAGCGCCCTTTCTATGCTTGACGGGAACTACAAGGAGCTACGGAGTGCGCTGGGGGAAGTAGCCGAGTGTGTTAGTACCATCGTACAACTGGACTTTGTACAGTGGCTACCTTTGGCAGTGGTTCCTTGTCTCTTTCTCCCCCTTGCGCTCGACATCCTAAACGTACAGCTTCCCGAAGACTGCCAAGCTAAGCCGCCAAAACTGGAAGCAGTCGCTGGGAAGCTGAGCCGCCGCACAAAGGCCTTCTTGGATGCGATGAATACGTACAGGGAGAGATACGATAGCGTAGACAAGCTAGTCGACTTGCTGGAGCAACTTCTGCGTCTTAGCCATGTTGATAAGTTTGACGAGGAGGGAGATGAAGAGATGGACGGGGACAGTCCGATTCTTTCCCCGACCGGATCATATATGCTACTAGTGTTTCTTCTCCATATGTCTTTCATGCGCGCCCGCCTATTGGACCTGAGCGAGATTCCAACGAGTCTACAAGGCTGGTTTGGTAAATGGGGTGGGGAAAGTCCCGTTCGGACTCTGATCCGCATTCACCGCCGAAGCAGGAACAGGAGAGGCACAGGCAATAATGCGTTAACAGGTACTATAGACTGCGCCGTGGGGGCTCGTACCCCTGGGGAGAGCTCGGCTGGTCCATCCCCGGCCTACTCTGCTAGCGGTAGCAGTAGCTCCTGCGACACGCTGACACTCGGAACAAGCCTAGGTAGGCTGGGATGGCCAATGAATGGAAGTGTGGCAGAGCATGAGCTAGTAGGGGATCTGGCGCTTGAAATGGATTTTGGGGGCGAGCTGACGCAACCGCTCGAGACCCAGCTACTAGGGGTACCGAATGAATGGACAGAATGGATCAACGGTGGGTGGGAGGAGGACATGACAATGCCGAATGCGTGAGAACTGCCCTTCGATTCCACTACGCTTGAGTATCACATGGTTGTATTCCGGTAATGGAACGTGGGCTATTTAATGTACATCCAATCGATCAAGAACACTGAACAGTCTATTTTGCCTCGCTGCATTTCTATTATTCGAAGTCCTTAACCCGACTGTGTGTCGATAATGGCTAATAGCTTTTTAAGCCGAGAGAAAGCTGTAGTGACCTGGACGCCGAGCCAGCACTCTCTGAACTGGGAATCTGATGTGGTGTCCGGGGTCAAACTCTATAATCGGAGTGTCAAATTGCCGAGGGTAAATGACAATGTGGGGAAGTCGGGCTCATCTCGTTGGACGAGTCGGCACCCCATGCCACACTCAACCGGGCCGCAGGAGCAGATGCACGAGCTATGCAGGCAAGAGCCAATCGATTTCCTCCTGTCGATTCGATCTTCAAGAACCTCCGGATTTGTGGGTCTCTTGGCAGATGTTCCTAGACTTGTGGAGTACATGCGTGCCTTGGCTTTGCCTTGCATTCCACCCCTCGGTCAATTGACACTGAACGGATAAGTATGAGACTATCATCAACCCGAGGACGGTTGAGATCTCAGCCTCACCCCTGAGGTAGAATTTGCTATTTTGGGTCTCGTCAACTAGGACAATTACTACACTCAAGGCGTCACGAAGGCCTCCCGAGTCTCGTACTTTGCCGATTCTTGCGTTCCTGTCTGGACCGTACACTACTCTCATTTTGCCTCCTCCGTTTCGACGACACCAACCAGCGACTCACAGTTTAGCTTTCAGCGTGTGTGCTAAAAGGGACAGCTTCAGGGGAAATCAACAATGGACAGCGCATCGATCCAACTCGCATCACCGCCTCCCCCATGCTCTATCCTAGAAGTCACCTTTCCCGCGCCCTTCGTGATGCTTGTCACAATCAACCGGGAGAAGCAGATGAATTCCATCCCAATGGCCGGTCACTGGGAAGGCGACGCCCTCTGGAACTGGTACGACGGGGAACCCCAGCTCCGTGTCGCAGTTCTTACTGGCAAGGGGAAGAAGTCCTTTTGCGCCGGCGCGGATCTCATGGAGCAGAACATGAACAAAAACAAGCCGAAGGATCCTGCCTCGCAAAGGATGCCTGCTGGTAGTTTCCTCGGAGTTAGTCGTCGCCTCGGGAAGAAGCCGATTATTGCTGCTGTAAATGGTTACGCTTTTGGGGGAGGTTTCGAGATCTCTCTGAATTGGTAGGGGAAAACTGATGCGGACAAGTTTTGATTCATAAGGAGTTCCCTACTAACCTACTCCGTGTCTCTCAGCGACATGGTCATCGCCTCTCCTACGGCGAGCTTCTCACTCCCCGAAGCCAAACGAGGACTTTACGCCGGCGCCGGTGGCCTCCCACGCATCGTAAGGACGTTCGGCCTCCAACTCGGCACCGAAATGGCGCTTACCGGCCGAACATACGCCGCCACCGAACTGCAGAAATACGGATTTTGCAGAGTCGCCTCTTCGCAGGAGACTCTGATGGATGAGGCACTGGCGCTTGCCGAGGAAATTGCCAGCTTGTCGCCTGACGCCGTCATCGTAAGCCGTGCAGGTGTGAGAGAGGCGTGGGAGACTGGTAGCGTTGAGCGGGCTGCCCAGAAAACGCAAGAGAAATATGCTCAAAAGTTGTTGGAGGGCGAGAACATGCGGATAGGCCTGGAGGCATTTGCTAAGAAGCAGAAGCCTAAGTGGGTTCCATCGAAGTTGTAAATAGAGATAGAAGGTGTGTATATATTTCAATGAGTGATTGCCTTACTTGCCCATTATCAGGCTTCGTGTTTCTGTCCCTATATTTCTCTGGGTTCATAGACACATCTTATTTTAAACCGTTAACCTGCTTGATTCAAAGCAACGATGATTTCAGAAACTCAAGAGCAGTCATGTCAGGGATATCTTGCGACGCAATGATTCTTTATATATTAAAGGAAGCAACACGAAGAAGGGTCTAAAGCGATGGAGTACATTGAGGCAGAGTTGCACAGTTTCCTTAACGCATTGTATGTGATGAGGAAGTTCCTTCAGCTTAGAGCTTAGAACCTCTCTTCTTAGCCTGGGCCATCTCCTGGCGCACCGCAAGATCCGTGATAATCTCCTCGCTGCCGCCTCCTACGATGTTGACCCTGAGGTCTCGGCTGATCTGCTCAACGCGAGAGCCCACGCCACCCCTCTGGTAGCCAGCGCCACCAAAGATCTGCTGTGCCTCGCGGTTGGCAAGCTCCAGCAATCTGCCGCCGTGGACCTTAGCAAGGGCAATGCGGGAGGCGAGCTCCGCCCCAACATCGCCCGTAACCTTGATATGGTAGGTAATTTGCTCAATCCAGGCCCAATGAGATTCAATGTATCGGGCTAGAGTCGCTAGTTTATGGCGGATGATCTGGTGGGAGAACAGAGGTTGTCCAAAGGTGTGGCGATCCATGGCATAGGCCCATGCATCCTCAAGGCAGACTCTGGCCTGCGCGTTCATGGTGACGGCAATAAGGAGGCGTTCGCGGTTAAAGTCTTGTCATGCATTAGATGAAAAAGTTTGAAAAAAAAAAAAAAAAAAAAAAAAAAGCTAGTCATTACTGAAGAAGGCTTGAGGAGTGGGAGTCTTACTGAGCATTAGGCAAGGGAATCCCTGGTTCTCTTGGCCAAGCAAGTTCTCAGCGGGCACTTGGACGTTCTCCAGTGTAACCCAAGTGCTCTCACCTGCATTGAAGGCACTGTTCTTGATCTTTCGACGCGTAATTCCAGGCAAATCCATCGGAATGATCAAGACGGAGACACCGGCGGCTCCGGGACCGCCCGTGCGAACCGCCGTCGTCATGTGGGTTGCGCTCAAACCTCCGGTAATCCATTTCTGCAAGCCAAACGGCGTTAACCTCGGAAGCCAAAACGAAAATAAATCGAGAGGTATCTCGTCTCTTATTACCTTGTGCCCATTGACAATATACGCTTTGCCATCAAGCGTCTTCTTCGCAGTCGTCCTCAGATTGGCAAGATCGGATCCCCCTGTTCGCCCGAGTTAGCCCGAGTCGGTGGTTTATGGATCGACCATCAGACTCACCGGTGGGTTCAGTTGCGCCAAGGCAAAACACCGTGTCGCCGGAGAAGACACCAGGTAGCCATCGGCGCTTCTGTTCTTCGGTCCCGTAACGGACAATGGGGGGCACACCAATGGCCGATCCTGCACCTAGGCCAGCCGCGACACCACCGCAGCAGATCTTGGCTAGTTCATAATGCAGAACGACGAAATGGAAGATATCCCATTCTGGACACGTGGCAAGGTTAGGACACGGATAAGAACCTAAATCAGCCAGCAGGTGCGGAGGAATGCCTTACCGTCGAAGGGAATACCACCGGGTAATCCGATACCACCAGAATATTCGGCAGGCATCTCTTGGAATGCGAGACCGGCACGAGCATAATCTCGACTAGCGTCCTTGGGGACGCTGCCTTCCTCTTCCCACTCTTCGACGTAAGGGAAGACATTCTTCTCGAGATAGCTTCGAACGTAATTACGCAGGCGGCGATGGCTGTCGTTATAGTAAGGAGAGGCGAGGGCGTTGTACCATGCCGGCTCAGCGAAGGGGGCAGGATTGCCATAGGGCTTGGTGACGGCTTTCGACATGGTTGTTGGTAGAATTAGGCTCGTGAAGAAGACAGAGACTGAGTAGTGATGGGGAAGACTTGCACTCGATTTTGGGGGGTTAATTATGGTTTATGGCACTGTCTTTAATGTCAGGGCCCGTCGCTTCAGAAATGATTTGTACCTTGCGCTGGATAGCGAAGCTGATGCAGGCACTCTACCCGAGGCCTACAGAAAATTTGGATTGTCCGAGGGCATCTGGATCCTGGAGGGGATGTGATTAATTAAGATGAGGAGGGAGGACCAGCCCCGGGCCGCTGGTGCGGATCGCCGTATCGATGTCAAAAGCCCGAGGCTAATTGACCACACCGAACCGAGACCAAACACGACTACCTCTGGACTGCAATGGCTCGGCGAAAGCGAAGAGTTACCCCAGACGGAGTAGGACTCCCCCGAAATGCCAAAGCGCCGATGGCGAAGTGAAAGCTGGAGTCAAGGGCAATATCGCACGCATATATGTACACCAACCTCTACTCATCGCCCCTCACATCCATGCAGAGCTGTCCTAGCTTTCCGAAGAATTCATCCGAAGGTGTCGCTCTTCCATTTGAACATCTTAGGCTCCGTCTAAGTCTTTATCCTGCAATGGCCGAACCCCAGATTTACAAGTCGAAATCTCAAAATGTCCTCATCCCCACCAACGAATCTATATGGCAGCATATCCTGAGCAAGAACCTTGAGGATACCCCTGCTGATAAAGTCCTTGTGGAAGAATATGGCAGGAAAGACATGTCTCTAACTTATGGGTCCGCCCCCCGCATCGCTGCCCTCGGGGCCGCTGGACTTCGCGATGTCCTAGGTCTCAAGGCGGGGGATAAGATTCTCGTGATTGGGGCCAACACGATGGAGTTTGTCCTGATCGAATTCGCTGCCTATTGGGCGGGATACACGGCCGCGTGAGTTCCACTATCTAGAGGAGAGACATATGTATTTCAAGGCAGACTAACCAGAGGTGGGAATCTAGTCTTGTGAATCCCATAGCCACTCCCTACGAGCTTGTGCATTATATCTCAGTCATCGACCCAGTTGCCATCTTTGCCGACTCTGGAGCCACATACAAGAACGTAATCCGCTCTTTCGAATTATCTAAGGTGCCTACAGAGAAGCAGCCTCCCGTAATCGAGATGGGAGCCCGCGTCGAAGCTAAGTATGCTGTAAGTTGTGAGCGAACATAGGCAAGTGCCGCCGATTATAATACACAACACGCACTTATATATGGAGTTCATTTGTTAGTTTCCCCAAGACTTCGTCACAGACCCGAACAAGGCAACCGAACCCCCCCTCGACCTCTCGACCCAGGACAACAGGAACTTTCCAGCCGCAATTTGCTTCAGTTCTGGAACAAGTGGATTCCCCAAGGGGGCTGTCCTAAGCCACTATAATCTCATCGGGGGCATAAATACACCCAGGGCAACGGACCCTGAGCGCTACAATTCGAGTCAAAGAGAAGTGTTCTACCCGCCATGTACGACTTGCTTTCCGAAGTCCAACTCTCTGCCAAGAAAGACTAACACTGCAATGACCAGTGTGCCACATTTACGGAGTCAACACGATCCTAGGATGTTTACTTACTGGGTCTCACATTGTGCTTCTGCGCCAGTACAACTTCCACCACTACGTCCAGGCCTGTGCCAAGATCAAGGCAACTATGCTTCGAATGGTCCCTCAGACCGCAGTTGCCTTGGTTAAGGATCCGACCGTGTCAAAGCATGATCTGAGTAGCGTCCACACCATAGTATGCGCCGGCGCAGTACTTCCACCAGAGATCATTACAGAGTTGCAAAAGATGATGAAAGGCGTCGTTCTCAGCCAGGGATATGGGTGAATCAACTTTACCACATCGCGGTCTTTAAGAGATCGTACCAAGGCTAACAGACTTCTTTGAGCAGAATGACAGAAGCTGGGGGCACAACAATTCCTCGGGCTACTGCCTCTAGCAAAGCCGGAAGCGTGGGGAGACTTCTTGCTAATACGTAAGGACGCACACTAGAGGCAACTCAAACCGGTCTCTTGTTAACAATATGATCCAGGGAGATGCGATTCGTGGATGATGAGTTGAAGGACGTGAAGCGCGGCGAAACCGGGGAGATTTTGATGCGCACGCCCTCCGCATTTATGTGAGTTGGAAATTCTGCCAAGCCGTCCCTGAGTTTAAACTTACCTGCAACCAGGTACTACATTAACAACAAGGAGGAAACTGCGGAGGCTCTTCTTCCCGGAGGGTGGGTGAGGACCGGGGACGTTGGTCGCATCGATGAGGATGGATACGTCTGGCTCACAGACCGCAAGAAGGACCTCATCAAGTTCAAGGGGTAAGCAGCCCAAAACCGCTAAACAAGAACATCTTGCGCTAACTCCGTCATATAGAAACCAAGTTTCCCCGGCAGAACTTGAAAATGTTCTTCTCTCCCATCCCCTAGTGAGGGAGGCCGGGGTCTGCGCAAAGTGGGATTCCGTTCAGGAGACAGAAGTCCCCGTCGGCTACATCAACTTGCAGGCCAGTGTGAAAGAGGCCGACCGGGCTAAGGTGATCAAAGAAATTATGGATTTTGTCAATGGGCGCGTGTCCAAGACCAAGCGTCTCAGAGGTGGCCTCTACTATCTACAGACCTTTCCGAGGAGCAGTACTGGAAAGTTGCTGCGGAGGGCCTTGCCTGCCAGGCTCGAGGCAGATCGTGCTGCCAGGTTGTAATCTCAGCAGCCGGTAACAGCTCTCTCGCCATTGTCGCAGTCATCAATGGTTTTGAAAGAGTACTTTTGTATTTAGTTGGAAATGTCGATTGAGTTGTTTCTCACTTGCCACCCTAAAGCGGAGCATGCCTCAAGAGTGATCGCTTCTCAGTCTTGCTTTCGTAACATAACCCGGCAACTGAAACTCAAATGTTTAATGGCTGTATTGGGAGAGTTCGAAGTCCAAGAATCAAGTTGCTTCAATCCGTATTATACATTTATATGGTTATGATTCACCTCCTATCCAAGAGTCAAGACCACCCGATTGTCCTTACCGGAAATCCATGAACAGATGAACGGTTATCAACGAGGATTATCATACGGTACATGCTCATGATCTACTCCCATCCACCTTCTAAATTTTCCGAGTTTTGTTTTCTCTAGATCTTTGAGTCCGCATCCAGGCAGAACAGATTCCTACCGTCGTCTCCAGTCGTTACGTATCCGAAGCCGCCAATATGGTCAACCATGGGATTGGCAAGCTTGGCCAAGGTAGCAGTATCTCCATGGTTGGCGATGAAACGACTGTTGTCCTTCGCCAACCGTCCTACGATATGCCCAATGCGAGGCGCCCCATCCCGCTTAAACTCCACGGTGTAAGTCTATAAAGACGATTAGGTTCCCTCTCAAGCTCGGGGGCAAACTTGTATATTACATACCTCAATAATCGCAGCGCCGGCTCCAGGGCGAGCTTCAAAATGTGGGATCGTGACACCTGGTGTCTCTAGTGGGAGCGGTCTCTCGGCAGGATATGGCGTGTTCCCCTTCCGTGGTCGGGAGGACAGGCAAACAGCATGTTGATGCGTGAACATTCCTCCATTAGCAAGGACAAGACCGTTGCGGTATGTTCCATTTCTCAGCTGGCGCGTCATTTCCACCAAGGCCTGCAGAACTATGTGAGAGGCTGTTCGGGACTAATCAAAGTGGTCACTGAAAATACGTACGTGCATAGAGTAGTTGTTTCCGGCACCGCCAAAGGAGGTCAAACCGCCCAAAAGCGTGATAGGTTTCGCCGGGCTGGTTGGAGACAAACCAACGTGTCGAGCCGCCATCTTGGGAACAATAGGAAAGCAACTTTAGAAAGAAACGTCAGTATGCCAGCACCACAGCTGGTTCACTTGAACTTACGAGTAGAAATCAAAGACATCTAATTCGTCTAGTGTCAGGTCGGACACTTTGATGGCGGTGTCGATAGATTTCTCGAGGGCAGGGCTTGTCCAGTACCAGGGACGCTCCCAGACTTGGAAATAATTAATTACCATTCTCAGCCACTTGTCCATGATGGACCTGACCGGAGTAGACTCACAGTTGTGCCTGTCTTCCGTACCAGCACCGCCAAGGACATAGACCCATTTTCCCCTCGGGATACGTAGCTTTTCAGCCTGTTCTACGGATGTCAAGACACATGCCGCCGCCAGATTGACGGTGTTGAATGCGTTCACCAGCAAGGGATCTACCTATATAGGTTAGCGCTTTGTTAAGACATGAGAAGACAGACGGTCGAGAACCAGCATACAGGGAGAGCAAATCATGCGGTTTTTTGGTGAAAGAGTTCCAATCTCCTGCGCAGTCCTTGGCTTCTTGCCATATCTCCAGCTCGACTCGTGCTTACACGCAATCTCGTCAAACTCGGCATACATAGTCGCGGATTCCTTGAGATTTTCTTCGCACGATTGGCGTCGGAAAGAGCGGAAGGCATTTTCATACATGGGGTAGACATGAGTGGGTAGGCCAACTGAATGGAGCGTACCCACGTTGTCGCCAAGCATGCTCAGGTCGCCCGTTTTGATCTGCCGGGTGTTCGGGTCGGGCTTTGTCCACCCTTTTGGAATTTTTCGGCCGGCTTTGTGGCATGCAGCGACTATGTTTCACAGTCAATTAGAACAACCTCGAAATGTTTCATTCTAGAATACATACGAGATGCTAAGGCTTCGCCACCGACAATGATGGAGATTCTGCTCTGTCCGGAAGCGATTCTCCGAGCCGCCTCATCACACAGCTCTCCCGGTTGATTACCCCCATGAGGTCCGAGATGGAGGTGCGATGGTTCCGCGCCGAGTTTAGCTGCCAAGAGCCCAGGGAGGTTTTCATATGGCCAGGTCCAAGGCGGAACGACGGAAATGCTGTCCACGGCGGCGACCAGGGCATCGCGATCAGGTGCACTGGAATCCGCAAAGGCATTTTGAATAGCTTGGAGCATCAGCTCCATTGGTTCGATGGCATTCTCAACGGCGGTTGACCGGTTGCAAATCTCGCCAACGCCAACGATGATCGGAGTATGAGGAGATAGTGACATTGTTGTTCAAAAAGGCAGGACGATTCTTTGGGATAACTAAAAGGAGGGACGCCTTGTAGTAAAACGATTGCCACCTCCGGAAAATTATTATAAATTGAATTTACAATTTATACGGCTGCAATGAGATCTTCGACGTTGACTTGACGATGTGGTCAATTGACCTCGGCATTTTGTTAGTCTCGGCCAACATCAAGTCTCGTTTTGCCGTGGGCCGTGGACAAAAACGACTCTCGCTCTTTGTTGAATCAGCCCCGTCGCACGACGCTTGCGATCCCGGTTAATCTGAATATATTATATTTCGAGCCTAGGTGTACCTGTTCTCCGATGAGCCTTGGGAAGCTAGAAATAGTTTTGTTCTGCCCCAGCCATGGTCAATCTTATGCAATGGGTGCCGTTTATCCCACCAGCCCCATCTAGAATCGGGATCAGTATGTCATCGATCGTGCGGTTTCCCTACCAGGCCCTAAATCATTGACCCGGATAGATTTCCTAGATGTAGAAGGCAATTCTACTGCGAGGTAGACGATGCTGAATTCCGGGGATGTTTAATGCCCGAGGAAACTTCAATAAAAGTGCACAGTAGTCCGCAAATTTCCCCTGCTGGGTTACCGCCCTTGTCCGCTTAAGTTGATCTTGGAGGAGAGGCTTTGACCCCGAGAGGATGGCGAGATGAAGGGGATCCAAAAAGGCTAGGCCTATTTTGCTCTTTTGTCTCTCTACTCGCATTGGGGGTGTTAAACTCAGAGCTTCGGAGAGTTTCCTACAACCCCTAGGACTCGTCACCGTTACGGCCCTCAAGCATCAGGTAAGGAACACAGGTGACGAAGGCGTTTTCAGCCATGGCGGGCCCGATACTGCCATTATAATTACCGTGTTGTAGGAAATGCGGAACCATGCAAACTATGACATTTGGCCCGTCATCGCAATAGACCCCAGACGGTGGAATCTTCGTAGCTTTTACTGTCTGGTAAAGGAATTGGACTTTTTGTCGAAAGTTGATTTAGGCTATTGACAAAGAAGCTCGAGTTGCTCTCGTCGCCAGGGACTTCAATTAACCCTCCAGAAATTGATCTGAGGCGTACAGACAGTCTCGCATCTGAAGTGGAATCCAGAACGGGATGTTCGTCCTTAGATGCTAGCTGCAGATCGAAGAAGAACTCGTAACCTGTAAGCAGTGAATTGGCAAATTTATTAACTCGCTCGAACGCTGCAACAGCCTGCAATGTGTCGCGAGAGTCGATTCGTATTGTCAAAATGTGATAATAATATTTGTCTAGGCTCGGGGGCAAATCGACCAGATAGCGGCAAGCCTTCTGCAGACCCAACCCTCTTTCGAAGCATCATTTCAAAAAGTCCTCGACCGCGAGTCGCACCCAGAGAAAGACACCACCAGCTCGCTCTCCTATCCCTTCCATAAGACAATCGATTCCACGGCTGTCCTTTCCCTCGCATATGATGGGTTTATTTCGAGCCGGTATACCCTCCGGCTAGTCTCCACGGTCCCCAGTGGCTCACTAGCCTTGAGAAATATCACATTGGTGGTAGCATCTAGTGCTTTACCGCTTTGCCTACATGTAAAACTGATGACATTTGGTGTGAGCAATCCCGTTGTGGCCGTTTCGTGGGGAGGAAGGGTAAAATTTTTACCTTCATCTTGACGCTGATTTGATGCATTCTTTAACAGATACTCGGACTTGAATATACCCAGCTTTTCCCTTCCCTGAAAAGCGACTCATCCGTCGATGGTCCGCGTTGATAACCCTTTTTATTTCGCCTTCAAATTCCACACGGGCCGACCAAGGCGGCACGACTCTTTCCCGAGCAACGAATGGGATGCCTAGGCCGCGGGCTTCTTTGAAGCTTACCAAATGAAAGTTAAGGTCGCAGTAGGCATCACCGAAGCTTTCGTTGAGAACTTGCAGGATGGAGGCGTTGACATCCAAGTCTCTCAGGATGGACTGGCTGGTGTCGAACTGCATGGTCCTCGCAGCTGATAGAATAACCCTCCCAAGTTTAGGGTACCAGGGGCTGCCGCGATGTGGAGTCCCAAGAAATATTGTCCCCGCCGTGGCCTTGTACAAAGGATGCTTCACTCGCGAAGATTCTCGTAGGATAGCCTTAACTAGTAACCCGCCGACGCCATGACCGATGAAAATGATGGGGCGGGACAGGGCGGCATCACGAACGTCATCAAGGAGCGACAGGAAGGTAGTAGCGTGTCCGAGGATATCCATCTGGTTGGCTGCTCCACGGGAGAAGCGGCAGACTTTGCTGTCGTACCCATATGTCAAAACGCGGCAGTCCGAAAAGTCGATGGATAGCAGTTCGGATGGCCAGTAGCAGCTAGGCGCCGGAGAGGAACTGAGATTTAGGCGTTGTGCCCATGACTTCTTTTCGTATAGCCATATTTTCCTAGGGTGGCCTTGCAACCCGCGGATAAAAATAATGCTACTGTAAATCAACCACGCAATATCAGTCAGCTCGGATAGTCCGGTGGACCTCCATCAAGAGACGCGCCTGTATCTCTACCGCATTAAGTGCTGGCGTTCTAAATATTAGGAGCGCCACTCCACTCGTCGGGTTGGCGAAAATCGATATTTCTCAACCTTGGCGTCCAGGAAGAGTTTCACCGAATGGCGCAACTCGCCAGTCTCATTAGCGCTGGACCAAGCAGCGGAAAAGGCATCGTGAAGAGCCTTGGATGCTTTCTTGATTGATCGAATTTCGGTGCACTCGCGAATGAGCTGCTTCTTTGAAGCAGTCAAGTCCGGACCTTCAGGCTTCTGTAGCTCGTTGGATTGTTGACGAAGAAGCCGCAGCTGATGATTGGATTCTCCGAGAGTCTTTATACAGTCGTCTGCCTTTGATTTATTCCATACCACCTTTACTGATTGGCAATTGCGCCGGACGACATCTCGAAAGGATTCGCTCTTGTCTCCCTGTCAGTAACCGGCGTACCAAGTCTCCAAGTCTCGGTAGAGTGGATGCTGACCTCGAGTCGATCTAGTACAAGCTCATCGAAAGAACTAAGCTCCTTTTGCAGTTCCTCAATTACGGCCGATATTTCCGTGAGAATATCTTGGCAAACCGATTGATTCTTCATCAAATGCGCGGAGAGGCTCAATTCGAGGCTGCTGCTTTGCCATTCGGGCAGGTGCTGGTCATCCAGCATCCTGTGGATGCCATCCTCATCAGAGAGGACCGACCTCAGGAGAAGATGGCACTCATTGGCGAAGAACTGCTGCTGTCGCTCAAGGTGTTTGCGCAGTCGCGACACTTCTCTCGAAGCGTGGCGAAAGACTTTGAACTTCCGCTGCGTTGTCCGGTAGGCCTGGACGGCGCCGCCGAGCAAGGCAGTACTCCCAGGGCCAAAGCGGCTGGATCCATAGCACATGGAAAGCGCGAAGGTGGTCTGGAAACTGCGAGTTGCTTCTCTCCAGAGAGAGAGAAATTTCTTCTGGTCTCAATCTTTGGATTGAGGCGAGAGGGGCTGCAGTGTGGGGGAGCAAGAAGGAGAACAAGGCTGCTCCCCGTTCGTACATATTGTGCGCCCAATGACGTTCCCTCTTTCCAGTCGCTAGCAATGAAGAGAGCTGACGCATTATTTCCCTCGCCTTCGGATTTCAATCTCACCAATAGGTACTAGGCTCCACTAAAGGATCGGCAAACAAATGACAACATTCCAGCAGAATAGCGATGGAGATAATAGCAATTGAAAGCCGAGAGCGCAGCGACCCGACACTCACAATCAGCCAGTATTTGGCGTCGCAAGCTTCCGAGGCCGGCTCCGGGACAGATATGGGGCCGACCGAAAGAAGTCTCGTCGCGCGACTCTTCCTGGAGACTACGGCGCTTTTCCGGTTCCTGGCTCGACATATTGCCACCGGATATGGCGTTCCGGGCGATGCCGCCACGAGTGTTCGCAGAAGCTGCGCTCGCTTGAAGCTCTGGTCCGATGGCTATGGCGTATCCGAAGGAAAGCTTGATGAGATTCTTGCCAAGTCGGGGAAGATCCGGCGGGCCACCCGCAATGGTGTTGTCGGCATCGCGAAAACCCTCTTAGAACGTATGTTCGAACAAAATGTGCTTCCCGTGCGCGATACTAACTCTGCCTCCTCAGGACTCGTGAGATTTGTTAATATCTCAGCCAATGTGGACAAGGAACGACTAGATCTCCTAGTAACCTGCGTGAACGGTCTTATGAATGCTACCACAGAGGATGAATGGGATAGCAAATCTAGCGACAGCGACTCGGATTTTGAGCCAGATAGCATAGATGAAGTTGCCAAGGACCTTGAGACTGACACCACCTGTCTGATGAAACTAGACGCCGTTCTGAAGGACCTCGTCTTCGACCCTAAGATCGACAAAACGGGAGGCCATCCCGTAACAAAATGGTCTGCTTACTACATGTACTGCGACAAAGTCAGTAACCGATTTCCACAGGCGGACAAGGTTCTCGTCGAGAGACTAGGAAAGGCGAACTACGAGCGATTCCTGCGATGTCTAGAAGATAGAAACTGTAAGGAGGGTGATCCTCCGGCTTCAGAGGAAGCTACTACAGCCCCGGCCGCGGCAATACCAGGCGCCGCAGAAACAATAGCGGGCTCCAAATTCCATGACTCGGGGCTGGGCCCCCCCCGCCCACAATATCATACTATGCCGAAACCATCATGTCATACGGGCGTAGTGATTCCCAATCCGTCTGCATCCCCCCACTGCCAGAAGGAGCGAAAGAGGGCGTACCTTTCGAGTGCCTTGCGTGTGGCCACCAGCAGGTCATCACCAACAACTCGGCATGGAAGCGCCATCTCTACCAAGACTTGCAGCCCTGGCTATGCCTTGATGTCAACTGCGCGTCGGGAGCCGCTTGTTTCAGGGACCGTGATGATTGGATCGCTCATCTTGCCTTTGAGCACAAGCTGTCACCTAAGTGGACGTCACTCCCATGCCCGCTTTGCCAAGAAGACACAGGAGCCGGTAAAGTGGGAATAACGTCACATCTGAGCCGGCACCTGGAGGAAGTTTCTCTTTCGGCCCTCCCGCGGAGGACAGAGGATGACGATGGCGGCTCTTTATCATCAGTATTTTCCGCCTCTGTTTCATCGAATGACATCACCCACATCAATCCAGACTCTCTCAAGCAAAACATCGGAACTGATGTCTCTGACACCGGCGCTTTGGCCAGCAAGGAGGCTACACCGCTGCTCTACGGCAGAGTCGACTACGACAGGGAGCCATCCCCGGAGACCGCGAAAAATCCTGCCTTACTCGATGAGATTACCTCAACCTTCAACATCACCGACAAAATTCTGAAGCCCACAGTTGTGAAAGAGAACAACATCCAAGGCGAAGGCGGGGTTCGGGCACAGAAGCAGCTCAATCAGCTAGACGCTGTGATGGGCTCCATTTCCAGTCGCCCGAGCTCGCCCGGGATCCACGAGCAATCGCGTCTAATTCGGCTCTCTTTCTCTCTCCGCGTCACTCCTGGTGTCAAGTCCATCCACCTGTGTGGCTCCTGGGATAGCTATGCTGGCAAGCTTCCCCTCTATAGAAACAAGACCTCGTCCAAATCGGACTCGTGGAAGGGCATCTTCCGCTTCTCCAGCTCTACCATCGAGGCTGGCCAACGCTACTGGTACTACTATATTATCGACGGCTACCATAGGCATAACCCTTCACTGGAGTCCACCGTCGAGCCAACTACCGGCCGCACCGTTAACATCCTCAATGTCTCCAAAGCCTTCTCGTCCAGCAACCCCAATGAGGACGAGCTGCCGATTACCATGACCGTTGCAGCCCGGAATATAACTGAGGATGCTGTCAAGGTGAAGATGGTGATACCGATGCGGACCAGCCGAGGTATTGCTATTGTAATGACATGAGCTATCGAGGAATGATTTCTTGCGGTGCTGAAGGCTGTGAGCGCGAGTGGTTTCATATGGAATGCGCCGGCCTAAAGGTAGCCCCGAAGCTACATGGTAAGTGGTGAAACCAGAATTTCAAGATGATGAGAGATGTAAACTAACCAGAAGCGTAGAGAAATGGTATTGTGAGGATTGCAAGAAACGTCTCGAAAGCAAGGATCCTGATTCCACCTCTCAGAAAGCATCGAGAGCAGGAGGCGTGACACAGAGTATTAGTCTTGGTTTTTCGGACCTGGAAGGGGCCGCACGATCTTCTGGTTCCCATGAGCCAACCGCGATGTCTACGCCGTCTTCAGGTCTAGAAGTCCCATTAGATACTGATTCGTTAATGAATCCCCCCAAGCCCGTGAAAAGATTTGCAGGCTGCGAGACTTGCAGGTTAGTTCACAGACCAGCTAGTTTCCACTGGAAACTAGGTTCCCCTCGTCCAGAATAACCCGCGGAGCTAGCTAACAGCCTTCTCTTTTCTAGAAAGCGGAAAGTTAAATGCGATGGACAGCGGCCGGTTTGTGCGAAATGTATTAATACGGCGAGGCACTGCCTAGGCTACAAAAGTTTCGGTCAAGCCCACCACGGGTATCCCCAACTACCAGGTCTTACGAATCCCTCTCCTCCATCTCCACCTCCAAATCCTCTGCCGCCGCAGCAGCAGAAGGTTGGCTGGCCCGACTCGGTTCGTGCGTGGGTCCAGAGGACATTCTTCGACCGAACCCATGACCCTACTATTCAGGAGTCGGAACTGGAGGCCAAGTTGAAGGAGGTCATATCGTCCGCTAAGGATAGCGGCCAGCTCTACACGACCGACTGGGACAACATGCCTCTCAAAGAAGCATTGGAGAAACTGGGTATGGGTGTGAAAATTGTTGATGGTCTGCCTATTCCTGATGTTGACTAAAGGTGGGCGTGTTGAATCCCTTAGGAGGTGGAAATCAACATATAAAGCTAGCTATTACTCATATGTATTCGGTAATAGTGGAATGGAGGCGGTAGTGATGAGGGTGAAGAGATTATGATAGCTATTTCAACTGTTTTAGGACGAACTAGTAGTCCACGACTCAAACTAGCAGACCAGTGGGCGAACACACATATCGACGCGACACTGAAACTTTATTTTGTAGACGATGAACTGCCCTTTTTCATGAAGAGACTACAATGCAGTAGTTATTCACGTACGTGCCACTACTTGTCCGTCAGCTGTATATCCTCTCATTCCTTAATTCCCGACTAGCCCTCGTCCATGCATCTTGGATGCCCCTCAATCGGTCCCAAATCTCGTATCGACCAACCTTATCATCCTTTTTGGCTAGGGCTTTGACAGTATCTGGCCCGTAGCACATGACGGTTGTCTCCTCATTGTAGCGCGGCCACGGAGACAAGCCATGGCAAAACCGAATCAGATGCTTCCCCATCTCCTCAGCCGCGGCTGCGAGCGCTTGTGGTAGAAGTTTATTGTATGTCTGGAATGCGAACAACAAGTCAACTCCGTGATGAGCTGTTCCCGCAAAGGAACCGCTAAACGGGTTCACAAACCGCATACGGAAGTAAAACGCGTCCCCGTTCCGCCAGCTGTTGATGATCTCGTACAACGGTAGTGAGAATTCAGCATCGCCGCAGAACGCGCTAAGACTGGCCATTCCTTCTACAGGGGTAGCTGGTTTGGCGTCTAAGTGGTAGTCCAGTGCAAGCTGTAGGCCAACCTCGGCTGGGAAGTGGCCAGACAAACAGGAGAGTGGGGAGGTGGCGAGTGGCGGATTTATGAACTTTTTCGCCCATATAAGGCCCTAGGCATTGTTCAAGTCAGCTACTTTGCCTTGTATAGAGAAGAGCAAATATTGCCCCCGCGGGCAAAGGGGGGCGTACTTCTTTCTCACAGTCTCCAACCATAATGCGTCGTATCGTAGAGGGGTAGGTGTAATGTGGTAGCTGCGATGCAGCAGGAAGGTCGTGAAGCAAGTTCCCATCGACAGTTGCTTGCCAGTTCGGCATGGGAGAGCCCGTGCATTGGTATGCGTCCAGCAGCTCATCGACGCTGACAGAGCGAAGCCTATCGAGTCGTTCGTGAGGTGGCAGATTTGATGGTATAGATAGGTGTTCGATGAACATCTCATAGATTCGGTTTTGATGGTTCAGAGTCCGAGTTGTTACGACGGCGTTTCCGGAAGACAGGATAGCTTGGTGATAGAGAGATTTAGGGTGAAGAAGCGAAGAGAGCATTTGAATATGAATGTCGCCTACGTAGGACTCACAGCGTTAGAAACAAAACGTCTACTATTAGCAAAGGAATTTTCAGAGTCCAAAAGGAAACAACAATGAAAAAGTTAATATCCCGTTCATCGTGACACTTACTCGCACCAGAACTTTCTCCCATGACAGTCACGCGTGCTGGATCGCCACCGAATGACCGTATGTTCTTCTGTATCCACTGCAATGCCAGTACCTGGTCCCATATTCCATAGTTCCCAACTCCAGCATCGCCATTTCGAGCATTATCTTCCTGTATGTCGGGCGATGCCATGAATCCGAACGCGCCGAGGCGGAAGCTGCCGTTAAACTATTAGTCTTGGTACGGCTGTGAAAGCATAATAGGGAATCGGAAGCAGGGGTGTCATGGGAAGCCCGGGCGGGCCAACGTGCTTTATGGTTACAAAAATAACGGGCAAGCCTAGATCAGTTGACTGCTTGACGAGTGCTGCGCCGTTGTAGCCTGCAGCACTACCACATCCGAAACAATTAGCCCCTCTAGGCGGTATGATGCAGACGTTAGCCATCAGGAAGTCCAAGAAGAAGAAGAAGAAGAGGAGGAGGAGGAGGAGGAGGACGGTGGCGGCAGAAAGGTCGATAGAGGGATAGATACCCATGGATAAACACTAGTACTGGGAGCTCTGCGTCGCGTTCACTAAATGGCGCTGTAATATTAAGGTTCAAACTTTTAAATTCGTCCATATGTAGCGGCTCATCTTCGTCCAAGGAGATTCCCAGTAAGTTGAGGGCCTTTGGAGATGGTGCGATTGGGCTGGACATTGGGCATTTTGTCAGTTTGGAAGCCACGCAGAGGAGCCGTCTGGCGTTCGTTCATGTGTTTCCAGGGATCCTCGAGATAGAAGGATCGTTCCTTACCCGAAATGACTCGCATCCAACTCGCCTTCCTCCCATGCCTCGATCATCTTTGCTTGTCGAAATCTCTCCGCTACACTCCCGTACGGGATACCCCGAAATTGTACGACGGTGTCCGCATAGTACGTCACATGGGTGGTGATCCGGCCTAAGCCAGGGACTTGTTTGGACACGAGGGTCATATTGTCTGAGATGTCGCCGTTCTGTTCACGCTAGATGGGAAAGAAAATCATCGCCGATCCAAAACTGGATGGGAGGGAGGCGTATTTGCAAGCTTTTTGCGTATGCGTGCATGTTGCGACCCGGCTCCTTATTTTACGTGAGGAGAAGTTCAACTTTGCACCGATGCTGCATACTCGGAACATTATTTTCGATAATAGTTTCCTCCGCGGCATGACTTTAGCGTGTATGCTTAAACTTAGACCACGGCAGCATAAATCCCACATGCAGTTCGTGTCCAATGTAACCGGTCGGGCAAATATCCATTTATTCTTCAAAGATTGCCGAGGATCGCCGCCAAAAGTCCTATTCTAGATTTCTAATTCATAAAAGATAATTTTGCTCATAAGAAGTATGGACTTATTATACATGCTACATCTCGAAATCTACGGCGAAAAGCTGGGCTGGCCACTCAAGCGGATTCGGCATCGCCATATGCCCATCCGACTGCGCTGGAAGTATCTCTGTCCCGTCTCGCCTGGTGCTATTCATATTCCCGGCTGTTAACAAGCTGGTTTGTCCCGGAATAGGCCCAAGAGCAGACAGCATTTCCACATCAGTCCCAAATAACATTGGTAATCGGCAGTGTACTAGCGTTGCTGCCCGTTGTCTTGCAGCGTCACTTGGTGATTTTGGCTCGAAGTTCGTCAAGGGTTCCGAGAGGAGTAGGTCGTGCTTTTGAATCCGAGCTGCGTGCGCCGATAGTTTCTCTAGTTTTCCGAATGAGTGGTGGTTCTTCCAAGGGTCACGTTCTATTCAATACTGCCATTTCAGCAACTTACCTTCCAGACCCCAGTGTTTACCGAGCGTAAGGAGTCCCTTGATCAACAGATCCATATCCCGACCGCGGCAATGGCCTTTCCGTTCTAGTAGCTCACCTAATCGTACTCGAGCTGCAAGGAGGAGAGGGTGGGGTAACATGTAGTTCGCATGGGTAGGACGACCCTGTGCAAAGTAGATGATGTCAAGTATCTCTTCGGCGTGGACGGATATGCGCCTGCCGGCTAGGGCCTGGAACTCGGGGTGTTTGGTCGCTAAAACCGGATGATGTAGCAAGAGACTTGCGCTATCGCGAACGGGGTCAGTCAGTACGATATTTTCTTTTGATTGACGGCAAGGGAAGTAGGAAAAAAGAAAGGCGTGGCTGTATACCAATGCGCGAGTGCGATCGTCGTAACGTCCAGGAGATGTTCTCCTCCGTTTCCAGCACGGTTCTGCCAATCGGAAGGAAACGAGCGTAGATACGTTTCAATCAATCCATCGATCCTTTCCAGGTCAGACGCCTTTACTTCAGCATCTCGGCGTCGATGAGCGCTATTCAGGGCGTTAATTTGAGAATAGATGTCGAGTATCTGCACGAAGCGGGCAAAAGGGCCCAGCGAAGTGCAATGGCCGTTCTCATCAGGACTACCCGTCTCTGGCCGCTTCGGTGCCTGGATGTCCATACATATAGGATTTCGTTAGCGCGGTGCTCAGAAATATAATAAGCTAGAAAGCTCTATTTACCCACAGCAGCAAGCCAGACCTCGTCGCTGACGGGTAGTTTGAGGCCAACTCTATCAGATAACAATAAACCCATATCCCGTCCCTGTATGGTGGCCAACCACCGAGCGAAGGAGATGGTCATGAGCGCCGTCCTGCGCCGACTTTCCTCTTCGATCCAGTCAAGTGGTGCTGCGGCCCATCGATTTGGTCTATAACCTTGACTGTCGTCGATGGTCAGCAAACAAAACGCGTTCACGAGAGACAGGGCCGATCCGATTGTTGTCGAGGCGTGCAGCGACGTATTTGGAAGGCCAATTTCGTAAACCGCTAGGAACAACGTAGCCATTAACGTTGACATATCTGGATTCAGGAGAGTCGCTTGTGTCGTTTGCTTTGCAAGGATGTAGAGTGTTTCGGATTTCGTCTTCAAGCTGTCGCTGTGGCGCGATGACAAGGCGAACATGGCGAGCGTGAGATGTAAATCTTGATCCCGGAAAGTAAACGAGGGCTCGTGCAGGATCGGAACGAAAGGGTGGCATCTCTCGAAGAATAAAGATCGTCTACGCAATTATTTTCCGACTTATCAAATTAGCCCATCAATGTTGTGTTGTTCACGTTCGTGGAGTCACATTATCGTGGCAGTCAGTCATACAGCTGGCTTCTCTCCTCCGAACTCAGCAAGTCTGTCACGATGGTCGTTGCAAGGTCGAACGGGTCCTGCATCATAACATCATAATATTCGGGCAGTGCGGAAGGCGGAGAAAGATTTATGCCCGCGGAGTCAGGAGGGGAGCAATAGGCCGGCCGCGCATCATCGTGGTGGCATTGATCTTTCTGAGACTGTGTGTGCGATTGGGACAGAACATTTGTCGTCGTGGATGACCGAAGGCTTTCATTTTCCGCCCTCAACGCTTCTGTTGGGGCCAATTTAGCAGCCTACCTTTCGGCGAAATAGAGAAATGTCTCGGATGATCCAATGGAAAGAGATATTTCTCTAATACACGTCAGACTTACCGACTTGCGCTTCGAGATTCCGAACGTAGCCTCGCGGTAGACCTGTCTTTTTGTGCTCGAGATATTGGCAGGATGCTCCAGCCGTACGACACTGCGTACAGATGGGCTTCGCCGCATCGCACTTGACCTTTCGTCTGCGGCAGGAGGCGCATGCGCTTGATAGCACCTTTGCTCTTTGGCTCTGCATGGCTACCTAATGGGAACCTGAGAGACGATAGAAGATGCAGAAAGATTACAGCGGGATCTCAATGTTAACAACTCCTGACTGACGATTAGGGGACGCGCATTCCAGCGAAGTGGCAAATCAACCAGGTCCGAGCGCGCAAAACGCCAAGCCTCGAGCCGAGTCTCGGTTCTTCCCCGCACTGGACACGAAGGAGTGGATGCGTGCGTCGACGCCCCGCAAAACCGGGGTAGTTCATCTAGCCAGCCTGTTTTGGTATCGTGCGTGCAGCGAGCCAGCGGGCAGTCTGATCGGGAAAGCGAAGTCCAAGGAAAAGCATAGTTTATTCAGTTCGAACCCCTCACCTTCCTACGCCTCCTTCCCCAGTAAGGGAGAAAAAAGAAAGAAAAAATTTAGCGTTATCTGTCGGCACTTGACAAATTGGAATAGCGCTCCCATTTCAATTTCGGCGTGTCGGCAAGGGAACGCCTTTGCTTCCCAGAGTTCTGCTTCCCGGTTCCTCTACTCGATAAACATCAGCGGAGGCGGTGAGAACTTTACAGCATTCCACGAAGCGAGCAGGTTTACCTCGTCTAAACAAAGTCAAGGAGCTAACCTGGTCTCTTCTTTCTGTGGGACCCCCCCGCCCCCCGCCTCTCCTTGGAGAGGGCCATACATGTATACCATTGGAGACACAAGACGTTCTATGACTTGAGCCTTCAGAGTTGGCTGCTCATGTTCCAATTATCACAATGCCGCGAAATAACAACGGGTTACTTTGTGGACCTACCGCATTGTTGTTGACTTTTACTTGCAGCCTGAAGTTTTCACCGAAGAAGGTGGGCGAGGACCTCGAATTTAGTTTAGTCCGGCGGGAGATTGTGCCGAGCCCGCCTTCGGAGGAATATTCGTGTCGGGAAGTATTAGGCCAATTAATGTATCAATGTACCGAACAACGTAGTCTGAACAACTGAGGCGTGGAAGTGTGTGTATGAACCGATGCGAGCATGCGAGCAGGCAGGACGAAATTCTCCGTCAAACATGTCTCTCAACTTATCTATAACGTGAACGAAAGGCCTAGATGATCTTCTCTTAGAATTTTTCTCCAGATAGATCGCGGCTCCGTCATTCAGCATTTGATCTATTCAACCCTGACTTTTATCTATATTGTGCACTGAGCACACACGCAGTATACAGTCATCTCGAGGAGCTTCCGGCTACGCCGTGGGGCGATAAAAATGCATGCCAAAGCGAAGCTCACCGACCCGACTAAAGCCTTCCATTTCACCGACCTAGGCTCGAACAAGCCGACGAGAGATGATGACCCTTATGAGTACATGTGTGGTTTCGGCAACCACTTCCAGTCCGAGCTGATCCCTGGGACTCTGCCCATCGCTCAAAACCATCCGCAATTGTGTCGGTTTGAGCTATACACTGAATGCCTTACAGCGTCGGCTTTCGCTGCTCCGAGAGCTACCAATAGCAGCGCATGCCTGTATCGCTGTCGGCCCAGCTGTGCGATATGTGAGTACGAACCCTGTTGGCGGTAAGATTTCTCAACGGGACCTCGATAAGACTAACCGTCCCGTCGCCAATCATCATGTAGCACGCGAAATAAAACTTGAATCTCAAGCCCTGGTGGAGAGCTGCTTTCTCGCTGCCAATCCAAACCTCTCGTCATCCGCATCGCAATTGGAATGGTCACCATTTCGCCTCCCCACCCCTGGCACCGCAGTTGACTTCGTCGACGGCCTACGCACTATTGGCGGCAGCGGCGACCCGAATCTTAGGGATGGCTTTGCGCTGCATATATTCACCATCAACCGGCCCATGGACCACCGTGCGTTCCTTAACGCGGACGGCGAGTGTATGTTCATTGCGCAGCACGGGAATATCGACATCAAGACAGAGTTCGGACGAATATACTTGCAACCAGGCGAAATTGCAGTGATCCCTCGTGGCGTTAAGTACACGCTAGATCCCGCGAACGGCTCGGCTGACGCCCGTGGCTATATTATCGAGCTCTTTGGTACTCGATGGGAACTCCCAAACCTAGGTCCCATCGGGAGCCAGGGACTCGCCAACCCGCGAGACTTTCTTGTTCCGGTAGCTTACGTCGATGATAACCTCCGCGAGCCTTGGCAAATTGTGATTAAGCTCTCCGGCAAGCTGCACTCTGTCGAACAGGACCACAGCCCATTCGATGTTGCCGCCTGGCACGGGAACTGTGTACCGTACAAGGTACGTGAGGATGACACCCATCTTTTCGGGTCTCTTCCCTCCCCTCCCTTTAAGGGCAATACTAATTACACGTATTACACTAGTACGATATGACAAAATTCGTTAGCATCAGTTCTGTATCCGTCGACCATACCGACCCTTCCATCTATACCATTCTGACGGCCAAGTCTCAAGACCCCAACACCCCTCTCATCGACTTCCTTTGGTTTGGTCCGCATTGGGACGTAGCCATGAATACGTTCCGGCCACCGTTTTTCCACCGCAACGCTGCTTCGGAATTCTTGGCGAACATCTACTCCAAGGGTACTACGGGTGGGCGATCGGGCGGGTTCCAGGCTGGTGGTGGAAGCTACGAGGCAGGCTGGATTCCCCACGGCGGATTTAATGAGACGTATTTGACGGAAATGAAAAAGAAGAAGAATGATCCCCGAGTCATTTTCGATTGTGAGTCGATCTAGGTTGTCCCTGTCTGATACATGATGTTTCCTGACGACTTGTGCGTCTCGCAAGCGTATTTGACTTTCATGATGGAAAGCAGTCGATCAATGCTGTTCACGCCCTGGGCAATGGGTACCGCCAAGGTAGGGGCAACGGATCCAACCGTGTGGAACGCGATGCCTGTAAGTTGAAAAAGCCACCCTCACAACCCCTCCGAACTCCATTGAACCTTACGTATCCTCCACGCCGACCCATGACGGAAATTTTTGTTTGTTGACTGACTGACGCGTGCCTGTTACGTAGGACCGCTTCTCTACGAATGATACCGTTCAGAAGCTTCTCCGACACGTTCGATCGCAGAAAGAGTCACGTAGGCTGAAGGACGAAGCATTCTTTGACGACAACCGGCTCCTCGAGTTGGTACAGCATCTCCCCACGACATTGCCAGTTGACAGTGTAGTCAACGGGGCGGAGAGTAATAATGGAGCAGTAGCAGAGGCGGTCCCAGCCCCAATCTCGATTTAGGATGCCACTTTAGGGGCTCTTTATGACTCAATACTTACTCCATGCACATGGCTATTCGATTCATTTCTTTCTACTGTATTTCCTCAACTTTATGTAGGTAATACTTTAAGAGATAGCCTATGTGACTACCAAAGGAGTATGGATATGGAGCATTGCGATTACGTCTAATACTCACCAAACTCACCTCATTCTTTCCGAGAGTGCTCGAAAAGCTACCCGCCTGTAGCCCCTCCAGTTTGTTCAACATGATCCCTAGCGTAGCTCTCATGACCAGCTGTTATTGGCTCTTAACGCTCAATCACAACGGCCCGAATTCCTGGATCGCGAGTCCCGGTATCTCCTCATCTAGTCTAAGGTCCCTAGAGACATCCGTGGGTCCCAGTGGCAGACCTAGAGTATACTTAAGAGATAGGACTTCTCTTAAGCACTAATACTGACAAGTGTGTCCCCGGAATCCTAGGCGATGATAAGGATGTGGTGGTCCCGCGTATCTTGGTCTCGCTCCGGGCGTGCCAGATGGACTTAGTAATGTCCTACGCAAGTGCTAAACGTTAAATATCCGGGCGTTTGACTCGGCGAGGGCGGTTTGAGATTGTAAAACGTCAATGATGGCTAAGTCCGTGATGACCTGGTATCCGATGCTCAAAACGATTCTGCGGCTGAACAAGGGACTGGCTTAGCGTTATCTCGGACCCAGTGGAAGGGATACCTGCCACTGCCACCCCTGCAGCGAACAGTCTTCACTTCCTCCTGCTCCCAAACAAATTGCTATACTGAATACAAGCACAGATCTGAAGGCTGCGAAACCGTCGAGGTAACTCAAAAGCGGCTTTACCCACCCGGGACAGAAATATACTTCACGTAGAGAATACACTCTTAGCGCTAATACCACGGTTGGTCATCTCACCCGCCTCTCTGGGGACATAGAAGATGGCTGAATGTCTATGTCGAGATGATCCGCAGGAATAAAAAAGGAATTATTTTATAAAGCTAGCGCATTACCAGACCAACGTATCTTGACTGTACCTTTAGCAGGATCTAAAAACCTAAATCTAATTAGAGAGCTCGTAGCCCTTAGGTGACCTCGTAAACTGGCCCAAGACGGATCCGATTAATATCTATGCCCAGCAACTCAAACAGAAAATAAATTGAAAAGTTATCGGACCGCGTCCTGTTCTAGACCTTCCCAGGCCTTCTCAAGGTTAACAAATTCTTCGAGAATGCCCAGTGGCGGCTTGAGCTCGTCCTGTTGCTCCATCTCCACGGGCTTAGATTCTAGGCGCGGCCTCTTGGTTGGAATGCTCTCTTCCGCTTCTTTCTCGTCCTCGTCGTATACGAACCACGGATCATCAAACTGGAACCATTTGTCGTCTAGGTCTTGGATCGGCTGGCCGAGTATATTTGACAATGTGTGTTTGGGTGTCTCTGGCAGCGTGCTGCTTGGAGTCTTTCGTAGTGCGTTGCTGGGCGTCTTTGCTTGCTTCTCATGAAACTGGAGCCACATGCTCTCCATGGCCTGTAGCGTGTTGTTGGAAGGATTCTCTAGCCTTTCTTGGATGTACCATGGGTCTTCAAGGATTCGCATAGTATTTCCTGACGGTTTTGCTTGCCTTTGAGATTCTCGAGGGCTGGTTAATAACGTCTCGATCAAATCCCCTTCTTGCGGTGTGAGTGTGATGCTGTTAAGGAGATGCCGGAATGGAGCTAGCGGGTCGAAGCACGCGGGCTGGTCGGCAATCTCATAGCAGGAAAGGCCTGAAGATAACGAAGGCGTTTTGGGTGAATATGTAGAGCTAAAACCTGAAGTCTGGTGCGGAGAATCTGGGGAAGGGGTTGAGAAATCTGCGGTTTGGGGGGAAGAATCCAGGGTGTGGAGGAAAAGAACTTCCTTCTGGGGCTGTGTGGCTTGCCTAGACCGTCGTGGGCGAAATTTTCGACGTGTGGAAGTAAACACGCGCATCTTGCATGGAAAGAGATGGCCTCAATGTTACTTCAAGGGAGCCGTTAAGATGCTATGCTACTCGAATAACGAAGGTTGGTGTGAGAAGTCGTGGCAACTACTCCAACTTCCACCTGCTTCTGCTTCTCGTGGACGTTGTTAACCGCGTTCCGTTCCTCCTGCTGCTCATTCCAAGTTCCACTCGAGTTTGCCGAAAACGTAAGAGCAATTACCGGAGAACCAGGAGGTGTGAGCACAAGGACGGGGCGGCTGAAGATTAACTCCAGGTTCCACATATGGAGTACGTGGGGATGTGGGACGCGGGGTAGCCCCTATTACCCCACAAGGTTACACTACATTGTAGAGCTTTGAATGTTAAGCCGTCGGGACAATAATTCCCCTACGTGACAATTCAGTCGTCGTCAGTGGCTACGCGAGCAGGATGATCCTAGTAACCTTAACGAACGTCAAGATCTGAATGCGACCCTTTGTGGTGGTGGTAGTTCCGTCATGGGTTGTTTATTTAACCTCCAAAGCCGTACTTCAGACCCCAATCAAGGAATCGTTATTCCCAGGCTAATCGCTCTCTCCAGATTAGTTGAATAGCACAACCGTTAATTTTCCTTCACCTTGTGTGCTCCCCATCATGGTCATGGCCAACAATCGACAAACTCCCCTCCGGGATAACTGGAAGGTGATACTAATTTGCGGCAGCGTGGCCCTCTCCAACTGCCAGTATGGCTTCGACACAGCGACCATGGCCTCCTTCCAGGCGATGCCCGGCTTCCTGCGGGTCTTCGGCTACCCGGACCCTAAGCTACCGAACGGCTGGGGCATCGACACCGTCAGCCAGCAACTCATGACCTCCTTCCTCAACGTCGGGACCATGATCGGCGTGTTATTCACCGCACTTTTCGGCCGCTATTTCGGTCGCCGCTACGGTATCTGGATTGGCACCTTGTTCTGCTACGCCGGGTGCGCTATCCAGATCGCTGCTACGAACGTCGCGCAACTGTGTGCGGGACGCGCACTTCTAGGCGTGTCAAATGCCTATTTCATGACCTTCTCGAATGCGTACATCTCCGAGTGCGCACCGCCGCATCTACGAACCATCCTGGCCGGCGCTTTCGGTCTGACCTCTGCGGTCGGCAGCCTCCTGGGCGCCGTTGTACCCATGTTTACGAGGGACCTACAGAATAAGCACAGCTATCAGATAGGTTTAGCTTGCTTGTTCTTCTTCCCCACTCTGATTTCGATTGTATGCTTCGTCATCCCCGAGTCTCCACGGTGGCTCCTGGTGAAAGGACGGACAATCGAAGCAGAGAAGGCGCTGGCAAGGCTTCGAGGAAATTCCCTCCGTCCAGATATGCTAGAGGAGGAATTCGTTGAGATGGTCCGGGGCATTGAGGAGGAAAAGGCCCTCGCCGGGTCGGCTGCATTTACGGACCTTTTCAAGGGCACAAATTTGCGGCGTACAATTATCTGTATCGGTGCGGTTACTTCGCGAGCTTCTGCCGGTTTTTGGGTCTTTCTCTCCTATGGGGTATGTGTTTCTCAATAACTAATTTGATAATTTACACCCCGATAACTCGTCCACTAACACTCGCTTTCAAATAGGCCTACTTCTATCAGCAAGCTGGCATTAAGGACCCCTTCGCTATGCAGCTATATAAAATTACCGGAAGTATCGTTGGGTCGGCGTTAGGCATCTTTCTCGGCCACAGATTCTTTGGCCGTCGTACAATTCTTCTCTTTGGAACGGCGTGGGCGGCGATAGCCATGTTCGCAGCGGCGTTGGGGGGCACCATCGCGCCAGGAAGCCAGGCCTCGGCTAAGAACTTTATTGCGTGGTCCGTCGTCTTTGGGGTTTTGTATTCCGGCTTCTCATCCATGATCACCTGGCCCATCTCCGCCGAGGTAGTCAATTCTCGTCTGCGACTTTATAGCCTCTCGTTGGCCACCGGGATCGACTATATCTTCGCTTGTAAGTGATGCATTATTCTCATACCCACTCCCATATGAAGACGGGGGCCACTGACTCTAGCATTCACCTGACAGGGCTCACTGCTTTCACTTCCCCGTACTTCATCAACCCCAAGGCGCTGAATTGGGGTGTCCGATACTGTTGGATCTGGGCAGGGTCCAATGCCATCACGTTTGGTAAGCTTTCCCGAGGAACAGATGAGGTATATCGTGCGCTCCTAACCTGAAACGCAAAGTCTTCTTTTGGTTCCTGCTCCCTGAGATGAAAGGCCGCTCCCTTGAAGAGATCGACGAGATGTTCGAGAAGAGAGTTCCCATCAGGAAATTCGCTACATACGAATGCGAATGCACGAAGCAAGCCCACGACCTCGTCGTCGAGAAGGCAAAGATTGCCCACACTGAAGATATTGAGAAGGAGGCCATGGAAAATCCGAAGAGTGGCGTGTCAAGCTAAGGTCCTTGTATTCCGTTGGTTTGAGTGCGAAGCGGTAGGGGACCTGTCGTGTATCGTGATACTGAACCATAAATGCACGAAAGTTGTCGTCTGCTCATAAGTGAAAAACAAAAGAGCATTTCAAGGCTTCGAGAACTATTCTACGCAGCAAGATCATATAAATACCGTCAAGAAATACTTTACGGATTTTGTGTATGGATTAGACCTTAGAGCACGGTTTTTAGAGTTACTGAGGGAACATTAAAGCGTAGCTCTAATCGTAAATGCTTCTTTATACTCCGCAATTTTTTTTTTCACCCAATGTAAGCGACTTGACAACCTAACGAGCTGGGCCCGGAGGGGGGTCTCGACTAAGAGCGGCCAGGAACAACATTACTTCCGAACTGTGACGATGAAGCTATTCCTGCGTCGCGATCCAGATGTTATATTGTCCTAGGATCGCGTAAGCGGACTGATTCGAGATCACGAGCTACGATTCAAATACCGACTCCCCGGCTTCATTCTTTCCTTTCGTTTCCTCCCCTTAAGTTTAGTGTACCAAGATTAACAAGCGCGGAGTGAGAAGAATATTAAGACCAGGCACTGGAAACACTGCTTCCAAAACCGACCGAGCTAGGTCTCCGAGATGTAGGTCAGTAAAAGGGGCAGAAGAAGAGGAAGAGTACACCGGCTCATCTATCATCCCAGAAACGTGCTGAGCCGGGCAAGTCCTTGACCAAAGGAGAAAAGAAAACCGAGATTCGAAGACTATAATGCCGTATCGACTGGATTTGTGTTGTTGTGAGGTAGCGCAATTGCATGAGATCTTCGTACGAACTTCTACCAGTTCTTGAGGCAGTAGGTGATTAGTATTACAATCCATTGGGTGGGCAGCGACTACAAGGAGATTGAGCGACCGAGAGTTTAGCGACAAAGTGAAATAACAAATGATTTCTAGGTTATTAATACGAAATATAGACTTGACATTGGATTAACTACACTAGACGACTCCGGCGTCGCTGCGACGCATTCTAAAGCAAGTCCCTGGAATGGAAAGGTTGCGCCAGGTGATCTCCAGGAAGTAATGATTTTTAAAAGCTTCGATAATATTATTCCAAAATTTCGTCTTTACTGCAGAACACTACCATCTTATGCAGTCCATGCTACAACGGGCCTTGCCGCCATCCAAGGCCGTTAGTTAGAGGCCCGTCCCAGTCCAGGAAATTTGCACCATCCCGAAGTTGTTGCTCGCCGGTTTCATTGTCTCCGCCGAACAGCCCTGCACGGGGGCCCTGTCAAATCTCTCACGAATCCATCGGAGGTAAATAGATTGCGAGGCCTGGAAACACTCGTCATGGCTCAGTCCGGGCAACTTTATGGACTGAATTATCGACTCTGGGAACCTGGCGCATGTGGCATTGACAGCACTGTCCAGGGTCCCACGTGTGATGGGGTCTTCCAACCCCGACACTACCAGCATCGGTGCCGCCAACTCCCATATGCCCGCCCTAACCCACTCCGTCGACCACTCGACCAGGCGCGGACTCTGCTCCCAGCTCATATTCTTGAATATTTGCTCCTTTGATAGGTTCTCGAATAGTGAGGCCGTTGTGCCGTAACAGCCCTTGTTCATCTTCAGCCTGGCCAGCGCGAGGTCAGTCAGATAGTCCTCCGGCTTGATGTCGTTAGGGAAGGCCTCCGAGTATGCCTCAAACACCATGACGGGGTACGGGGTCCCGAACATGGCGTCATCTTTATCTCCGCTCTTCTCCTGAGGCTGAGGCTCGCGCCCCATCGGCGGTGGTTGTTTATAGGCGCGCATGGCTGGCGCCGCCGCCACAGCACCCAGGAACTCTCCCGTCCTGTTTCGCAGTGACGACTGGTCCGCGAGAGCCAGCCGCTCGTTCACACGCCAGGCAGTCATGCCGCCCTCGCTGTGGCCGGCAACAACCCACTCTTGCGACAGCAGCGACCCGATCGGTGACGATCGCGCCGCCATGAGCGCGTACGCAACGTCGCCAGCGTGAAGATATCCGGCCATGTACCGTAGACTGTTCGGGCGATGAGCGCCGAGGCCGGCATAGTCGGGTCCGATGACAGCGAAGCCGCTGGAAGCGATCATGAGGGGACCCTCCCAATCATAATAAAGAGCACGTTGGTTGGACGGTGCGCAGTTTGGATTGTTACCGGCGGTACCATGCGCGAAAACCACGGTGCAGAATTGCTTCGTTCCGCAGCTGTCGGCCGTCGTCTCGGTTTGGGTATAGGGCAACAGGGCGTACGCACTTGCCGCTATCCGAGTGCCGTCTATGTCCTCGCTCACGTAGATGAACCGGGAAAGGGACAAGCCAGCAGGGATAGTGAAGTTGCCAGCCAGCTGGGCGGACGGGACGTCTTGCCAGCGGATGAGACTGCCCGGCTTGGCAGTGATATTGACTGGCGACGCGTAGAACGGGTCAGTGGTCACGTCCGAGACCCAGTCCGCCGACTCCTGGGCGAAGTCGGCGTCATATGCGCCCTGGCAGGCGGCATCGCAGAAATCGGACTGGCCCACAGTCAGTGGCGCAGCAGCTAGAGGAAGGAGGAAAAGAAGTGAGAGATGCATGGTAGAGGCAGGCGTGAGACAGGCTGGCTCCCGGACTTCTGAGATGTCGGACAGAGAGTTGCAGTGACTGCGCTGAAGCCTCAATTATCATTTCGGCCGGTAGCCTATTCGACAACCACTCACCCTTTTATGCTGATTCATGCTCGGCAACTGCGCTGGTTCCGGAGGGTTAGTACGACAGCAAGGGACCTTAGAGAAGGAGAGGTGCCGACGTAGAAAAGGAACTTCGGCAGTAATCCGGAGAAAACGAACAGAACACGGGGCCCTGCGATGCGGTCCAAAAGTTGATGGAAGGTACGGGATAAGTTTACGGAGGAGTCCATATTTACCCCCTTCGGGGGAATATTCTGGGTGTTTCCCGCAGGAATGGCCGACTTTTTCAGTGCCCCCCATCGACTTGAAGCCCAGTTAGAGTATTCCGCTGGGTGTACCCCACACCATTTGATCGACATGACTTAGCTAGTCGGCCAAATTAACCAATTCAAAGAGATTAGCTGTGGTGAATTAGTCCTGCAACTGACTGGAAAGAAGGTGAAGAGTTGCACTGAATGCACAAGCAAGGAATTCGTTCTATTTGGCATGGAAAACCGGGGTAACAATCCCCGGCATTTCTAGTTCACAAGATGAAGTAATACGTTCCGGCGAGACAGTTCCGTACTCCACCTTCCGGACAACTGTGGCCGGCAACAGCAACCGGCAACCGTGATGGCTATACTGGAATTTGACAAGTCGCCTTAATTCGCGAACCGATCAATATACCCTCTATTCGTTCGACAGTGAACCTCCGGGGTTGGTAAACTGTAAGGTCGATCTTAGGAGTTACGAAGGTCATCGAGTCTCTCCAGGTTAAATACGCAGCCATTGCCCACTTCGGTCGTCGAACTCACCATCCATCCATTCATCCGTTCTCTCATCATTCGGCCGTTCCTTGGGGTTTCCTTATCCTCTTTAGTCTTTTGACACGTTTGATTGAATCATCGGCTCACTATGGTTCTTCCCACTTTGTCGCGGAGCTTCGTCACCCTAGCTTGGGCTGCTGCCGGGGCCGTGGCTTTGCCTCAAGGTGGGTCTCCAGGAGCTCCCGTCCTCAAAGTCCAGACAAGCAGTGGTATGGTCCAAGGCGCTATCAATGTAACTACGCCCACTGTCCGTACGTTCCTCGGAATCCCCTATGCCGAACCCCCAGTAGACAACTTGAGATGGATGCCACCGGTACCCGCCAACAACAGCGACAGGGTTATTGATGCCACCAGCTGGGGCCTCAACTGCCCCCAGTTTGAGCCGAAAATGGATTCTATAGACTACAATGACGTCCGAGAAATCCTCTACTGGGGCGACATCGGAGAAGACTGCCTGTCACTGAGCGTGTGGGCTCCCTTGCATCCGAAGTGCAAGCCTTTGCCTGTCTTTATTTTCATCCATGGAGGAAGCTACCAGGCAGGAGGCTCGACCGTGCCTTATCAAAACCCGTCGAAGTGGATTGAGCGGACACAGTCTCACATCGTCGTGTCCATCCAGTACCGCCTCAACATCTTTGGTTTTCCCAATGCCGCTGGCTTGGAGACTCAGAACGTCGGCCTCCTCGATCAGCGGATGGCAATCAAATGGGTTCAGGCGAACATCGCTGCATTTGGGGGTGATCCATCACGGATGATTTTATTCGGCCAGAGCGCAGGAGGCCAGAGCACTGATATCCAGAACTTCGCTTTCCCAGATGACCCTGTTGTCCAGGGATTCATGCCTCTGTCCGGCAGCTCCCTTCTCGGTATCAACACAACTGACCTTGACCGGACCGGTTTCTCCCAGGCCGCTGCACTTTGCAACTGCAGCACGCCGGACCCCGCCGCCGAGTTGGCATGCATGCAGAAAGTCCCGATGGACAAGCTTCTTGAGGCTGTCGAGGCTATCGACGTGATCGGATTGGTCTTCGCGCCTGTTGCGGACGAGAAGACGTACTTCAACAACTACACCGAGCGACTTCTCGAGGGCCATGTTTCGGACCGTCCGGTCGTCTATGGAACCACTCTAAATGAGGGTGTGACCTTCGTCGACTATCCAGAGGATCCCGACACGCAGACCCCCGACCTTGATGTCGCCGAGCTGTTCCGGCTTTCCAGGTTTCTCTGCCCTGTTTCTAACTTGATCCAGCTGCGGCAGCAAGTCGGCAAGCCCACATGGTTTAGGGAATACCGTGGCAACTTCACGAACGTCTCTCCGCGCTGGTGGATCGGAGCAGCGCACGGGGCGGACCTTCCGCTTGTCTTCGGTACGGCAGGAGACTTCCGTTCACCGGAGACCCCATTCGAGACGCAGGTGAGCCACAAGATACAGGATTTCATGATGGAATTTGCCTTGGATCCGCTCAACGGACTTTCAAAAGCCGGGTGGAGCGACTCCACGTCGAACACGTACCTCGCTATTGCAGCGGAAAAGAATGGAACTGGCCACGGTGGTAATAATGATGGCCTTGTCACTCTGGAGCAACCTCTGCAGAGTGTTTTCAACATATGCAAGGATTTCCCGCTCTACCTACCGCCCGTCCCGATCGAGTAATCCAGGCCCCATCCTGAGTGGACTCTAGCTTCCCACCACATCAAGGTCAGGTCATCGCTCGCGGTCAATCAGTTTTCTGTATATCTCGGATGGACCCCGGTGTCGTCTATTTCATGTTGCTCGTATGCGACACGACCGAGTTCAAGTTAGCTAGTTTACTAATTTAGAACGAGTTCAGTTTCCCGGATAACTTGGCATTCGGTGGTTACTGACGCTGCTAGTAGCCTATAAATACCTATAAGCCTTCCGCCGCTACTCCCTACTCCAGCGAAACTCTCCACGCTCCAACTACGTAAGAGGCCGCTAACTACTTAATGTTTGGGCTTTTTGGGCTGAAAACCACCCGGCTGGCTGGTTCGTGGGTTCTCTAGTAGCACCGGCTTTCCAGATCTTCTTGACTTTGATTGTGACCTCCGGCTGGAAACGTTGGTTAGGTGCGGATCTAAGCCACACACTTAACGCGTTGTTCCGTAGGCGTGATGAACAACAAAGGTCGCCGCTGCGTCTCGCGACAAACTGGCGCAAGTCTGCGCAACAATTGGCAGGACTATACAGCAACGAACTGTTACATCTCGCGACCACCTCATCGAGGACCTTCTCAACATTTTCAGGGATCTGGAGGCATCTACGCAACAAACCCACGCTGGCTGGGGCTAGCGTCTCTTCAAATAGGGGTAGCTGGGGCGAGGGCACACAGAGGACCTCGCCCTCGAACCGCGGCGAAGCAATGCTACACCGGGGTTAGGTAAAATAGTCTTCTGTAAGTATAAAATAGATTAAAGAGTGAAAGAGCTACTAGGAAAGGTGTAGTAGGCACGATCTATGTACATGTGGTAAGTTCCCTGATATGGCCAGGATCAGTTCCATGGTTATGTGACAACTACCATGCGTGGCAATCGCATGCAAGTCGTAACAGGAAACATCAAATTATACAGGGGCAGCTCGTGTGTTCATTGTTGCTGGTAATCGCGCAGTTGGAATATACTCTGGGCAATAATCCCCAATCACAATTTAGCCGTCCCGGACTTGATCCGAGCCCAGTTTGCCGAATCGAGCGGCCTGTACTCCTGCGCATCCACGTCAAGGAAATACTTCCGGGCCACTCCTGGCATGGTGCTCGTACCATCTGCCTTCTCCGTTGGGCCTGGCTCAGTCGGGGCCCAATCCAGCGCCTTGACCGCTTGCTTGGTATGCTTGAATGTGGCGCTGACTTCCAGTAACGTGTTGGTCAAGGCCACAAATCGCGGGAGCGCGTATAGAGGTAGGCCCCTTCGCCTCAGATTAGCGTAAAGGTCGCGCATGAGGCTCTCTACTCCACCGGGAGGAGTTGATGGTTCGAGGGCTATGGCCGCCACGCCGGCCTGGCCGTCGTATCCCGGCAGCTGTTTGCCGGCGACGATTACGTCCTGGACGTGCGGCAGCGCAGATATGTACGCGGCAACCTCGCTCGCGGAAACGTTCTCGCCTTTCCAGCGGAAAGTGTCCCCGACCCGGTCGACGAAGCGTACCCAGCCCGACCGCTCTTGAACCAGCAAGTCACCGGACCGTTGCCATTGGTCTCCGCGGACGAACACGTCGGTGAGGATCTTCTCGTTCGTGGCAGCTGGATTGCCGAGGTATTCCGGGTAAGTCGCCGAGGACTTGATGCGCGCTATCACCTCACCGGGCTCATTGACGCGAGCGGGTATGCAGAACCCCGTGACTGGGTCACGAAAGGGCTTCTCACTGTCGTAGTCAAACCGGACAATCACTTGGTCAGCCTCCAGCATCCGCCTCAGCGGCCCGGCGAATCCCACCTTGCCCACTCCGGGGCCGCGACCTAGGTGTCGGTTATCCCACTTGGCCAGCCCCTCGGTGGACCGGTAAAATTCCCGGACCTCAGGCACGCCGAAGCGATTCTTAAACGCCATCCATATATCCTGGGGAAGCCCGTTGCCCATGGCGACGATGCAGCCGTGTTTCCGGTCGTACTCGCCGGGTGGCGTTGCGAGCAGGAACCGACACAGCTCCCCAACATACAAGATCCTCGTGGAACGCGACTCTGTGACATCCTTCCAGAAGTTGCGGGCCGAGAATTTCCTCCCCAGGCAAAAGCAACCTGAGGTACCAACGCTGGAACACATGGCCGTGAAAAACGTCGTGCCGTGAAACAACGGCATACAGCTGTACGTCCGCGCCGGGAGGTACTTACTGGGGTTCGACTGGTCGGCCGAGGATGGCAAGCAAACCGTACAGATGCGGGAATTTTTGATTGTGCAGGCCTTGGGCTTTCCAGTAGTTCCTGAGGTATAGATCAGGGCGCCGACGTCAGAGATTGAGCGCTGTGGTCGCATGGCCGGGCCGACAGTGGCAGGGTCAACGAAGGGAAATTCGAGGGCATTGGACGGCAGGGGTATTGCCTTGCTAAAAGAACCAATATTCAACGACACGGTCGTCGCAGAGCCTTCTGCGAGACGTCCGCCCGCCTGAGCCGCGAACGGGGCGAGATCCGGAGTGCTTATAATCAGCTTCGACGATGCTAACCCCACGCAATGGAGCAACGTATCGTCTGAGTATGGTTAGCCGGCATCCCGGACCGCATTGCATTTCCCAGGGGAAGCATACCCCGGAGAGCGGAATTGATTAGAGCTGGTGCCGCGGCTAGTTTGGCGATGGCGTATATCGTGAAGACCATCTCGGGCGAGTTCGTCATAAATACGGCGATGAAGTCGTTCGCCTCTACTCCGAGTTGTTGCATTCCCGCGGCAATCGCATCAACCTCTGCGCAAGCTGTCAGCCAAAGCATTATCCACATAGCGGACCCCACCCGGCCGGGGGGGGAATACCACGGACCTTTCTTCAATGCTCGGTAGTTCCATGATTGACCCTCAAACCACAAGGCCTCCGCGTAAGGGTCGGCAAGTTCTAACACGTGATATAGATCAACATGATCGCCCAGTCGCCTCAGAAATTGCGGAAAGCGAGTCTCAAAATCCTTCTTCTCGCGCAGGTACTGGATATCCGTGCTTAACCCGAGCATCGCGTCGAGCAGGTATCCTGCCGTTGCCGTGGCGGCGACGGAACCCGCTGCAGTCGCCAATGTTCTAGGCATCTTCTCCAAAGTGCTTAGAGCTCCTTTATAATTCCATGCACTTACAACAGCGCGGGAACGGAAAGCACGCTGACTATGGCTCGGGTAATAGTGGCGATAAATATACCAATAGCGTGGCCAACCGACCGAGACATAGAGCTCTGGGGCGAAGCACAAAGCGACAATAACTGGGGGTAATTCGAGCAAGATTACCGGGCTTTTATCCGAGACGGTGGCTAGTCAGCATCCGGACCAATATTTTCAAATTACACAACGATGGAAGCAACAATTTGATTGGACCTCGGTATTGGCTAGGGGCAAGGTAGTACGGTTTGCTGGAGCGAGTCTGCCGGTCTGAGCTACTTTGACTAGAGCCTGATGTGTCATTAGGGGATATGAAGACCGAGAGCTGTTTCAGTCCTGGACTTGGATTCCTGCAGCCCTGTCGGACCCTCCTCGTCAAGTCGTTGGTAAGAACTGGAGTTTGTAAGGTACGGCGCGCGCCCTTTCTCTAATCTTCTCCATCCTCTCTACTCGCTCCCCCAACTCCTCCCAAGTATAACTGCCCAAGCCCAGACATTCGGTCCTTTGTGTACAGACAAAATAGCCTTCCACGCGAACGGATTCGATCCGAGGATATACCGTTCCATGAGCCACTGGAAGGTTTTGAGCATGTGGCCTGGAATGGGGCACACCCGAAGCAGCTACAGCACGCAGCAACGTGGACAAACACAGGCGAGTAGCAGTACGAATGGGCCGACTCTTAGAGGTAAACACTTGCCGGGGCGCGGCTACAGACGAAGCAGGAAACGGAGACGACAAGGGCGATGAAGCTTAAGAAAACAACAACACCGAGGCAACATCTTGCGCAAGTTCACGGGTGGGCGCTGATACGCGCCACTTACGAGAAGCTCGCCCCCATGACCGACGAGCCCATGGTTCTAGGAGGTAGAGCCGGCAAATAATACAACCAACTGCTGCTTGTTTTGTTTTGGGAGGGGGGGAACTGGCAGAACCATACGCATCCATAATTTAACTAGATCAGCTCGCTAACGTATGGAAATGCACCGAGGTGCAGTGCTTTCCTCGAAAAGAGATCTTCTACTAAGCGGGCGAGGTTCTTAACTGAGGGGATACGCCTTGCCATGTCTTCGTGGTGCAGATGGCTGACTCCCTGGTTCTGATGAGATGATCACTATTTACGCTTAAAATGGTGCTACGTTATGCTCCAATTTCGATCGCAACGATTCCGATTAACAAAAATTGAGCCGGCGCTTCGCTTTCTGTTGCAGACAGAAGAGAGGTGATCCTTAGTTTTAGCCCCTCACAGCTCCTCTTCGAACCTCGGTGTATTTTAATATTCTGCCGTCCAAAAAGGGTTACGGCGGAATCTTACACCGCAGCCCTGTTGCACTAGCAGAGGGAAGACGTGAGATAGCTTCCGCACTCACAGAACCATGCAGTATTATCCTCTGGATCCTCTTATACAATCTTGAGACACGACAAAAGCTGACAAATGTTACGGGCGCAATTCATCAATGCAACCGGCATTGCTAGTTAGCGAGTGATCAAGCATATATGCTTAGGGAGAACCTGATTTGTCTACGGATGCGTTTTGACCCTGTCTAGATCTGGTAGTGCATTTCGACCTAAGAGCGGCTTTGCAATGTTTCCAACAGTAATCGTCGTCGGGGCTGGCCTGGGAGGGCTAGCAGCGGCGGTCGCCATCCAACTCACCGGACGTTACTCAGTACGCGTGCTAGAGTCAGCCCCAGAGCTGAAGGAAATCGGCGCAGGCATCCAAATCTCGCCCAATGCTTCTAGGCTCCTCGTCCGCTGGGGCGTCAGCCCTCATCTAGGCGACACGCCCGTCGCTCCCCACGGCGCGCAAATTCACCGCTGGAAGGACGGGACCATCCTTTCACGCTCCCCCATGAATCCCCTTTTCGAAAAGAAGTTCGGCGCACCTCACTGGCACCTGCACCGGGCAGATCTGCACAAGGCGCTCTTGGAGAGAGCTACCGAGTTGGAAGTCAAGATCACGCTAGGCGCAGAAGTTGTGGCCGTGGAGGTAGGTTCGGAGTTGGTGAAACCCCGTGCGATATTGGCTAGTGGCGAAACAATTGAGTGCGATTTCATCGTGAGCGCAGACGGCATTCGATCCAAGGTCCGAGAAAACGTCCTTCCGCGGTCCCCGCAGCCGAGGCCGACGGGTGACTGTGCGTATAGGTTCACTCTCTCGACAGCAGCAATGGCTCGAGACCCCGTCCTCGCCGACCTTGCGCGGGTGCCTCTCGCCCGGAGCTGGTGGGGTCCGAACAAACACGTCGTTGGATACCAACTTCGAGGCGGAGAGCTATACAATGTGGTCGTCGTGGTTCCGGACGATATGGTAGATCACCGAGCTGAAGGCGACGCACGCCTCATGAAATCGGCATTTCACGATTGGTGTCCAGAGTAAGTTGTGGCGGACGCCGAGATCCGCAGGTCGAAGTCTTGGAAGTTAACGCGCTGAATAGAGTATTAAGACTCCTGGACCAGGGCCAACCGGGTAGCCTCACGCAATGGAAGCTCATGGACGTTGAGCCTTTGGTGGCATGGGGCAAGGACTGCGTGGTACTGCTTGGAGGTAAGAGAGATTTCTAAAACCACGTGGTTATCGCTTCACATGCTAAAAGCGAGATTCAGATGCGTGCCATCCGATGCTCCCTTACCTCGCGCAGGTTCGTAACTGATGCCCCGGATCGTCCGTATAGATTTACGATGCTGACCTTCGGGACAGGGGAGTGCGCAAGCGATGGAAGATGCCGCTGTGCTAGCGATCTGTCTTCAGAACCTACCTCACGATCTCCCGAAAGCGACAAGGCTATATACTAAGATTCGATTCGAGCGAGCGACTCAGGTGCAGCAGTTCGCCCGGGCCCAGAGGCTGAAAAACCACATGCCCGATGGTCCGGCTCAAGTGGAGCGTGATGCCGCGATGGAAGAGGCAACCGGTCTTCACCGGGCCGCCCACCGTTGGACATGGGCGGCTTCTGAAGGACGGCCTGCAATGGAGTGGACACAAGGGCTTTACGGCTATGATGCGGAGGAAGATGCAAAGACGTTCTTGTCAAGAGAGATCGCATCTTCCGGAACAGGCGAGTCCGAGCCAGGGACGCTTGTTTCGGGGACTAGCAACCTGTGAAGCTACACTTCTCCTTGCAGTCAAGCTGAAGCCTGTCTCGTCACTTGCTTTACGAGCCATAGTCTACATTATTATTAGGGGCCTTGTCATGTAAAGGTGTAGCATACCGAAGCTGAAGGGCTATCAAGGTGTGGAAAATAGACGCATCTAAATTATCTGCACACCCAGAAATAGGGCCATATTAGTGCTGTTTGTGGTTTTTTTTATTTCTTTTCCGTCTGTAAGCAGACACTCTAATGCGGATCAGTGCCTTCCCAGGTAGAATACGTGGCCAGCGGTAAAGAAACCGGAACAGAGATACCGTAACGAGGATGGCTTATAAAGAAGCACGTCAATTTAGAGGTAGGCTTCATCGGATTTATCGATTTTATTCCTCACGCTACAACCCCTGAACAGATAAGGCGGACTTGATGCGCGTTGCATGGCAGGGCCCTAGCCTGCACCTATCTTTAGAGTTATTGCTTGAGTGAGCGAGATGCTCGTAAGCCCGAAACGAAAAGGGACCGTGGACACTCGCGACGCTATCTACCATGTCAATCGAGACTCTCATCCGTGACTCGTCAGGAGAAAGTAAGCCCGGATGTCGTCGGTCAACTGTCGCGCACAGGAGCGGAGATGATTGCACGTCCACCTAGTCTGTTTTACAAGAGGGTGGCATTCGTCAGATCTGTCAGTGGCCTCGCCACACTACAGCTGTGAAATCTCAGGAGCGACGCAGCATGTTCTTGTGCAATCATAGTCTTCTCTCACGCAACAGCATAGCACTTGGTATGGCCGTGGTTTTGGCACGTAAGACACCTAAGATTGCTCAGAACAAGAGCCGAGACCGGTCCAGAAAACGTCGGCTAATCGATTACGACTTCTGTCCGAAGGTTTACTCGATGGACATTAGAACTAATGGCGCAACTCAGATGTGACCTGAGCCGGACTCACGCGGTATGGACTTACCGTTGGTAAGTGCCTGCGTGCATTGACGCTCAATTTCGTCTCAATCAAGGAATTGGGGAAACCCTATTTACAACCTAGTGCGGGGATGATCCCATCACTTGCTAACACCAAAAAAAAAAAAAACGACGGGTTTGAACAAATCTTCCCCATCTCGGAGAATATTTGGCCGTGCCTCCGCAACACTTAGCCATGTCGCAACGATCTCGCGCCAACCATAATCCTCCACACCTGAGAGAATATTTGGCCGTGCTTCGATACCGCTAAAATATTCGGCCATAGCCTCACGGGTCTCGGCCCTATCATTCGAGGTCATCATACTCTCCCCGGCCGACCGAGAACGAAGTCAGCCAAGAGAGGTCGCGTGTTTGTTAGTGGGTCCACGTAGGGCACAAGTCCAGAGATGACATTTAATACCCCGGCGGAGCTTTTCCAGGCTGTGTGAGAGAACTTAGTCCGGAGTGCTCCAGCTACAGCGAAGAAGGCCGTCGTCAGCTCGATTATTCTGAAACTAAACCAACACTTGTCAACCTCACGTCCGCTCCGAGGCATCGAACCAAGCAAACTCGCCACAGAGACCCGAATCATCGGACAAGCAGCCTTCACCATGAATCCAAAACTTCGGCAAGCTTTCCACTTCACCGACTTGGGCTCAAATAAGCCTACACGCGATGGGGATCCTTATGAATACATGTGTGGATTTGGAGGACAATTCCAGTCCGAGATCATTCCCGGTACGCTCCCAATTGCACAGAATACCCCGCAAGTCTGTCGCTTCAATCTGTACACGGAGTGCTTGACGGCTTCTGCTTTTGCCGCTCCCCGAGAAGCCAATCTCAGCACCTGGATGTATAGGTGCAGGCCTAGCTGTGCCCAGGATGGAGAAGTGCTCATTGAGAGCAGGGCCAAGATTGAAGGATGTTTCCTTGCGACGAACCCTCGTGTTAAGATGACGTCGGCCCAACTCGAATGGGCACCATTCGAAATCGATTCCAAGCCGACAGATTTCATAGACGGATTACGAACCATTGGTGGTAATGGAGATTCGAATCTCAGAGATGGTTTAGCTCTCCACATTTACGCCATCAACAACTCTATGGACCACAGAGCCTTCCTCAACGCTGACGGCGATTGCCTCTTTGTCGCGCAGCTGGGCAACTTGGATATCCAGACGGAGCTTGGAAAGCTTTACCTTCAGCCCGGGGAGCTTGCAGTGATCCCCAGGGGTATCAAATATGTCTTGAACCCTGCTCAGGGTACAACCGAAGCGAGGGGCTATATCATTGAAGTCTTTGGCTCGCGCTGGGAGCTTCCAAATCTGGGACCGATCGGAGGTCACGGGCTTGCCAATGCGCGAGACTTCCTGATACCTGTAGCTTTCATTGACGAGGATCTCCATCAGACCTGGACGATCGTGACCAAGATTAATGGACAGTATTTTGCCAACACCCAGGACCATAGCCCGTTTGACGTGGCAGCCTGGCACGGCAACTGCGTGCCTTACAAGGTGAATATATCAAACTCCCCCGGAGCGATCCTGGCTGACCTGACAATAGTACGATATGACCAAATTCGTCAGTATCTCGTCCGTCTCCGTCGACCACACGGATCCTTCCATCTACACTATCTTGACTGCCAAGTCACGAGATCCCAACACGTCCCTTGTCGACTTCCTGTGGTTCGGTCCACACTGGGATGTCGCGATGAACACATTCCGTCCTCCTTATTTCCACCGGAATGCTGCGTCCGAGTTCCTCGCCAATATCTGGTCGAAAGACGTAGGAGGCCGGTCAGATAACTTTAAGCCCGGCGGTGGCAGTTATGAAGCGGGACACGTTGCCCACGGATCAAGCGGTGGACCGTATCTCACGGAGATGAAAAAGGAGGTCAATCAGCCGAGGGTTCTTTATGAGGGTAATGTGACATTTATTTTGCCCCGATGCGTTCAGAACGTTGACAAGACTCCGCAACAGGGTCCTTAACTTTCATGATGGAGAGTTCCAGATCTTTGCTCTTCACCGAGTGGGGTCTGGACACCGCTAAAAAGGAAGCGTCCAACCCTGAAGGCTGGAAGCGCCTGCCGGTGAGCCACGTCTCTACTCAACTATTTACCTATGCAGAGTGGCAAACTCTAACGTTCATAAGGATCGGTTTTCTACCAACCCAACGGTGAAACGTCTCTTAGAGCACGTGAAGGTAGAGAAAGCTCTGCAAAAGGAAAGGAACGAAGCGTACTTCTATGATGACCGACTTGAAGAACTGCTGAAGAAGAATCCAGAAATAGATGGAACCAATGGAACCCATGATGTCATCTCTGAAACAAAGTAACTCTGCAGGAATCGGCCCGTTTACTTGAATTGGGCTCGTAGCGAATTAGCAATGTCTATACCTCTCCTCTTCCTGATAATAAAAGGTGTAAACCACACTGTCATGGAGCGCACCCAAGACGCTCACATACGGTCCACCGACCTAACCTCTTCGTCGCGTGTTTTCGGCTAGACCCTCCATCGTGGCACGGTGATTAAGTAGCTCCTATCCCGGTCGGATTTGTGGGAAGGCAATAGAACTGCAATCAGGTGGCGAAAATTAATGGATGTTTCTTCGTAGGTAAGCCTGAGTGCCGGGATTTCATGAGCGTATTGCGAAGTGTTACGGGCTCGGGGTTACAAATATTCAAGTATCATCCCGATCGGACGACACGCACCGAGTATGAGATCCTCATATCTCGAGTTTATTGTTGGTTTCCTAGCACTGCCATTGACAATTTTGGCTCCGTGTCCCATTTAACACCTCACGGGAGCTAGAGTGCCATCTCAGAGCAGTAACAGTACATCTAGACATCGGAACGATATAATAATGGATACAACAATGTTGAATTAACCTGCACGATTGATACTTGATTTACGACGTACTACCCTGCCTCCAAAGCCACCCATTCGCATTGACTGGTGGAGTTGACAGTCGGCGGTCGCGTGTACTTGCTATTGCTCTGAAACGATCACCGAAGCCATCCCCATGCCCTGGGAAGTTACATTGTCAGCAGTTATTTTCTCCACCTCCTAATGTGGCTAAGCAAAGAAGGCAAGGCTAGAAGGGGACAGAGTAGAGTAAAGAGGGATGCCGACTTACCGTTCCGACACACATGCTGGTCACAGCGATCTGCTTCCCTTGTCTTTTCAGCTCTGCCAATGCCGTGACGATCTGCCTCGTTCCTGTACAACCAAGAGGGTGGCCAAAGGCAATGGCTCCACCACGAGGATTCACCTTCTCCCTCGGGAGTCCCAGCTCTTTGACACAATACGCCGCCATGGAGGCGAACGCCTCGTTGATCTCGAAGATATCGATCTCGTCTTTGGACAGCCCGACTTTCGATAGGACTTTTGGAATTGCATACGCAGGTCCGATGCCCATTATCCGAGGCTCCAGCCCGACAACCGTTGAGGTCACGAACCTGCCCAGAATCGGCTGCCCTAACTTCTCGGCGGTCTTGCGTTTCATGAGGACCAGGGCTGCAGCGCCGTCGGTGAGCTGTGATGCGTTACCTGCCGTTGTGGTCGATGGTGGCCACTTCGGGAACGCGCCACGGAGCTTCGCCAGCGTCTCTTTTGTCGTGCCATATCGGATACCCTCATCCTTAGTCACTGTCACCGTCTTCGCTTCCGAAGTTTGGGGGTGTTTCCACTGGGTGGTGATGGGAACGATCTCCTCCACTGGCCATCCGGCCTTCTGCGATATTTCCGCTCTGCGCCATGTCTCCGCAGCGTACTCGTCCTGCTCCTCACGCGTCACGTTAAACTCAGCCGCTACGTTCTCCGAAGTCCAGCCCATCGGCATGGTGAGGTCGTGAATCTGTGGGATGGACGTCAGCGTCTCATCCAGATCGGCCTTGATTTCTCCATTGCGGCTCATATTCTCGGCTCCGACGGCGATGCCGATATCGATTGCGCCCGACAAGATCTGGCCCGCGACGCTTTGGACAGCGAGGAGGCCGGATGAACACCATCGACTCACGGTCGAGGTAGCTGTTGTCGGTGGAAAACCAGCGGCGATGGCGGCGGCGCGGAGTGGGAAGCTGGGGAATGGGTGATGCACATTTCCGAGGACGATTTCCTCTACGGTAGCAGGATCGAGATTTGATTTCTCTCGGACAGCCTAGCGATGGATTAGCGGCATGTATGTACGTGATGAATATCGGTGCATACGGTCAGAAGGGCCATTAGCAAGATTTCCAACCGGGTATCTTTGAAATAGCCTTTCCTGGCCTTTGTCAGTGGAGTTCGAATCGCAAGTGTAATGACCTAATAACAATTTAGCTAGGTGTCTATATATGGCGTCTCACAGGCGTTCTGTGGACGTACAATGTCATCCGGATCTTTGCGTAAAAGGTTCCTCTTTGAGTTTGGAGGAGCAGCAAGCTGGCTGGAGATAGACGCGAGTCTTTGCTGTGCAGTTGACATTGTGGCACGGTTCTCCTCTGTTACTTACTGCGGGTACAAAACTAGAGTGGTTGGATCAGTGAACAGTTTTAGTGATTACTTGGGTATATTTAACCTTGACCTCGGCCAAAGAACCTGAACGTTTACTCAAGATAAAGGAAGAAAGTTAGGGACGGAATAAAATTGCCCGAAAGAACTACCGCCGGGCTCCAGCAACTACTTCGGCATTATATTAAAATGCTAGGTAACCCTTCACCAACCCTTTGCCGAGGTAGCTCTCACCTGGTCACGCTCCTTCTCCAGCGTCCACGGCAATCAGCAGCCTGCAAACCCACAATTTCTCTCTCTCTCTCTCTCTCTCTCTCTCTCTTTTTTTTTTTTTTTTTTTTTTGTAAATGAGGAAATAACTTACCACGTTGGCTTACACAATTGGATAGCAAAGTGCGAGATGCGGCAGGTAGAGCATACAAGCGGTTTGGTCCTGCTCTACGAAGTAGGGTCACCAACTCCGTACAGAAGACCCATCAGTGCCATCAGCGTCCAGGAGACAACGGAAAGGCAATTATGGAAGTATCTTAGTTTCCGTACGTCGTTGATCTTTGTTCAGCTCAATACATTGTTTTCTTCTACCGCAATTGTCCTTGGTGCCCAAGACCTGTTCTTGTAAGCGCCTATCTTATATCGTTTCTTCCATTCGTTGAAGTGTTGTTTCTTGTCAATCTTATTTCTTTCCTGTTGATCAACGGGAATCCGACGTTCAGAACCTATTGGGAGCTGTGCGGCACTTCTCGACAAAGTTCAATTCCTAACTATTGGCCGACCACCCTCTTTACCTTTCTGATGCAGTCGGCTGTCGGTCTCAATACCGGTATACCCGATGCCAGGTGGTCTCTCGACCGATGTGGCGTGCCGCGCTTTCTCTGCTTAGAGGATAGGTACATCGCGTGCTGATGCGTGAACATTTCTCTGATGGCGACGGCGAGCCGATCGCCGTATGTTCCATTTCTCAGCTGGCGCGACATTTCTACCAAGACCTGTAGAACTATGTGAGAGGCTGGCGGAACTAGCCAACGGTCACTAAAAAAACACACATGCATAGAGCATCTTTTTTGCGGGGCCGCCAGAAGAGGCCAAATCACCAAAAAGCATGATAGGTTTCGCCGGGTTAGTTGGAGACTGACGAACATGTCGCGCGGGCCATCTTGGGTATAACGGGACAGTAGCACTTGAAAGAAAGGTTGACGTGCCAGAATCACGGCTGACTCGGTAATCCTGCGATTAGAAACCGGGCGTCTAGTTCATCTACTGTGAGGCTAGACACTTTGATGGTGTTACTAGATTTCTTGAGGGTAGGGCTTGACCAGTAACAAGGACACTCCTGGACGTCGAAAATTGGTTTAACTTGTTCGCAACAGGACTGACCCTTGCCGAAAATTTTGTCAAGCCTTGTGGCATACAGAGACTATAGTTCAGGGCTAATTAGAACAACGTTGAAATGTCTCATTCCGGGATACGTACACGATGCTAGGGCTTCGCCACCAACGATGATGGCGATCCTACTCTGCCCAGAAGCGATTCTCCGGGCCGACTCTTCGCAGAGTTCTGGCGGCCTGCCACATCCACTAGCTAACCTCTACGTTTTTCTCGGAGATGCCATCAATGTCATCAAAACCCTCTTCCATGCTTCTCTGGTGCTGGATGCTACACGAGGTGATTCAGACAAACGGGACAACAGTGAAAGTCCTGTAATTAGCAGTAGTGGGGAAGAGCCAACGACTGCGCGCTGGAGCTGAGCCGCTAAGCACAGGGCAAAGACAGGAAGGAACACCGAGAACAGGCGGTGTCGTTACCACAACGCTCTTTGGGCCGCGAGCACCGCACGCGTGACTTTCTACTTCGGGGTCGCATCTTACGCCCTCCTCGGTTCGATCTCGCGTCGTCCGTTTGATTTCCCCAAATTGGTGCGGGTTCGGGAAACATACTGAAGACCAAGCCTGGTGGTGGCGAATCGGAGAGAGAGTGAGAGAGTGGGAATAGGGGGTATACTAAGAGGTAATTCGAGGCTAAGCCCCAGAGCCTAACTGCAGGCTTATGCTCGTTTGTCAGGTATATTCTGCATATAAACTCTTCTCCACCCACCGTCTAAACCCTCTCTCATATTAGATATAGAATCACGATTATAAGACTCCTACTCCTCGAAGTCACCACTCTGTAGGTTCACACCACTACGCTAGGTAGTAGCATCAATATCTGCAAATACATGTATGATTCAAACTTTAGCCCACTCCTTCCACCTCACTCGGAGGATTTTCCGTCAACTGGTTGCGCACTGGGGATGTCCCAACCGACCGGCGGCGTCTATCCGGAGTAAAGTGCTAGTTGTGGATATTTCGAACATCTTCAAGGGTCGCCGTGGAGAATTCGTCCTGATATCTTGTGGTTCCATGTGCTTCCAATTGTCACTGAGTAAATTAGGGGCCTCTGTAACCCGACCCCAGTACATATGGATTCTCAAGCACTACTGCATCTCACGACCAAAAGACAACCCGATTTGGGGGAGGCCGAGTTCAGATCTGCTCTAGTCTATGTACGCCACGATTTGTGTAAACTGAAAGCGGTACTGGTACACCGTAGAACCAGACACCTGGATTGCCAAACTGCAAGTCTTTGACTGGGATTTAATCTTAGAAGATAAAATGGACACTTGCAACGTTATTAAAGCTACTAGGGATGTATACCTGAATATGAAGGGGACAGGACTGCTTAGGTCCCTTATAGCATACTTTGTACGTAGCTTAAAAGTAGTGTTTACATAGGACTGTCATATTTATTAGAATATATATATATATATAAGATAGCCTAGTTTCCGAAACTATTTAACATTGAGAATCGCCGCTATATTATTGATGAGGAAGCAAGCAGGACTGATATCTTTAATAATTTTTCTTTTATCGATGTCACGAGGTCGGAAGAGTACACCGAGCACTAATTTTATTAGTTAATTCGTCATATTCATGAGGTCACCATCTATGGAACTCGGAGTTGCGGAAGGTAAACACCGACCAGGGAAAGCAAAGTGCTGCGTTTAATGCGAGCGAGGGCTGTTGTTTAAGTTTCTGTGTGGTGTTAATTTCTAGTCTACTTCCTGTTCTACCAGCGTCACGAATATATATATATATATATATATACACATATATCTACGTTGCCCTCGTAGCTAGCTGCAAAGAGTTGGAGAATTTACATACTATATGCACTTTTCAGGCGCTCCGTGTGAGCGAGATACCGGCCAAGATCAGGATGCCTCAAGCTCTCTGTTCCCTCCTGAATGCGCCAGTAGCCGCGTATCGAAGGCTTTAAATGCAGGTGGAAGACAGTACATATGACCATTCCTATCAAAGCATCGGGGGTGGTGACGGTGAGGGAATCTCTGATTAGTAGATTTGTCGTTTTCCCCTTTTATTCCTTTCTGGCTTCCAATCTTCACATTCCCCTCAGTTTCCCCCTTGCAGAAGCTAGTTAACCTCGGTGTTTATTAGTATGGCGGGTCTCCGTTTAATTGTAGCATCCGTATCTAGATATTCAAGTATCGATATCTCTATAAAAAGATCAAGGACATATACCCTGCACGATTCCCAAAAAAGGCTTCCAGTGCGAGTCTGCTGCACAGCCCCAGCTGCGCCTTGGTCTTGGCACATCGGCTGGAGTGTGGAGGCTAGGTTAAGGCCCAAGGATGTACACGCGCAATTCCGTGCAAAAGTCGCTCGTTCTATATCTCCTTTCACTGTGGGGAAAACAAGGTGTTTCGTAGCGAACTAACCCGGATCTTAACGATGCAAGAGAGACAGTTCAATTACTGCATGCAAAAAGACGAAAAACCATGATAGAGAAGGGATCCTGTGTAGCGTGCCGCGCAGCTGAAGGTGCTTTGGAACCCAAAAAGGGGAAAATTATGGTTATATGGAAATGGCCGAAATGGGTTGCCATCGACATCGACCCCCCTGGTCTCATCGTCATATGTGGAGCTGAGGAACTGGACACTGAGTGGTACCCGTCTTCGGTGCCAACTGTGTCCGCAATTTCTAGGGCCGCACGAGTATGCATCAGCATATTTGTGTGGTTTGCTGTCCCAGCTGCGAGGACTGGCGCTTTGCTCTGATTTGAACCCATGCCCCTTCATATCCGTACCGGGCGTTCGAATGGTACAATAATTCCCCGGCTTACAATGACCTAATTCCTTGGCACTGATACTAACCAATTGAAGCCGGACAAATGACAACCTGGTGCCGATCTCTTGGATCTGCGTTTGTCTAGGACCGAGGTACGCTGACAAATCCTAGCTGTCCGTCTTTGAATAATTAGTTAGAGGTGCCACTAGCGAACAAAACGCGTGGGAATAGCTCATTGTCTTGTTCTTAGAAGTAAAAAACAGCAAAAGGAAAAAGAAAAAAAGGTAAGCGCTGCTGAGCGAAGAGTGGCAAGAGCAAAGCATAAAATGGTTGAACTGTCAGTTGGACAGGTGTCCGGTATTATTGCCGCGGCCGTTGTTTTTAGTAGGTTGCTTCTTCATACCTTCCCTTACACAGTCCTCAAGGCACGTCTAATCATCTCCCTTTAGGCCAGTTTGTATGCCCGATTGTTCTAACATATCTTCTGGCGGGCTTATTACGCGACACTGAGACGGCAACCACCTGGTAGGCTATCATACGTTTCTTTATATCCCGTCCACTGCGTTCTAATCGGCTAGTCTTGGATTATACGTGGCCATCCGCGAACTCTTCCCCCCATTAGAGCTCCCAGCGAGTCACTACAACCCGCTAACGATGAAATGCCAGGTCTTTGGCTAACCAGGCGATCCAATCTTCACTATGGCCGTCACTTCTGCGCTCGGATACTTCGAATCCCTCCCACCGCGTCCGCCGATTGATACAAGTTCTGGCTTCCTGTCTCCCCGCAGCGGCACTCCTGGCCGCCATTACTGGCATTGTCACTCCTCTTGGTTTGGATGACGAGCTCGTCTCCGTAGCTGGACGAACTGGCACATTCGAATACGTGAGAGACGCAAGTCCTTACTCAGCTGGAACCTCTCCTCGTGGCATAGCCGACTTCAACCGACAATGCTCTGGAGGAGGTCCGCCTGCTGACGGCCCCGTTGCCTGCCCCTATACAGGTGACGTTGTGGAACAGACTGTACGTAATACCAGTTCGGTTCGCTGGGAGTTCCCATATGGACTCACCTCCGGTATTCCTGATATACTCCGAGAGATTTTCTCAAGCGGTACAGCTGGACAGGCTACGACAGTCTCGAACTTTTTTGATATCGAATGGCGGCAGTTGTCCACCGCCAAGTCCGAGTATTATGACAATGGTACCGAACATGCTGTTGGGCTGTACCGTCAGCTCGACTCTTTCATACTTCAGGACGAGTACAAAGTTCTGGAGGGCCTGGTTGTTGACGCTAAAGTGGGCGGTATTGGTTTCAGAAACCACACACTACCGACTGGCTTAGCTCGTGGGGGAGCCTGGAAAGAAGATTTGCTTTTTGTTGAACCCGAAGTTAGCTGTGTCAACACGAATATCACCTTGGACTTCGAGATTTCGACAGACTTTTCAGATTATGAACAGATCCAGAACCTCGTTATCACCGATAGAGGGGGCTTTGCCGGCATCAACACCGCATACACTGCTTTCGACCTCGCCGGTGCACAGTCCGATGCGAAGCTTCAAGCACGCGCATACGAGGCCGCGTTTCTCAACAATGCTTATACGATGATGCTCTACAACATCACGAACCCGAGCGATAATCGTACCGGTAGAGCTGCTTTCTCATACCTTGATTCTGAAATTGGTAAAACGTTTCCTCTGAACGTTACCAACCGTGCGGATTACATCGCGTTAAGTTTGTCGTATCGTTTTGGCCGTTATTTGGACCCAATCCGTGGACTAGAGCGTTATCCAAACCCCTATAATATCACGAATGGCGCTCTAGGCGATATCAACTCTGTCTGTGCGGGGCCTGGTGATAGTGCCCTAGCCAACATCTCGAATGTCTACGTCGGGTGCGGTCTCCTTCAAGGTGCTCCGGTCCGAGTTGATGGGGGCCCGCCATCATTATTTGACAATGGGAGTAAATGGTCCTCCTCCCTTCACGCCTGCGCAGCGACAGTTCGAGCCACCATTAAAACAGTCAGTTTTGCTTTTAATGCATCTAGCAATGTGCAGGGCCTTGGGGGTTTGACGGTCGCAACGATTGAGCCAAAAGTGTACGCCAGCGAAGACGATTATCCTCTGTGGGGCTTCGAGGAGTCGGGTTTGGAGTTTAACGGTGTTAATCCTATCTGGGGTCTGATATCGCCGGAGTACGAAGCTCGCGAAAACGTGTCCTCCGTTCGGCAACCTTCTTTCTACATTCCCGGTGTTTCAGTTGGTGCAGCCGCTCTAGGTTTACCTCTTAGCCTCAACTTCGCCAACAACCTACCGGGCAGCGACTTTGCGTCTAGGGTCATGAATCAAGTATTTAAGCTTGACAAGGACTGGCCGTACGATCTTCGAGGCTCGGCTAGTATGTCCATCTTCGCCCGATGGCAGGCGCTTTCTTCCAATGCTACGGAAGCCTCCAAAGTTATCAGGCTGCTATGGACAGATCTCGCGGCTTCGGCTGTCGTCGGGACAAAGGGCGCGCTAGGCCGTCTAAACAGCGGTCAAAAAGACGAAGTTGTCCCGGTATACATCAGCCCCTTTGAGCATCGCATCACCTACAACCTCTTCTACGGAATCCCGGCATTTATACTCCTGCTCTTCATGGCCGTTGTGGGATTTATCACTGTTGTTTTAAGTTGGTCCGGGAAAACCAGCGTCGCGCGCCTCCGCTACCGCATCCAGCAGCTATCGCCTGGCAGGATCTACACCACATACCTGTTCCCTCAGGAAAGTTCGCTCACTATGGCAAGTATGGAGTGGAGGGAGAGAAATGGGTCCCGCGTAGTCAAGCTTGGCAGCACCGGCACGACGGACGTTCCGTTGGGACCGGAAAGCCATCCATTTTTAACCGGCGACGCATCCTGCTCAAAGGGTAACGACATCGACAGCTCCAAGCCCAGTTCACCTCATTAATATAGGCCGCAGAGCAGAAACAGAAAGAGTTGTAATCGAACGCGACGAGCCATACCAAATGCCCGAGGCGCTTTTCGTTGCACCTTTTCTAGGAACCAGTTGATAGGTTAATAACCACTACAGATCCCAGTAGCTTTTTTATTATACTAGGTAATACTTCGTACTAGCGACCAAGTCATAACCTAGAACGAAGTGGGGCAGAAGCACCAGCCATTGTATGATTCTGAGGAGCCGCAGGAGCACGGACTGCTAGGCCCTATTACGATCCAGTGGACGGTGCTGAAGGAGCTGAATATATAATTGCTCGATCATGGAAGTCTGTATAGTATCTAGAGTTCATTGGACCTCTTCTTCGTAGCACATACACTTAATAAACTACTAAACATTGTATCAACTCACAACGCGGTGCCAAAGTGATCTTTGGTATTTCTACCTCGCATAACGGCCCGTATTCTTTTCACCAGATATGGCATTAATGGCATTAAGTTCTCCCGGTGGCGGTGGCTGAGTGAAAGACGCAGTCTATGCCGGAAAGGTTGACAACGTGCTTGATCTCTACACAGAAGTGGAAGCTGAAGGGAATCGGATAGCGCTGGGGTTCGCTATAAAGCAACGCCTGCTGCCTACTACCCGCAGTTGCGCAGGAGTCCATTCGTCCTACACATTCTAACCGGGTAAGTGATTCTTGGAAGCTAGATATTCGCCCCAGCGCGTTCTTCTAGTGATCAAATGTATCCCTTACTTAAGTAGCTGAGTAGTAACCGGTCCATGATGAATAGCGAGTTTGCATAAGGTTTCTACGTTCAATCTCTTGAACCCCGGTAGTGCTTCCTTAACATCCAGAAAACGAGGCTTCGTTCGTTGTCTACCTGGTCGTGTTGGAGCTCGGGGAAGAGCTGAAAGTTTAATAGTAAAACTCTAGTTCTGTTAATTGATAGTGGACAGCTAAATATAACGTGCTAATTACGTATCTACGATAATGGACTTTCGAAGTCTGTTTTAACGAAAAAAAAATTTTCTTGAGAGTAGTAAATATTAAATAGATATAATATTGATATAATATTGACGACTACTTGGAATAACCTTCTAGATTTTCCTTCCTGATTTACTTCCCTTTGTATACTAGGAGTGGGTCACTATTTAGGTTTCCTAGATGAAAAGGCGTTCGTCCCTCCGGGCAGGACAGTGGAAATTCTCCCTTAATTATGAAGAGGCTCACCCTACAGATCGAACAGGGACCATTATCGATCACCGGTCAATCAATACGCAACGTACTGAGCTCAAGAGAGAATGCCTCTTCCAGATGACCCCGTTACCCTCAGAGGAGGCTGCAGCTGCGGAGCAATTCGGTATCGGGTTGACGTCCCCGCAAAAGCAAATCGCCCCCCCCACCCCACACTTGGCCACAATCCTGACATGTCGGATCCGAAGACCGCCCGCATTCCCTCCATCTCGACCTGCCATTGCAACGATTGCCGCTTGGCTGTAGGCACAGTCCCATCGCAGGTCATCATGTGTGCTGCCCATATGGTGACAGTGTCCGCTCTGCCCAGGGATCCCAATGAGGACGAGACCCGTGCCATCACAGGTCGACTTATGAAGCCCCTGCAGCCGGGCTCAAGTGCGGAAGAGAGCGATGCTGAGAGGCCGCCTTACTTGCCGGCCTTGGACGTGCTTCGACCAAACCTGCCCGGATCTCGGGATACATGGCTTCGCTTCTTCCATACCATCAATTGCTCGAGTGAGATATCCTCGCGCGCATTCTGTGGGAGGTGTGGAACAATGGTCTCCTATCATTTCACTGTCGCGGCGCTGGTTAACTGTGTGGGAGACCCGGCTGTGATGCCCGACGGTTGGTCCGACTTTGTCGACATCATGCTTGGAACGGTTGATAGGGAGCAGTTGGACCAGCCGTGGATGGCTCCAGAGAGAGAGGAGAACTTCAACAACGGAATTTCGTGGGCGAGGGCGGCGGCTGCTAAGGGATTGGCCGGACCGAAGCATCCTGCTCTCTTGCTTGGTCAATTTGTAGACCAGAAAGTGATAGAGGCGATTCCAAAGCTGCAGTGAGAGACCGTAAATAGTAAAAGTTAATAAGGGGAGAGAACAGCAGATTATCAATACTATCACAGATCACAATACGAATGCTAGGCCTGACCTATTACTTCTACCTTCTCACAGCATTTAAATCGGGACCACGGGAATCTTTAAAACGTTCGTCTCATAAAATAACAGAGTCTAAGAGTTCCCGACTAGCAGAAGACAGTCTGGAGTCGTTGCTGGGTCCATGTACTTGTAGTTAAATGCGGCTTCCCTAGATAGGGATCTAAGCAGCTGTAGCGTCATATTGGCGGATGGATTTGTGTGGTGGTGTTCGGGTCGCATTTAACTTAATCCTATGCCCGCGCATTAAGTCCATCTTCCCCTAATATACATATTTACCAGTTCTAGAGGACATAAGCAGGGCGGCCCATAGGAATATAGGACCACAGCTAGTATCAGCCTATCGAACATCAATCATTTGTTGCCAGCGAGCTCCACGCATGGCCAATATGACCAATATCAAGCTATTGGGTGGAGCAAACCTTCGGCAGTAGGTAGGTTCACGCGTTACTGAGCATCTTATGCTACCAGATAGCTCAGCCAGAACCGAGTCAATCCTGATGCTTCATGCTTCGTACTTCAGATGACCGAGCCGGCGAGAAAGTTAATTTTTCGCGAGTACAGGTCACAAAATACTTCGTTTTCTTTTCCATGACGGGTCGGATACGACTCGAGGGAGCATTTATTCTTATTCCTCGGGACCGAGCAGTACCCGAACCTATGTATGCATATCGAAGCCGCCTTAAAGCGGGCGTTCGGCACGTTTTGAGAATCGATAGTCCTTCACTGACATCCAGCCGGGATATTAACCCGACTTGAAGATCCACAAAAGTTCCGGGACCACTTATACACGTACGGCTAAATCCTTTAGGATCGCGGGCACTCTCCTCATTGCCTGCGCACAAGGTAGTGCAAGCAGTTGAAAGTTATTCTCAGGACGAGACGGGTCGGATCTAACCGACTTCGATTTCGCATGATCTTATTATTTGAAGCTAACGCGGTCAGAAGAGAGCATGAAAAGCATATAAAGCTGCCAGATTCTTGCGGAGACAATGGCTTCCTCACCTGGCCAGACTCTCAGGCATCTCGCAGAACCTTCCGATCACTATCCGTCCAACGACCACTGTACCAAAGAGACTTCATTTAGAGTTTCAGCTATGAAGACTACATCTCTCCCCCTTATCTTGATGGTAGGGCTGTCAAGCGTCTCGGTTTCGGCTTCAGCAATCGTAAGTCCGTCAGTTATTCGCTTAGTATTCTATCACTAAGGGTTGCAGTGTGGGACATGCTGGGGCGGCAAATATTGTGATGCGGCGGGCAATTATGTCCTCTGTTTTGGGGGTGTATGTGGTGGTGTTTCCAGCTGTCCTGGCGGTTGCTTCTATGATCCCGACGAGAATGACGGATGGGCGGTTTGCTAAGTACTTGATGGGCCTGGACTGACGGATCACGAATGGATGTGATAACGGGGATCAGGAGGTATAAAATATCGCGGAATTATGCTGCCCTGCGTCGTTTACTGAACGTAGGACTCCCTGGGATTCAGATAGCGTTTTCATACTACATTTTGAACACCAAGTTCTGTTCCTCACTGGGCTCATTCAAGTCTAGAAGACACTTTTAACTCGAATATTCTCGGGACTCAAGGTGCTGCGTCCCCGAGGCGATCTTTAGGGCCCAACGGCGGATGGGCATGTTGACCTTGTCCATCTCTCAGACCCCAAGTTTTCTTATGTCTTCTGATCGCTTTAGATTTCCTCTCGAAATCTGCTTTCTAGTTCGTAGTTAAAAGCGGGATATTTTCTAAATATTTCTTTCTAGTCGTATTCCGAGGAAGAATAAATTGTTTGCAGTGTATTACCATATCTGCGTGAGAATGTCAGAACTAATAGGTCCCTTTGGGTCAATAGGCCAGAACGGCCTCTTTTTATTCCGTTGTCATGATGTCGCGGGCTCTGCAACGGTTCAAGAATGTCTCCATTTTCGGACCCCATTTTTACGGCGTATTAAATATCAACCCGTCCACTGGACTTACCATTTAATTAACGAATAATGCTCAGAGCCGAGAGGCTTGTTGTGCTTCTGCGTTCCGCATCAAGACAAGGATCTGCGCCTCCTTCCACACGTGACGGCCACGGAGGATGGGGTAAGGGGCTTGCTTCGACGCAAGAAGAGAGTGGGCCTTTCTTTACTCGTAAATGTTCACCGACAACCGCAAAAAGCGAAATGTTCGACCCCAAACCAAGGCATCACAAGCTGTGTTTCTTAAAGCCCCGGGAGAAGGATCCCCGACGGCAAACGACCCTCTTCCTCTCGCCGACGCGCCTCGGATTCGTTGTGCCGACGCCAAAACCGTATCCGAGGACGCCGGTGCCCAACAGGATTAGGCGGACGACGCATACGCCATTCTTCTCAACGGATGATAGGAGTCTATGTTCGTTCTTCCGACTACCATACGAGATCAGGCACTTGATCTACCAAGAGCTCCTCTACTACGGCAGAATACAATACGAGATTTGCCTCTCTACAAGCCGGCTTATCTTATTAGAGTTCTGCGTGCCGTCCCGTCGCATATACCCATATAGACGCCATGGCATCCATCCTGCTATTCTTGAATGCTGCCATCAGATCAACGGAGAGGGATCGCGGGTGCTGTACGGGGAAAACCACTTCAAAATATCTCGGTGTACGGGTACCTACCCCGTTACCAACTCGTGGGCCCTGACGAGGCGATCCCTAGAGCTTATTACCAAGTTGAACGTTGGGTGCTGGATTTTACTGCCGAATGCATATGATACACCCATGATAGCCCAGGTGGCCCAACCGTTCGTGAGCCTGCGTCACATCGCTTTATCCGTTCAAATCTTGCCGGGGGACTGGGGAAAGTTTCTCGAGCTTTCGGCGGAGTACTTGAATCGGATGCAGAGCGGCTTGGTGATGTTTTCGGTTGACTTCGAAACAATGGACGACATTGCGGAGCGGGAGAGAGCACGGGTTGGGCCCTCTGGGAGCTGGACAAGGAATGTGGAACTTGCCAAGAGTTCGCTCCTCCGGTATTGTGAGGCCATCGCAGCGAAACACATGCCCACAAAGGATATCAGGTGGGATTTTCTGGACGAGTCTGATCAATGGGGATTCTGCTGGAATGTCCATATGATGTGGGGTAACCGGGACCTTATCTACACGTGGTATAGAACAAAGGGCAGAACTTAATAGGAAACTTGTGCGCCTGTTCTAAGCGCGTTGCGGCTGACGTCTTGCCGTGGTAATGGTGAGCGCAAAATAGGTCGAGGAGAATCAAGCCGCCAAGGCCGACTCTGAGTTTAAGCGCAATGTTCAAGAAAGCGGAGCTGCCAACACCAGCTCGACCTAACCACTTATACTAACTAGTACCTATAATTGGTCATATCAACTGTTGCCTGTAAGAGAATCTACCATGACCACAATGAGTAACTCGGGCTGACTGTAAAAAGTTTGAATGGTTTGTAGAGTTGAGATTATTCGGTCTTAGAGTACCGGGCATATCCGGATGTTAAAAGTTTAAAGTCAACTGGCTACGGTGAATTTAAATGTGATAGTAGATATCCCATCTTCATTACCATACTCATTCAACACAATCATTCTCTTCGCCTGGCGGCCGAATACTTAATTAAAACCTACCCGTGTACATTAAGGACCCCTAGAGGGGACCTGTGCTATTTCCATACTCGAGCTAGGCGGAATGTAATGGTGGCGAGAAGATGCGTTTACCAGCTCGTGTTATTGCCATACACGAACCTCAGCGGAGGTAATTGCCCCACATTTTCGTATATATTTACATTTTCAGCTCGGGAGACTTCTAATATTGATACCCATATGAATCCAGTGGAAATATTGACTTTGCGATTATGGCATTGGCAGTTCTTCATCCTGTTTGGTGCGAGACGCGGTCAGGAAGGGAGAAAGGAGGTGTGGGGCGGGGTTCGAGGTTCATCGCAGTTGCGATGAACCGCGAAACTGGTATGTAAGACCCCCTCGCTCAGGTTCGATTGAATGAAAAGACTTACTTGGATATTGCTGGGAATTACACTGCAATATTTATCATCCTTCAGGGTTTCGTTCGCCCCCATTTCCTTGTCGTTCACGGTCCACAGCACCCGATATCGACACTTTCATGCAAAGGCAAGTATTTCGGGCCAGTTTAAATCGAAAACTAACATAAGTTACCTCTGTGCAGGCGTTCGCATTCATCCTTGGGAGAGTCCGCTTGCTCGAGAGAGCCGCTCACGCCTCAAACTGCATCTGAGACTCGGCCTCTCTTGGCGTCTTTCCTGGACGACAAGACAACATTTGCTGTCTTGGGCAGAGAGAAAAACGTCGACCAGATAACCGAACTGCGAAAATCCGAAGTTGAAAAATATATAAAAAAGTGGGACAACGTCTGGAGCCGGATAAGCTAGATCGTGGAAAAGAGTGCTCGAAGAAGACCTCCCTCGCTATCTGCACGACTGACGGCTAAATCGGGGAAACAATGGCACAGTCCAGAGTCGGTCAGACCAATGAAGCAGACGGAGATCTCGGCAAAGATAACCCATTCGAAGACGCCTTTCGGGGACACGAGGCCATTAGACCTCTTGAGCAGTATTACTCGGAGTTTAAACGACAGTACGGGTATCCCGAAGAGAAAATGGATAACCTCGCCTGCCCGGTACACAAATGGCGCCCAGAACTCTACAGGTCCATCACGAATAGCTCCTGTCAAGGCTACGGGTTCAAGGCCGTTGGATCGCTGAAGTAAGGGCCTCTGTTCCTTCTCCCTGGATCGGAACCGATATATTTCTCTCCCCTTGAATAAGTACCTAGTGCTGGGACTGTGCGTTTTCTGACATATGAAATGGGTATAGCGAGCACATCAAGCGGTGTCATAAGCCTGCTGAACTCGAAGACACGCCTAAAAAAAGGGGTGCCGCCAAATCCGATCTTCTCAGACTACTGGACAAGGATGTTTATCGTAAGTGGGATGAGGCACCACCCAAAAGAATCGGGGTAAAATGCCCAGAGGACTACAACCGGCACGCCTGGTGGGACATTTGTGTAGCCTTGGACCTTGTTAGCTCGAAACCCGATCCACTTCCCGAGAAAGGTGAGTTTAATATCTCAATGCTACACAAAATTTCAAATCTTCTGACGATCACCCCTACATAATTACCAGATCACTTGGCTTTCCCTGGCCCCGGATGGAGCGACTTACGTCTTTTCCTTGGTCACCTTATTGGACGCGGTGTGGTCTTTGAGGTCACCTTCCCGAGGAGGCACAATGCCGCGGAAGCACCTCGGCTGGAACTGCCAGATAATTCCAGGGACGAGATCCCAGACTCCGCCGAGGGGTGGCTAGTTCCTCCTGGATACAGAACTGCCGCAGAGGAGCTGAACCCCCGACCCGATGATGGCACGAAATATTCGCCAGGCGTCGGTCGATTCGACTCGGCATACCACTCATATGACGCTGACGGAGATTTTATGAGAGAAGTTTATCCTCCCACCGGACCAGTTTCCGGTCAGCGACCAGCCCTGAACCTGGGATGGATTGAGGACTTTACCTCGACCATGACCGGAGTGGGTGGAGTGGGCGGAGCACCACCGGCTTTGGATGTGGCTATTGACCCAAGGGTTTTGGTGTTGGATCCAGTCCCGATAGATGAAGACAGCTTATGGCAACCTTGAACAAACTGTCACGGATGGATAATATTGAGGCCTGCGATGAATAAGCATTAAGGTTTTTTGTTCAACTATTGACCGTTAGCCAAGTTGGGGTGATTCGGTTCTCTTTAGTAGTATGTGCTCGGGGAAAAAGACGAGCATGAACAGGTCTCCCCTCTCAACCGAGACGAATACACGGTCTGTACCTTCGTAGAAACATACATTTCGTCCTCCATCTTGTCTTTTAGTACTACTCTGTACTGCTAAAACTCGTTCAGCATGGCGGTCACCTTTCTGACGTCTATACTCCTCCAGATCATATTCAGCTCGGGTAACTGGGGCATTCAAACTCTCGACGTCCTTTTTGAGGTTTTTATTTTCGTCAACCGCCATGCACTGCCATTCCTTCTATCCCTGTTGATACACACCGATAAATTTCCATTACACTTCCGCACTGAATGTTTCTGAATGGTCCTTGAGTCAGTCAACCCCACGGCTCGACTCCCTAGCTCCCATAGCCGAACCTGGTCCGGCTCGAAATGTATCGCATGGAGACCAGTTCCCAGAACCAACTAAAGACGGCCCGGTTAACCATAAAAAGTAGAGCTTCTCGGCCGTGGGGCACTACACTTTTGTTATTATGTACATAATCATTGGCTCATAATCGAGAGTAATGTCATCAAGAGGGCGAGGAGACTTTTGTCAAGGTTGTAAAGACTTTATAGCGTATCTAGATACCTACATCCACTTTATAGGCATCCGCAAATATAAGTGATCCACTAAATTGGCACTGAGAACACCTATTGGACGCTTCCGAAGGCAAGATGGGTGGGAAAGAAGTGTAAATGCCATTCTGGCTGGTGACATTAAGGAATGAACGGAGATATCATTCTCTATTCCTCGACACCTCGAACTTCGATAGGCTACGATCGTCAGTCAGGAACCTCGGAATATCCCTTACCCTACAAGCGCTTGGATCGGATGCCTGGGCGCACAAGTAGTGCATTGTCATCGAAGCAGTCCAAGACAGAATCACCACTGCCACAGAGTGGAAGAACCTCCCTCGACGTCAGGTCGCAGAATTTTGCCTCATGCAGAGAAATGAAGTCGGGGCCGTCGGAACTCTTGCTCTCACAGAACCTCACGGCGTTGTGCTGCTCCTTGGACAGGCGCACAATGCGTGTCCCGCTATAGGCAGAGGCCGGCTGGCAATGCGTGCGGTGCCACCAAGCTCGGGGGGAATGAGCGCTTCAGCAGTTACGGGCAGCTGCTCGGGGGAGCTATCGTGGCGGCCTTTTTCTACTAGTCCAGTAGGTTGGGCCCCAGCTGTAGTAGAACTTCAAGGAAGGGTTCTAGGCACAGTAGCTAGTTCACGCGTGTTAACCAAACTTTGTTCCCCTTCCTGTGCCCCAGGAAATAGGCCACAGTTCAGTTCGTAGGAGAACTTACTAGCTCTTGCTTCCAACACCGGAGTTGGATTTGAACTGGGGGAAATGTACCTGGAAACCCGTGGTAAGCTGGTCGCGGTTCCGGTCAACCCAAGCGCAGTTGAGCAACTTGTTATCCCGCCAGACGTTGGTGCAATACCGAAAGAAGGGTAACGGGCTCATAAGTTTGCGGGCTCGATAAGGAGAGGAGTATATGAGTACACATCAGGCTCTATTGCATGCCCATCCATCGGTCCAGTTTCCGATCCGGCCATAGTTCTGGCCATCGGCCCAGGGCTGGGTGATGTAAGCAATGCAGGCGGCATCGTCATTGGGAGCGAAGAGGACATAGGTCGGCTGGTTCGCCTTGCTCAACTTGACTACAACATCCTTTAACTAGCCGCTGCCGACGTAGCCTGGGTCGTACTTGGCACCCATGAACTCACCATTCTCATTCCAGACGCGGATATCCGGGACGCCACCGCCTGCATTGTTAAGGCCGCCCGCGCGGTCAAGGCCTACGACACGTACCTTGGTCCGGTACTGGTTGGGCTTAGAAGGGATCTTCGATTGGAGGAAGCCAATCAGTTTCACCACGCCAGTGAAGATTCCGAAGGCAGTATCCCTCTTTGTGGTGAGGCAGATTCAAACGAGGCGAGAGGGTCCTTTGAGATGGAATAACCAGGTGTGGTCAAAAAGAGTGGAAAGCCTGGAAATGATGTCAGCTTTGTTGGGAAAAGTTCAAGTCGCTCGAGGCAATGCGAGAGCCTATATATACACGATTTCGACGTGAGGGTAAACTACCAACTCTCTGTGACCAACCGTCTACTTGGCCAGCCCGTGCCTGTCCGGTAACTGGAACTCCTACTTCCGATGCCTCCCGCGTCTAGACATGAGCGCGCTTCGAGAAGTCTTCCTCTCTGAAGGCCGTAGCACAGGCGAACGACGCAGCCAATCTCCTCTTCGGGCCAAAGCGGAAGCACCTGTGCCACGGCGCAGTAGGCCCCTCCACCGCGCTTAACACTCGGGCCAAAAAACAGTCAACATCATCACACCATATTCAGTCTCTCGATGAAATGAGGTTGGAAGGCCGTAGTCGGGGAGGTGTAGCGGTGGGCGTCGCATAGCAGGTAGAACGAGGAGGCACCCGCACGAGAAGGCTGTAAGAGCTCGCTTGCTGAACCTAGATTCCCGCTTCCCCACGCATTGTCGTCGTCGAAGTCGAATATATAGATATAGCTATTTCTTTCGAGGAAAAGAAACCCGATAATTAATATATTTAATATTTTAGTATAATATGTGTTATAAACTTTTATCTAGTTTAAAGTGTGGCGCTTTTAATATGAGCATCCTCTGGGGTGGTGGTAAAGCCGGGAATATAGAACCCGTAGTTAGCTGCAGACATACGCTAGCTGATACCTCCCACGATTCCTTCAAATGAAGAGCTTCGGCTATCTGCTCCTCGAGTTCTGCGTCGAATGAGGTAATTTTGGGCTCCTAATAGGAGAAAAAGATGGTGATTGTATTGCTTGGCGCTCTGCTTGCACGAGATTTACATGGGCCCTGTAGATCAAATACGGAGCACCTCCCACTGGCCGCAGGGAGGGTGGGGTAGTAGTAGCGGCCAAGTAATAATAGGACCGAAAATACATCACAACTGCGGCGCGGTCCGCAATGGCAAGATGCGCCGATCTAGTTTATAATCAGTGATGTCGACCTAGCTACTCCTGATATTACTGCTTGTCTCTGTAGTTACTCACCACATGGAATTCTGGCCTACTTTGCCCTAAAATTGTCCCGTATGAAGAGATACGCATTATCAACACTCAGAAGTGTGACACAGAAGGGGAACTTACCAATCCCATTTGCCGCGATCACAGCAGTGTGCTCCATTCGTGGACGCATCACATCTGGCCGAGACCCTCTGGAATTCAACACTTCCTTAACTTAGGCTCGAAGCTTATCGTAGGAACGTAAATAAACCTCTGAATTCCACGTACATCCGGTTCCTATATTGCTTCTAAAGCCGCATGTGAGGAACTAGACGCTATGAGGTGTAGACTCTGTAGAGTACTTCTTCCGACTTTGTTTGGTTCAGTGGGTTGAACAATATACGAAGGTCCATGGGAAGCTAGTATATATAGATAAAATCAATAGAAATAACATACATTCAGTTGAAAGAGTACTCGATGTTAAACTACTGATTAGCAACCTTTTTCCTTTCTCCTTTTTTTTTTGTGAAACAGTCTTCCGATTTTCGTATGGGACGGATACCTGATCGCCGTGACCGACACGCCCAAATATCCGGCATGGTCCTTCGTGATACAAAAGACCGATAAAATGTGGAGTCTGGTGCATTGCTGCACTCCAGTACGCTCATCTGTATGGTTACACTCGGGTACGCTTCTGGCCCTCATTCTAGGGTCCCCACTGGAACTCAGAGATCGCCGCCTTGGCGCCTCTTAATGCTAGGCAAGCAAAGTCACGGGCCTCAAGGATCGTCTCATATCACCAACGCCCAGCCTTTTAAAATGCGCAAAACCCCACCGGGGCCAACAGCGATACACACGCTGAGGCATGCCGCCGCTCTCAATCCTACCAAGTCACCGGTGGTCCAGCCTAATGGGGGGTTTCGTCTCCCTCAACCCATCCCAAAGATTTGAACCCTCCATCTCCCCTCTCATTTCCAACAAGAGGCTCTGTATATAATCGCAGATTCCATTCTACCAACCCCGGAGAAAACATCTGGAACCTCATCGCCAAAATGTACCTTTCATCGCTCCCGCACGACGTCCGTAGCGACGCTGGCCCTCCTGGGTGCTGCGGCTGCCTTCGACCCGCAAACCGATCTTCCGTGCGAAGGCGATGGCATCTGCCTGACTTCGTTCGTCTGGTGTTCGCCAGACCAGGATTGCTATTTTCCTGAAGGAACTCTCCCCTTCCAACCCGGAGGTTCAGTCCCCGTCGCTGTTCTTTATCGTAGCGGCAAGTACGAAATCTCGTGGAAGAATGCAGACCCCGAGCTGCCAGTCCTTGTCGAATGGCTCTTGCCGTTGGCATCTTCGAGGCCATTGATGGTCCCAGTGGCGATCTGGAACCTCAATGGAGCGTCAGTAAGTCTTTTAACCCTTGTAATTCCGTCCTTTCCAAAATGATGATGCCTGACGCCGGCACGCCGTCTGCGCTGTAGATATTACTGGATCCGATACCTCGCTGCCGTTCCAACCCGACTCCATCCTACGATCCTTCCAAGACTCCCCAGCCGTCAGTCTGCAACAACTCTCACCCGCCGAAGCTATCGTCAGCATTTCCGGCGTCAGCAACCACATTCGCATCAGCCAGCCTGGAAGTGGTCTGAAGCCCGTGTCGCCCAGCCAGTTCTCGGTCCAGTCCGACTGGGCGTGGAATCTTGCGCAGAATACCAAGGCCTCTGAGTCCGATCAGTGTAGGAAGCGGGAGCGTAAGTGGAAGCTCGGCGTGGGCATCGGCGTTGGCGTCGGCGGCGCCATGTCGATCGCTGCTGCTGCCTTTTTCGCTTTGCGACCGAAGAACGCAGTAGCGGCCCCCACGAAGTCTCCATAGATTATATAGCAAGATGCAGTTCGATGATACAGTATCGCAAAGACGTTGAAGAGCAGATTGGAGACCTGTATTAATCTGTCATAGGGGATGACTATACTTCGTATTTGGCAGTTCAACGCCCGGTACCCGGTTCAAGAACCTTTCTGGATGCCACGTCATGCCTAACAGGGGGATTAAATGGTGGGTTAAGATGATGGTTTCAGAATCAATAGAATAATAGTGCCAAGAAAGACAATTCCGGGTTTATGTCTACATCTCGTGTGATAGCTCGTCTGGGGTAATGACAAATCCATGTTTAGTCCAGGATATCGCTAGAGTCCAATGTTTCGTTCGGAGAAGTGTCCACATTTGGGAGCAGAATCTCGGCTTCGAATGTAATTGATATTTCTTATCGACCGATCTGAACCTGTCACCAAACTCCGAGCGAACAATCTTGACCTCATCAAACATAGTAAAATCAATCATCCTCAAGGCGACCGGAGAAATCCAAAGCAATCGATGTCCTTATTCATCAATTATTACGCGTCGAGACAACTCCACCCCAAGAACTGCGCCCGCCGTCTCAATCTCGCGCCCTGTATACATTAGGCGGCCGCTCGACTCCTCCGTCCCCCACCGTCGAATCCCCTTGCCGCCCGCCATATACAACACCCTTCGCGTTCCCCTTCCCGCCGCGATCCCTCCTCCCACCCATCTTTTTCAAACCGAAGAGCCCTCCTTGTCTTCCCGTCAGTTGCGGTGGACCAAGGTACTGGCCTCCAATCTCGGAATCAGTGTTAGGAATGTAGTCATCGCGACGGCGTCGTCCGGGTCGACTGAAACAGCAGCATATGGTAATAGCGGCGAGGATGAAGAGAGCAGCGACGACGCCGACTACGATACCGGTGATTTGGCGGCTGGTGAGGCCTTGGTGGCCGACTTCGCGGGGAGAGAGCTGTGTGGTCGAGGGGTCAGTTTGGGAATATCAAATGGGGGAGGTTGAAGGGTATCGGGATTTTGGAGAAGAAAAAAAAAAATACCATGATGGGAATTACTTTGTGTCGGCTTTAGCTCACGGTGGCTGTCATGAAATGCGCCCCGACTGCGACTGCGACTGAATCAAAATGACGAAGGCGAGGGGAAAACGATGGTTGGAAAATAATAATCAATGAAAATCGGTTGACGATCCGTTCGGGGCTGTTCAGGTTAGGTTTGATCGGACAACCCCTCACGGGCCGGGAGGTTCCTCGCATCTCCATATCTGCCTAAGACAGGAGGGCACGAGCTCTCCTCCCGGTTTTTATCTGCCCTGACAGTAATCATCCCGTCATATTAAGCGATACGTACAACCATCCGTTACATTCCGCAATGGAGCTACTTTCTTCACGGGTCACATCCTGGTCACATCCTGCAGGATGAACGTCACACAAGATGATTGGCTAAAATCGATTTTGATCTGCGCGCCCGCAACTTTATTTTATCGCGGAGCATGGTGGAGGGAAGAGCCCAGATAGGGTTCTGCACCTTAAACTCAAAGGGCTAATGTCTCATCGCTATTACCGGCAGTTTATGGAACTGGGACCTGACTAGGCCCTGGAGGACCACATGGCTTGACTCAAGTGCCTGGACCTGACGGGAATGTTCGGTATCAGAGACATGACCTAGGACTATCCGTCTGTCGCATAAATATCCACGGATCAATATGCATCCAACCGTATCTAAACCCCCGGGGGATGATCCGGGAATCGGATAATTTGCCGGTTGGACAGGACAACCGGAACCAGGACACTCAGGTACGGTCCAACAGAGTAAACACTGCGGGACGGCACAGAAATTGGAGGTTCGTTTCGCGATGTAGATCCGCTCGTTATTATGTGTTATATCCCAAATATGAACCTGATCGCCTTGACGACGCAAGGCATCGAGAACAACAGGTCTAGGGACAGTCAAATAGGGGTGATCGTGAGTAACATAAAACTCACCAGGATTGATTGAGCCACATAGGCAACAGTACGGCGAGGAGATAAGATGAGTATACGGCTCATGAGACGTTCTAATCGAGGTCGTCCCCACTGAGAAAGGGTGAAGGGTAACAGAAGTGAGCGCGAACAGAATTTGCCGAGTCCAGTTCACTGATCACGTGACATAAACATCATTCTAAGTCATGACATCATATTGTGGCGGTGCGCGCGGCGCATAGACATTCTTGATCTGTCTTGGACACCAAGAAACTTTTCCCGGATCGGACCCTTCAGTGATTTTTTTTCTTCCCCCCCGGACAAGCGTCTCTTTCTCTTGCCAATCTCCGCGCATTGCCCGGTTCGCTTCTTGTCATTCTTTACCAATGTACTTGCTTCATTATATTTTAGTTTCTGTATTCTCCACACTTCTTGGCTGATGATCGTTACAAAGGTCATCCTGGTTCCCTTTAAGCCTCAAGCCTTGAGCTGTACTCGTAGCCCTGGGAGAGATTGCACCCCAAGCCTAAACCCCAGCGAGAAAAAATGGCTGAGTACCATCAGATTTTCGATCCTTGGTCCCAAGGAGTTGGTATCATGAGAGATGTCTGCTCCCGCTGGTCGGAGCTGGACATCACGCAGATCGGGTCCCTCATAGCGATTGCTGGCACCGCACCCACGGCCTGGGGATTCTTACAACGCGTTTGGCGCCACGTATCAAGTTACGTCAGGCGCTTCTTTCTAGCATCCGTGACAGTTCCCGGGGGCGATCCTTTAAACAGAAGCGTCGTCAAGTGGATCTTGGCGAACCGGTCGCGGCATTACCGAGCGTTCACCGGACTCACCGATATCCGACGTTCCAACGGCGACCGCGGAGCTGCTCTCAAAAAGACGCGGCATCCGATCGAGTACTTCCCGCATTGGCGCTCGAGGTGGATTTGGTACGACAGCAGAGTGTTTGTCGTGTCGCGAAAAATCGACGACTTCAGTTCGTCTCTGTTAGACCCGACCAATGATGGCATAGGAGGCGAAGAACTCACTGTAAGCTCCTTCGGTTGGTCGGCTGAGCCCATTAAGCGCTTTATCGAGGCATGCCGCGAATATTCCGATAGGCAAACGCAATTCTTCGTCATTATCTATTCCCGCGACCGGTACGGGCTCGCATGGAAACCCAAGGCCCGCCAACCAATCAGGCACCTGGACACAGTTCACTTCGACAACTCGCTTAAGCAGCAACTTCTCGCCGATGTTCGGAACTACCTCGACCCCCAGACTCAGAAGCGGTATCAGAGCCGCAGCATGCCCTACCGTAGGGGATACCTCTTCTATGGCCCACCTGGGACGGGCAAGTCGTCGTTGTCCCTTGCTATCGCGGGCGAGTTTGGGCTTGACCTTTACGAGGTCAAAGTCCCTAGCGTAGCTACCGATGCGGACCTAGAGCAGATGTTCCAGGAGATACCCCCGCGTTGCATCGTACTCCTCGAAGACATTGACGCTGTTTGGGTAGACCGGTCCTCTACAGAGAAGAATGCACAAGATGGCAATAATAACAACAACACGTCGAATTGCACCTTATCTGGACTACTAAACGTCTTAGATGGCGTAGGTTCACAAGAAGGTCGCATTGTCATAATGACCACGAACCGGCCGGAGTGCCTAGACAGCGCACTGGTAAGACCTGGTCGTATCGATATGAAGGTCTTCCTCGGTAACATCAGCCAAAACTCAGCCGCAGAGATGTTTATGCGAATGTTTTCTCCCGACCTAGGATGCACGTCACCTACGGACATGGAGGAGATCCGAGAACTCGCTGCACAGTTCGCCGCCGAGGTACCCCAGGATACGATCACGCCTTCTCAGCTACAGGGATTTTTCCAACTACATTTAGAAAGCCCACGGGACGCTGCTTCGAGCATAGCAGCTTGGATTCAGAGAGAACTTGGGAAGGGTTCGGAGAAGGACTTTGAGGTCGTCTGTAATAAAACAGATACAAACGGATACTGCAAGATGAAATAGATCGGGGCTGGTTCGTTTAGAATATGGGGCGGTATTTAAACAACGTAGACTTTTAACTATATGTACTCTATAAAAATGGATTTTATTTTTAGCCATCCATCGATTCCTGCACGGTAGAAGAGCAAAGAGGGGGGAAGCTTCTCGCAACTGCATTCTACGTCCATGGACGGGTAAGGTAAATATAAATCTAAAAGGTCACAATGCATTAGTTATCTAGTCATCCTGGTCTGCTGTCTCGCCTTCACACTGGGTCTGCCAGAAGAACCTGAGATGGAAATACCACCCTTTCATCATCGCCATCCCCATCCTCATCCCCCTCGGCCACCACCACTGGATACATGGAAATCGCTACCCTTGCCTTTCTTTTCTCTAGCTCCTCCGGGGACAACGGTCCGCTATAGCCCTGGGGGTTCATCAACCCCGTGTTGAATGTGAGGAAGTCAGAGATATTGCCGTCCTCGTCATATCTCACCTGCGCGGGAGGGAACACCATTGGGAACACCATATAGTCTGCTCTTTGAACCCTCATCAAGATCGACAAGTCCACGGCGCAATTTACAATCTTCCGAAGGCCACTCTCTTGATCTCCAGACACTGCATTTGGTGCCGGTACGATGGCACTCAGGGTCCGGAGTATGAAGCTTGTCACTGCCTCTGCATCCATAGACCGCCGCCCTTGGTATCCAGGCTCGATTGACAGAATTCTTAACATTGTTGCACGCCACTCACGCAACAGCTTTGATGGTCCGCTTGAGAGACTCTTTTCCACCAACTGTAGTCTTTTTCTCTGTTCTGGATCCAAACCGAACAGGTAGCGTGCAAAGATGAATTCCCATATCATTGCCGATACGACGGATGTAAATAAATATTCCCTCAGGGTCTCATCTAGAAGGCGTTTGTCGAGACTTGTTCCATCTAGCGTCGCAGCATAGAGGCGATCGATGATAGTGTCTCCGTCGACGATGTCGCGGAGGAAACGATGTGTCCTAGTATCCACGGTCTGGGAAAAGCGCCAAGCCCATGCATCAATGCTATTGTAAAGTTCTCCGTGAAGAACGCCGATATCATGGATGCCACGAACTGGAAGGAACTGACTGACGTCCGGGCTATTCGGATTAAGAACAGTTTGAGCGAGAAGCTCTCGCAATTCTCTTCTTGTTTCTTCATGCTCTCTCCTTGTTTCCTCAAACCGTTTCCTTTCTAGCTCTACTTTTCTCTCTATTTCTCTGCTGAATTCTTCTAGCGATGGCTGGTCGGTCAGGGGGTCGGGCATGCTAGACGCAGGAACGGAAGAGGTATGACCCAAAGGTCCAGCATTATCGGGGCCTTCGACTTCCTTCTGGAGCGCGAGAAGCATCCCTTCAACTCTACGGAGATCAGTGTGCACTGGTGTCCGTAAGCCCTTAATGGCACGCCGAATGACATTTCCTTTCTTTGTCCGTAGGTTCCCGACTGCCCGTGATGGCAATTGCCCACCAGCCGGGAGTGGGGGTAGAGAAGGGGCATCAATCGAAGGGATATGGTGCCGACGTTCGGGATAGGTTTTGAATGTAGCCGTTCCCAGTAAGTGATCCAATTCAGCAGCGGGCGACGGTGTAATAGCACCACTGTTTATGCCAGATCGTCCTGGAAGGTCTCCTGAATTGATCTGACTAGGAGAGCTTTTCTCTTTGGCGGCCGCCTTAGCCATTGCCATTGCTCTCCGATACGCCTTAGTGTTTACGACAATGCTGTCGAAATCAAATTCCGTTTCACCTATAGACCCTGTGTCTCCAAATATGGTGTCGACATCCCTTCGCGGCGATAGAACCGAGTCGGCAAGGTATAGCTGTGGATTGATCTGCCTCAAACGACGCAGCATCGGTCGCCTGTTGATCAAGAAACGTTTTCTCCTTTCCAATTTGCTCGAGTATCTCGTCGATAGACTCCCTTTACATATCAATTTAGCACGCTGCCGAAGACTAACGAACTCATCGCAGTGGATCTATCCAATAACGCAGAAGAATACTTACATCTAGAGTAATTGAATCAAGAAACCCACAGCCACTTGCTGCCCTTGAAGCAATGAGAGATATCCTTTCATCTCCGCCTCGTTCCAGACTATCGACGCCTTGTTCCGCCATCTCGAAATAATGGACGGTGTTGGACCTGCATCAGCGGCGCACAGCTTGTCAACCGTGCTCTCTAGGCATGAGAGCACAACATTGCACCCGGTCAAGGTCGTGTCGAGATTCATAACGACATCCACACGCTCCCGAATCGTTTTATTTCGTAAAATCAGTCCTTGGAGCTGGTGAAGACCCGTTTTGATGGCAGTACACTGCGACGAGAGCGCGGTTATGGTAAGGTGAGCATTTTGAAATCTGCCATGCAGCGATTCGAGGCCCATCGCTGTTCGCATGCTCACGGCGGCGATGCCAGTGACAGCGGATACAATAGAGAGAGGATCCATGCTATTGGCAAATCTTGTTATTCTGACGGCCGTAGGTCTGTTCTGGAACCTAAGCTTTAGCCAGGCGGTGCGTCGTTGATCCTGAACATGAGATGATTCTTTGGGTCTGATGATTTCGCCTCATAGCCCGATGAGGCTTAGAGGTAGGAATCCCCGCCTGCATTGACCCAATCAGGGCCTCCCTGCCAATCTACCAAAATCGAAGTGGAAAAAGGAGCTATGGAAAGGAGAAGGGTACCCCAGTACGTACTACATACAACTGCGCGAGACCGCAAACGGTTTTACCCAGCTCTCACCATATCAGCCCTGCGAAATAAGCCGTCCACGATCGTAGATGAAGGGATATGAGCTGTATTCCTAGGCATATTCGTATTCCTTTAATAGAAAGACTCAATGTCTTGATTGATACCAATCAAATAAACGGACAAGCGCATTGGTGGAGGTTTCAAAATGTTACCATATAATATAATGCGTCTCGAAATCGCCGGGCACTAGGAAATAACAATCTGCTTCTTTCAATCTCTGGTAACGGCAACCCATTTACCGCATATCTAACATTCTAGCAGAGCTGAGGACTATTTAAAGAATGGAACTCTCTCGAGATGATGGCCCGACACCCAGAGCTCCTTAACTTTCATCTCGGAACCTGAGAACTGTATAGTGCGGCCCTGTTCCCAAGGTTCAGCATTGAGCACCCTGAGCGGGAGATGTATCAATTCCATGCATCTCCGCTGGCAACTTGCACGTCTTCTTGCTGCAGAAGCAGTTGTGCCCATAAAAACATTTCGAATCCCTGCACGCTAACCCGCGATGGCAGACTTCGCTTCTCACAAGTTGCCGAAACGCCAGTTTTTCGGCATCTGAAAGGGATCCATGTGTGTAGTTAAGAGGACAAGGACCACGACGGACGCACTCTCCGCGTAGGTGGTACAAGCGGCAGAATCGTATTTTGCCGTTCTTTATCATTTGGTTAATGGTGGCCACTGCTTGCTGACTTGGTTGAGGCAGTCCGAAGTCCACACGTTGGCCTTGGGAGTTGATGATCAGGGTATGGCCCGAATCTTTTTCAGGTGGTACAGATCCACTGACCAGCACATTGAGTAGTTGTTGCGTTGCCTGCGACATTAGTTGAGCACGGCTGGCCCATGTAACTGGTGATTGTCCATTAACTACTACAGTTGGAGCGGCGGCTGGACCAGTGGACGGGGGCGGCGGCGAGTTTTGGTTGTTCTGGCTCAGCGGGCCATCTCGGAAGATGCCTGGAAACCTGGTAGTGCCAAACGGGAGGGCGAGTAACTCGTTCCCAACTTTATACGACTGAAGAAGCGTCACTTTCTTCACAATGTCACCATCATCGCGATAGTTGTCCAAGAGTCTCGTGTAGTTATTGTCGTGGCAAACTCCAACGATGATGTGACGACAAGTCGGGTTGGTAATAAACTGATTGAAAACGACTGTGGAGAGAACGATGAGCATAGTTTTGATCGCAAGAGTCGACGTAATATCTTCCCCAATATGGAAAAACTCACCCCTGATCTTTTCATCAACTCTGTCTTTTCCCCGACTCACAAACACGAAATCGCTCGTTCCAAAGGTATTGGAAAAGCCTTTGGCAAACTCAGTAGCAGCAGAGGGCTGCAACGACAACTTCTGTAGAGCGCCCGGCAACCCATCACCATTCGCGATAGCCTTGATTACGACAGGGAATTCCGCCAAAGCAGGGTCCTTTTCACGAAGATGAGACTGCACGGCAACTCTCAAGTCCACGGCGGCCTTGCGACCACCTTCAAGTCCGGAGTAGTACTCACTGCGGAACTGGAGCTAAGAGTTAATATTGTGTGATGGAGGGTTCAACATGGAGAGGACTGAACGATGTATTCATCTGGATCCGCATCCAGCAACAGCAAAACAAAAGAGCTCCGATCCTAATATTCGTGACCGGGGAGTAAATGAGAAATTCATGTAGTTCAGGTATCATACAACTTCTTTCTGGAGACTCTCACATCGAGACTGCCACTCTTCTGCCAGTATCTGGGCTTGCTGTGCACCCATATCCATCAACTTGTCTCTCGAGCTCTCTGTGCTTGTCAACCAAAAGTTGAAGCTCACTCTCGAAAGCCTAGAGGGCACAGTCAGTAGCTGAGGATCGGGAGATGTTTGTCATTAGACTGGACCAACCTTCATCCACTCCAGCCTTTCCTCATCCCTCTCTCTGAACTGCCTACCACGGGCAGAAAACTGGTCCACAAGGCCTCCCGACATATTAGCAACAAAAGCGAGGACCACAGCCCTCCTCCAAGATCACGTAGTTTGGTAAAAATGTAAACGGATTCAAGGCATCAAGAAGAGGGGTTCTGGCCAGTTAAATGCAATAAGCGACTGATTGGTTGGGGGCGGCCTGTGGCTTAAAAAGTGCAATGCATAAGGGTGTTGGCCCACTGCCATTCACCCACTGAAACATTTCCTGGGGCCGCGAAATAGGCCCGACCCGTCGATGGCCCACGAACGCTTTGCTGGCTCCTGTGGAGTTGGCCCAGCTTGGCCCACCCGGTCTCCCCAACAGCGGCCAATTCTGCTATTGTAGTATTAGGACGAGTGAGAGCTAGGAAAATGTCCAAGTACCTGCCGGTCTGCTTTCTGGTCAGTTAGACTGGCCTCTTCTGTCCCAACGATAGGTAGGTCGGCTCGAGGTCGGGCGGCCCCCCATTTTACTCAGCCCCAAGCGTCACAACCCCCAACCATCACCTGAATTTATGCACTCTTTTTGCAGTGTCATGGTGATCTTCGGCGAGTTTTCCTGGCCGTCACACTGTTCAAGAGACAATTCAAGTACTACTCACGCCCTACTGCCAAATGCATACTATGGGGATCTTGCTGGACCGCCTCAGGAACTCCTAACAGACACTCTTTGAACCTCTAGAGCAGATTGAAACCAAAGAGGGCCACAATAGTGCGGATTTCTTTGAAGTATACATGGTCAGAATGACAGTAGGAAGCAATTTTCTTTCTCATGTCACCTCATTAATCTCGGTCTGAAATCGGACGCGCGCGAACCTACAACTCATGTAGAACTGCACCTGCCCTTTCTCTTATTCCATGTAACTGCAGTTGTGGGGTGCCAATCTCCAAGGCGATCCACACAGCGGTAGACGAGGAGGCCACTTATTTCTACAGTAGCACGGAATTCTTTTGGGATCACGGGCTTCACCACCATACATCTCGAGGATCTGATTCGCCAGTTCCAGTTGCTGTCTAAAGTTGAATATACTCCAGTTTGCTCCTCAATAGGTATTCTTCCCTCTGGTGATACATGCAGCTCTTCTCATTACTTGCCGATGGGCATTCCCGACTCCTCGTATCCTACATTGGTGACATAATATCAGATCTGAACCCTAGCTACAGAAGATCGCTTGCTATGCTGGCTTGTGCATTGCCTCCCTGTCCTCATCCTTAACACTACCAGATCGACGCCCCGCGTCCACTGCTAGTTAGGCTGCTTCCGATATCTGCATCATGAATGTCTCCATATTTGCCGTCCCCTTCCTCTCCTGATCGCGTATCGTCCACTTCTTACCAGACCTTAACGATAGCGACTGGTATGGGTCAGTTGACATCCACTTAGACCACTTTCGAATCACAGCGACAGCCTCTGCAGATGGCACCTGAAACCACTCCAGGTGTTGCTTCATGCACGCGCGGCAGTAAATTCTGATCCTCCGATGTGCCAGGTCTTCATGGCAGAGCGCCTCGACACGGTGAGCATGCTGGACCATCGCAACGGCGCCAGAAGCGGTGGGATATAGGATGTGGGGTTCTCTATTGCATTCGAACCTCCACTCCTCATGTCGTTCCTCGACCGAACGAGACGTGTACCCAATTTTGACGAAGCCCGGATTTCCTGGAACATCAAATGCATAGACGTAACCATCTTTGAGGTCTTCTGATTCCAATTCGTCCTTCACTTTCTGCCTTGTCCTATGGAGCCGGGAATCTGCCAGGGCGTCGTCCCTAGCAATGACGTGGAAAGGCGATTCATCGTATTTGTCCTTCCAATATCTGCTGGGATGGCATCGGAAGTCTGGAGAAGTCGATTTCCCGCTCCATGAGGCAGAACTGCTAGTGCTGTTTTTGCCCAAGCCTGTCGAAGACCTTGGAGTGCTTGGGGGTTTAGAAGGACTTCTCACCACTCTGGACTCAGCCGGTGGCTTCCCTCGCATTGCCCTGATTGCTGACTTCCATCCTTCCACTCTGTCGAAAGAATTCTCCTGGTGCCAGTAACAGTGCATATTGGCCTCGAGAACTTTGAGCCACCACTCGAGATCGGAGTCGTTCTGGTAGGTCTCTGGTCTCACAATCTTCTCAATCGTGTCCCTGCAATTCTGCACCTTTTGCCCGCCGATCTTCTGCCTGCATCGCACCTTCGAGCGCGAAGCTATGGCGGTGCAGGTAACTCTTTCTTGCCAGCTCCCCCAAAACTCATCCGACTCCAGGTTTAGCAGGTTCTTGATTTGTTCTTCAATCGATGGGGGAGAGTCCGCCTTGGTGGCTTTTCCGACGGGGAACTCTTTTCTCCAGCTCTTGATCCGAGGATTTTTGAAGCGGTCGCAGTCGTGATTGCGGCAGTGCCAGAAGCTGGCCAGCTCATCCAATTTCGCGTCCAGCTCCGGGGACGCCTGCGTGAGCTCGACCATAGACGCGAGCCGGGGCCCAAGCTGGGGTATTTTCGCCGACTGGGTGGACTTCCACCCACAAGGATCTCCATTCCGCTTCTCGGCGCCGCATATATCACTGTCGAGACCCAATCGACTCTTCAGGGCTGCGACTTTCTCCCTCTCCGTGTCTTTGGCCGACTTGGCAGGGGCAGCGGGCTTTGACGGGGCAGGACGCGGCGTTGGGGGTGGGCTCAGGGCAGCCGGAGGGACAGTGCTGACACGGCTTGCGACATTGAGCGGGGTAGATTTGGTCGGACGCGGCGAAGTCGGAGGACTGGGGTACGGGACGGCCGATAGACTCGGCTTCCGGGGCGGCACCGGTCCACTCGTGCCGGCCGACATCTCGCTCCGCTTTTCTTGCGTTGTTTTGAGAAGTTTGGTGATACAATATGCCAAAAGGATTGGTAAAAAAAACTCGCTGCTAACGCTGCTGACTTGCCTACTAGCCAGCAATGGGTGACTAGAAATGAGCGGCGTGGGTGGCAATAAGTACCTACCCGGCAGAGGGCTGCTGGAGGACTCGACGAACGAGAGGGCTAGAACCGTGTAGGGGTTCGCCTCCTAGGATCCGGGAATAGGAGCCAATCAGTGATCAGAGGGCAAATTAGACGCCTGCTGCCTGCAGTCCGACCCGACATCTTGTCGAATGAGCGACAAATGCGCCATGTTTGTCACAGCCCGATGAGGCTTGGAGGTAGGAATTCCCGCACGCATTCATCCAATCAGAAGTCCCTCGCCAATTTGAGCTGAAGTGGAAAAAGTAGGTTAAAAGATATCCAGGGGTGTCTCCTCAGTACTCAGTACGTACTTCGTAGAGACGACAAATGGTTTGAACCAAGCTCACAAGCTCTCCAAGTAACCCAACTTAGCCCGATGTCCACAATCGTAGATGAAGGGAGGCAGCCTATAGTTCCTAAGTATATTTGCATTGTATTAGCATACTCCAGTCGTTGCGGCGTTTGCTTTACATAAATTATCCTTTTAGTTTTTGTTCACCAGCAATAATAATCCTGTATCCTAAACATCGACTTGAAAATAGCAGACACAATATGGACGGTCCTGATGAAGGTCCTTGGATGTGGCGGAGGCGAAATAGATCCAATGATCTAATGATACCCGGCGTTGCTTTGATACTAACTCCTAAGCCACCGCTTTTCAATTTTGCAGAGTAGGATTCCACCGTCTACGTAAGCCACTAGCTTCACGTCCGCCCAGTCCTTGTATATCTATAGTTCAGGTCAGCATCTCTTCAAAGGCTGCGCATCTGGGATGGATTGACCTCAGAGACTCCCAGCAGCATCAACTTCTTTATGACTATGGATGTGCTGACGCAGCCAATGATAAGAGGAATTAACTGGCCCGGAGAGCCGATGTCATTAATACCTTCAAATCGATTCCACGACAAGGTGAGCTCTACGCTTAGGATGAACCAAACAATGGATAGGACAATCCCGATATTCCAAAGGACGCAGAAGGCTCGAAGCCCTGTACTGCGATGTCCGATGATAGGTTAGTAGTGGCACGGAGCACTCGAGAGGAAAATTTACTTTGCATCTCTCCAAGATAACACCCGGCCTCGTGTTTCCCTTCGCCCTTCAACGGATACCTTTCCCGTGCCAAGTGACACACAAGCCTTTACCACGTCCGAGAACCGTATCGATACCGTCCAGAACTCTAGAAAGTCCATAAACGTCCCAAACTGTGGCGTTAGTATCGAGAGTGCACCATACGGCACTGGCGCCGATGAAAGAAAAGCGGTCAGTATCCTCAGCGGTATACTTTCTTTCTCGAGAACTGCGTTGATACGATCCAATGCCGACTTCATATTCTGCGCAGCCTCTGGGAAAACACAATGCAATGCATCTCTATAGAGAAACATGAGGGCGTAGGCGTGGAGACGTATAATAATCAATGCTAATCCATATGCTGGTGGGAAAACGACGATCGTGATGATGACAGCTGTAGTTTGTCCTAGTTTGATCATCGGCTCGCGCAATTGCTGCCTAGAGAACATGAATATGGATGGCGGATCACAGCCACTGGACATAGTGATGTTGGGCACAACACTGAACCAGAAGATGAGATTAAACACAGTGATAAGACTTCCTGTAGCGGTTCTCCACGCAACTCCGGACCACGAGAGGTGTTTTGGCTTCAGTGGTGAGAATATTGTAAGCGGGAACTGTGTGGCCCCCAAGGAGAATTTCATGAAGTAAGCTAGAAATGGCGAAATCCCTTGATGCTCATGGTTATTGTTTATTTGCGGCTTCTGAATTGATGCAATGATATCCCTGAAAACCTTCCCGAGCGTTTCCAGAAAATGTAACAGGCGTGCCGGAGTAAGAAATTGCAAGCGCACTCCGAACGTACTGAGGTTTGTGACGAGGAACCCAATTGTGAGTTGAAGCATGACGTACATCTCTATAGCCTGCATGGTCCCCGATTGCGCTGAGTGTATGGTGGCAATGATGATGGCAAAAACGAACGTCGAGTTAACATCGAGGATGGACTGGGTCAAGTCCGGATCGAGCACAAGACTCAACCAAGATG